GTCGGCGGGCATTCTCCGGTGGCAACGGGACGGAGAAAATGTTTCCGATGCAAAATTGGTTTCTTTTGATGACTCCGCATTGGTCGGACTCTCGACTCAATTGCTCAAGAGACTATCCATCAACTCTGGTTCTTTGGTAAGTCCTTATCTTCTTTTGTCACTTAGATAACAAAAAATTAGAAAAATGGAGGCTTTATTGGAAACTTTTTTAAAGGAAAAAAAAACGGGCTTTCGGAAATTTGCGGTTTTAAGATTTCAGGCGATTGAGAAAATCCAATTTCTCCTTTCTCCTTTCGCATGAGCGTGATTTGATTGTATAAGATGGAAAAGTATTTATAGCTCATTCACTTAGTATTCTTTTTGCAGAAAATTGTTTGTGGCTTTTGATGTTAACAGTGAGTATTCATAATGCAAGGTTGTTATCACAAACATCGAGGTAGGCATTCAACGGACTGCGCAAGTTGTCGTGCTGGATCCTCCCAAGACGTCGCTGGAAGATGAATCTGTCACTAGAGTAGCCGTTTCGGACTCTCTCCACACAATGCTTGTCTTTCCCACTTACGATTTGATGTCTCAAAAATTATTAGATCAAGAGGTTGCTTACTTGTCCCCAATGTTAGCTTTTAATCTTAGCTTGCACATATCTTGCCTGAAATCCCTCGTCCATCGAGGGAACGAGGTCTTAGACAAGTATTTTGATGCTAAATTTGACGAGGAGTTAGACGGAAAATCTGCAGCGGATGCATCAAAGATTGGTTTGGACTTGGAAGCTGTGTCCGGAGTTCCAGGCTATGCATCACATCTGAGAGTTTCGTTTGTTAAAATCCCAGAGTGTGGTACCATTCAGTCTCTGAGAGTCAATTCGTCATTTGAAGCTGAAGAGCGACAAGGGTTGATAGATTCTGCATTGCATAAGTATTTTGGAATTGATAGACATCTGTCAAGAGGCGATGTATTTCGCATTTACATTGACTGGAACTGTGGTTCAAGCATTTGCATTCCATGTACTCAAAGGTTATGCGAGGACTTCATCTATTTTAAGGTAAAATATTGTTTTTTTTTTTTCCAGAAAGAAAAACTAATTTTTGGCCAGAATTTACTGAGTTATAGTTCCCGTGCTCAGGTCATCGCGATGGAACCTTCTAATGAGAGGTTTCTTCGAGTCAATCACTCCCAAACCGCTCTTGTACTTGGAGGAACTGTCTCTTCTGGTCTCCCACCAGATTTGCTGGTGTCTAGATCAAAGGTTCCTATGCCTTTGCAGGATGACACAGTAAATATTTTGGCATCGGTGCTTTCCCCACCTCTTTGCCCATCAGCACTCTCCTCGAAACTCAGGGTTGCTGTTTTACTGCATGGTCTGCCAGGTACACTTGCTTCTGTTTTACCTATAAAATTATTCACTTTAATATCTTTTCTGAAGTGTTAATTTTTTTCATGGAAAACAATGTTAGGGAAAAAGACTTGTAAAAGACTGATTTTTTTGTTTTCCCAGTTATGGTGATTTTGGGGAATCCAATATTTTTATACTTGTTTTTCATATAATTTTTGCATGCAAATGAATCACATGCTAATAATTTTTTTAATCTTATGCTTGTTTAAGGGTGTGGGAAGAGAACTGTTGTTAACTATGTTGCTAGGAGGCTGGGCCTGCATGTAGTTGAATATAGCTGCCACAGTTTATTAGCATCATCTGAAAGGAAAACATCTACTGCTTTGGCCCAGACTTTTCATATGGCACGAAGGTAAATTAGTTATTTATTTATTTCAGATATTCATTTTATCGTACTATGTATAGCAATATGCTATATGTTCTGCATTCAGTAAATGACTGTATATAGTAAAGTTTATACTTTCATATATAGTGGTACTCACTGAGCACTTCTTTCTGGGAACGTAGTTTTATTCAGCTTGGCGAATGCCTTGTTTTCATTTTCACAGGTATACACCAACGATACTTCTACTCCGCCATTTCGATGTTTTTAAAAATCTGGGATCTCAGGATGGCTCACAGGGTGATCGAGTTGGCGTGGCCTCTGAGATTGCCTCGGTTATCAGGGAACTCACTGAGTCAGTTTCAAATGGTGAATACAGTTCCGTGGAAGAAAAATCGGATAGCAATTTCGTAAGATTTGCCTTTCTTTCCTTGGTTCTCCATTGCATGTTGCACAGTTTCACTTAAGTTCACTCTTCAGTTTACCAAATTGTTTTCTCATAATCCATTATAGTTAAGGTGACAAACAAGTCATGATACCTTCCTTAACTGTATATCTGCTAATGCAGTCTGTGGATGAAGTTGGGAAGTTTAGGGGACACCGGGTGCTGTTAATCGCATCTGCTGAAAATACTGAAGGTCTCTCTCCAACAATCAGGCGTTGCTTTAGCCATGAAATACGAATGGGTTCTTTAAATGACGAACAGAGATCTGAGATGCTGTCTCAGTCCCTCCAAGGTGTTTCTCAATTCCTTAATGTATGTGAGTACAATGCTCTAGCGTTTAATTATTTGTGCTATGCTATCGTCAAACTATAGTTAAGAACTTCGAGCTTGATGAAGACCTGCTGTCATTTTTTGCTTTAGACTAGCTCAGATGAATTTGTGAAAGGATTGGTGGGCCAGACGTCTGGTTTCCTCCCTCGGGACTTGCGTGCTCTTGTAGCTGATGCTGGCGCCAACTTATTCATCAGTAAAGAGTCTGAGGCCGAGAAGATTAACTCTCTGTCAGATGATCTTCATGGAGTTGATGCAGACCAGACAAGCCAGTTAGGTAACAGCGGTGAGACATTAACAGCTAAGGAAGACTTTACTAAAGCATTGGACAGATCAAAAAAGAGAAATGCATCAGCCCTTGGTGCCCCTAAGGTAACATTACCACAGGGTTTTTCTGTTGTGTTTTCTCGTTTGGTTTCCTATTTATGAGGCAGCTTTGCATACTTGTTACTGGAGATGCTGATAACTTGAAGGTTTATTTTGCATTCTTAGGTTCCTAACGTGAAATGGGATGATGTTGGTGGGCTTGAGGATGTCAAGACATCGATATTGGACACAGTTCAGTTGCCTCTCCTGCATAAAGATTTATTTTCGTCTGGATTGCGTAAACGTTCTGGTGTGCTTCTTTATGGCCCTCCAGGAACAGGGAAAGTAAGTTAAACGGTTTTGTTTTGTGACTTTTAGCTACTGTTAATAGTTAGTACTCTGTTCTTGGCAGTTATATATATGGTTTCTTGATTAAATTTATAGACTTTACTGGCAAAAGCTGTGGCGACAGAGTGTTCCTTAAATTTCCTGAGTGTAAAAGGTCCAGAATTAATCAACATGTATATTGGAGAGTCAGAGAAAAATGTTCGAGATATATTCGAAAAGGTAATTTATATTTCTTCTCTTGTCTAGAAGGAGCCTACTGAAACTGTGGTCCTGATTCTTAAACTAATATGTTTTCTTCAATTGCAGGCGAGGTCTGCGCGGCCTTGTGTGATCTTCTTTGATGAGCTTGACTCGCTTGCTCCAGCTCGAGGTGCTTCTGGTGATTCTGGAGGCGTCATGGATCGAGTGGTCTCTCAGATGCTTGCAGAGATTGATGGACTCAGCGATTCTTCCCAGGATCTGTTTATTATAGGAGCAAGCAACAGACCTGACCTGATTGATCCAGCTCTTCTACGACCTGGCAGATTCGACAAACTTCTATATGTTGGAGTCAACTCTGATGCGTCCTACAGGGAAAGGTTATGCATTTAAATAATAAGAGTAAAATCAAAACCATGTTTTCTGTATGGCGACATGGAATTAAAAAAGGTCTCTGATTCTTGTTTTTTACAGGGTCCTTAGAGCACTTACTCGGAAATTTAAGCTGAGCGAAGATGTATCGCTTTATTCAGTAGCAAAGAAGTGTCCATCGACATTTACTGGAGCTGATATGTATGCATTGTGTGCCGATGCTTGGTTTCAGGCAGCTAAGCGAAAGGTTAACACATATATAAGTCTCTAATCTTCTCCTAGTTTTACTTTTAAAGATATTCTCTGTAAAAGCTTATCGAAAACGACCTGCTATATGCTTCCTTGGCAAATGCAGGTGTTGAATTCAGATTCAGGAGGGGATTCGCTTCCAGAAGACGATCCGGAGTCTGTTGTTGTGGAGTATGTGGATTTTATAAAGGTACAAGCTTTTTCCTCATCTACTCAAAGAAGTGTTCATGTAGCGGTTGAATATTCAGTTCGGTGTAGTGAATTCTGGTTTATTGGAAAAGGTTTGGTGTTGAAGAAAAAAAAAAAACACAAAACACAAAAAGTTTGGTATACCCAATCTCAGACTTGAATTGAAATCCAATCTCGCTGCATTTTTTTTTTTGAAAAAAGAAAAGATCTGGTTTTCTGCGCCTTAAGAAATCTCAAATTTTTAACCAATTTATTACTTTTGTCTTTGCAGGCGATGGATCAGCTTTCGCCATCACTATCCATGACTGAGCTTAAGAAGTATGAGGCGCTTCGAGATCAATTCGAAGGCCGTTCGAGCTAAAACTGCTAATAATCATACAATTTACAGAGCTGACTCTCTTGTGCTGTGAGAATTGTGTGATATGAATGCACAAACCCATTAAACCTCCTCTTACAGCTCAATAAAATCAAATTCCTTTGAATAAATTAAAGACTATTTTGTGTTATCTGTTGTAACTTGTAAATGGTGTTATTTCATAATTTTTCCAGACCATGATATGTTCTCCAAAAGTTGATGTGAATAGTCATTCCAGATCCAGAGTAGTGTATAAATGAAGAATCGATTATGCTAAAATGTTTCGTTGATTCGAGTTAAAGAATGCAGATTTTTCTCATATAAAAGGAGGAGATTAATAAAGGCAAATCTTCTTAATTGTCAGTATTTAGGCGGAAATTACCGAATTAACCACCACTTTAAACGCGAGCTGAGTCACGTGGAATTTTGCTTTGTTTGGGCGAGCTGGTCCGAAAATCGTTTTTTTTTTTTTTCTTTCAAGGAAATAATTATTTGTTCGAGAAAATAGCGACAAGAGAATTGAGGAGGAATCAGAATTAGAAATCGGAATTTTGAATTTCCAACGTGAGGAATCTCGTTTCGATCTTGGAGGTTGTACAGGTGAGCTCCAATTCACGTTCGTCTGTTGGATTCAGCGGATTTATCAAAAATGGGTAGTTAATAAGAATCATCTCCCATCTCGATCTGAGAAATTGGAAGATTTGCTTCTGCGATTGGTCGGGTATAGGCTGGGTTTTAGATGATTTCGGTGAGCAGCAGCGATGCGAGAAGCGAAATAGGTTTAGGGTTTGCTGGAATAGAGGAAGAAATGATGGATGAGAGCGACTTCGAGGAAGAAAGCACACATTCTTATGTTTCTTGCGTTGACCCAGATGTTGCTCTCTCTTATATTGTAAAACCTTCCTCCTCTTCTTAGTGACTCTTACCTTGTTGTTGATTTCTACTACTTTTTGAAACAATCCTTTTTTTTTGTTTCTTTCTGAATTTAAATTTTCCTTTTTTAAAGGATGAGAAGCTTGAGAACGTATTGGGACACTTTCAGAAGGATTTTGAAGGTGGAGTTTCAGCTGAAAATTTAGGTAAGTCTCTAGTCAAAGTAAACAAAACTTCCTTATTGAGGCATCTTTTAACAGAATCGAATGTGTATAGGTGCAAAGTTTGGTGGCTATGGCTCGTTTTTGTCCATGTATCAGAGATCTCCTGCTTGTAAGAGTCCACTGGAAGTTCAAAACCAAGTGGTAAGATCACTCAAGCTTCGACTTCGAGGACGAATATTTCTCTCTTCAGACATACATACATACATACAAACAGTGAATGCAAATTTTCTCTAAGAGTCCATCTTACATTATAGGTGGCTCGATCTACTTGCTCAGCTTCATCGGTTGTACCTGAAGCATCTGGATCCACTTCAAAAGCTCCTGCTTCCGATGTTTTGGTCAATTTGAAAAAGTTCGTCAATTCAAGTAATATAGGGACACCTGATAGCAAACAAGTATCTCTCTCGAAAACTTCTTCTTCCGCACCATCAAATCATAAGACACTTCGACTCCGTATAAAAGTTGGTTCGAGTGACCTCTCCTCACTGAAAGACGTTTCAACCTACAATACTAAACAAGGCCTCAATATCCCACCATCAACCTCGCGGGTGAATTGCCTCTCAGAAGTTGATGAAGGCTTACTGAATGGGATTCTTGATTCCCCCACTAAAATTCTTATGGTGATTATTCTTAATCTTTCTCTGTTTCTTTCTTCTCCATGAAAATTGAATAATGATGAATAAGAGTTTGTTCTTGATGCATTCCTTTTGTGTAGGCTATGGTGTCATTCCCTTTGCGTAAAGATCAGCTGTTATCACCTCTCTCTGATGATCTTATTCAGTTGGGAAAGAGAGAAAAGATACTGAAAGATGCTGTATATGTTTCTGTCAACAAGTCAGACTCAAAAGGTGAGCACGGTCTTTTGGGTGTTTCTGATGTACAAAAGCGTGCTGGTAAGTTTTCCACTGCGAACAAAGCAAAGTTAAAGGAGAGGGTAAAGTATATGCCACCGTTAAACAGGCTTGACGAAAATCATTTTGTGTCCGATACTGAAAAAGAGGCTGCCAAACAGTCATGTGAGGAGCTTGTTTCTAAGACTCTGAAGCTTCCGCTTTTGTCCTGTCTGTCACCGTCATATATCCACCCGGCAAAAGAGGTTGATATTGAGGGTAGATTAAGAGAAACGAACAACACTGACCTAGATGCAGCTTTGATGGTTTCAAAGCCTAAACTGGAAGATAATGTAGTCGCTGTTCCAGATTATACTTCTATGGATAAGGTTAGTGAGAGTGAGACAAGAAACGAAGAGAAGAATTTGAAGTCAAAACTGCCTAAAGCACAGAAGTCACAAAAACCCGAAGATGTGTATGGGGGAATTTTTGGTGATTCAGGAGTATCAAAAGAAGAAAAAAAAAGTAGTCCGATTCTTGAAGCCAAGAAAGAAAATGGATTAAAGGAGAGTTTCAACAATCTCAACAATGATGAAGAGGCATGTAATCATCTTCATTTGGTACGTAAACCAGATACGAACCATCTTATCAAGTCGCGTGACTTGAATGAAGATAGGCACAACATTAAGCAGAGTGTTAGATCGGAAGTGAAAAATAAGCATTCTGTGGAAGGTATTTTTTTGTGAAATATATTGATTTTCCGTATTTCGTTCCTGTTCAATCTATCTGATGCACTTGATACATACACATATAGGAGGAATGGAACCTGAAAGAGAACTTTCTGGGACTTGTAAGAAAGTAAAGACTGGAAAATCACGATTTTCTGCTGTAGCTCAACCTGGATCCAACAAAAAATTTGACGGTGCTAACAAAACTACGATTACTCAAGCGTCAGCCCAAAACGTGAAGGATATTGCTAATGCTTCCTCGCATGATAGACATGATGACAGAAAGAGGAAGCAGAAGGAAACTAAAGAAAGTGGAGATTGTATGAGACTTAAAGAAGCCGCAGTAATGGAGTCAAGTGGGGGAAAAGTTAGAACGAAAAAGAGGCTTAAGGGTTCAAGCTGTGATGGAAAGGAGTTGCCTTTTAGTAGTGAAAGTTGCGATAGAGACAAAAGAGTTAGTCAAGAAAATGGTAGAGATAGTGCTTCTCATTTATGTAAGGATTTGGTCTCTGAAATTACCAAAACGAATGTCCACGAAGCCAAAGGTTGTGTAGAATCAGTTGCTCCTTCAGCCTTGAGGGTGTTAGACCCACGTGAGCGTAAATCAGGAAGAATTTCAGAGAGGGATGATCACTATGATGCTGACTCTAATGCTGGTGATACATTAAAAAGATGCCGAGATGGTGAAGGTTATAGCACTATCGATAAACCAGGGACAACGAAGAAGGCTGCAGAAACTTCGAAGGATAATGATTTGCCCAGTACAAGGAAAGCCACGCACTCATGGGATAAAGAAAGTGCAGACGGTGAGAATTGTTCGATTGAAAAATATAAATCTAAAAAGCCAGGGAGATATACTGGTGACAATTGCACAGAGGGTGATTTTCAACGAAAGAATAGGAATAAGCAAAATGGAAGTGCGCATAATGATCATGTTGGCTCAAGCCCTTCGAAAAGGGAATCCACGAGTCAGGCAATCTCCAACTCAATCAAAGAGGCTACAGCCTTGAAACACATGGCTGATCGTCTTAAGGTTTGGCATATTTATGGCCAAATTTTGCAGTGGTTAGGTCTGCTGTCTCTCTCCTGACTTAACATATACAGTAACCTTTTGCAGAATGATGGGTCCGATCACGAGAGCACTGGTTTTTACTTTCAGGCAGCGCTTAAGTTTCTTCATGGTGCCTCCCTTTTGGAGTCCTCTGGTACTGAGCACGGCACACATACGAGCATTGCCAGATCCATGGATATTTATGGCAGCACAGCAAAATTATGCGAGTAAGTTATTCATTCAGCAACATCTGACTTTGTGACTTTTCTACTCTCGGTTTGTTGTGTGTCTGATACTCATGCAATTAAGTCCTCCATTTCACTGTCTAGATAGATCCCTTGACTGTGATGGTACTTGTTCATGTTGCCCTCTCATTTTCGCTGAGCTTCTGCATTGTGGCCTATAGATATTTCTAAATGAAAATCTTCTGTTGAACCGTATCCTCATGTTATGGGATCTATACTTTTTGTGTAACAGGTTCTGTGCTCATGAATATGAGAAAAATAAAGATATGGGGGCTGCTGCTTTGGCCTATAAATGTATGGAAATAGCTTATCTAAGGATAACTTATTCCACCCATGGAAACATAAGCAATTACAGATATGAGTTGCACGCAGCTCTGCAAGTGATTCCTTCAGGTATCTAATAAAATTTATAAAAAAAAAAGAAAAGAAGAAGAATCTATATTATAAACTAAATGTTCTGTCTAGGCAAATTTATCACAAGTCAGAAAAACTCCTGGATGATTGTATTTACCACAAATGGCCATCTGTGAACCGTATGAAGACAGATACAATAATGTATTAGAGATGTTGTTCCTATTTGCTTGTGAGCATGATTCTGATGAATTATCTTGCCATCTTGTTTGGGTTTCAAACAGGTGAATCTCCCTCCTTTGCCTCTGATGGTGAATATTCAAACCAGACACTGGCAGCGGAAAAGGTTGCTTTGCCCAACACTGTGAGATCATCCCCTAGAGTAACGGGAAATCATGTTATCTCTTCAGCAAACAATTCCTCTATTTCGCAGCTTTTGGCATTTGTAAGTTCAGTTACGTACGTTACTTTAGTGATCTGGTGCCGTGAAAACTATATACTTTAGTTTAAGGTTTACAGAACAATTTTGCTGCCCTAGTTAGGCTACGTTCTCAGTACGTAGTGTGAAAAGGTTGCTTTGTGAGAAACATGAATTGGGATCATCTTCAAGCATAGCTTCACCATCATCATAGAATATAGTGTTGTGTGAGTAATATCATCAGATGTTGTGTTTATTAGATAGATATATTTTGGTCTTGCAGTCAAAAAACGTAAGCTTTGCTATGGATGCGTCAAGAAAAGCACAAATCGCATTTGCAGCTGCTAAGGGAAAATCGTTTGATGCCCCATACAGTATTGATGGTGTAACATGCATCAAAAGGGCTCTTGATTACAATTTTCAGGACATGGAGAAATTGTTGCATGCGGTGAGGGTTGCAATGGAATCCATAAACCGGTGAATATGATTTATGATCTCGCATTGTAAAAGTAAGTTTGATATCACATGCCATACTCAGAGAGAGGACAAGAGAAGAGAAGGGAAAGCGACTTTTTTAGTTTTGCTTGGAAAATTGAAGACCTATATAAACTTGTTTGTTATCTTCTTCACTGCGTAAGTGTATAGTGTTAGGACCATATTTGTGAGATTTGCTGAAGATTGAAGATTTAAAGTTATGTACATACATTGTTATATATAAGAAGAGAACGTTAAGAAACAAGGTTAACAAAGTAGTTTCTAAGATCCGTGAAACTGAAGTTACTCAAACCGGCTTTGTACCAAATTTTTCTTGAATTAAGATTTTTTTGTTAATTTGTTTCATCCACATTTTTTATATGAGACAATTATGAAATTAAAATATTTCTGAAAAGAAAAACCAAGGTAAAGGGTAAAGACATTCGTCCATGAAAAAATGAAAACAAAAAATCTTCAAACTGTTGGAGAAAAAAAAAATGGTAAAGAGAGCTTTACAAGAACCGAAAACTATAACACCTTTTTGCCCCCTTTCTTCTCTCTATTTATATATATTGCTCTTAAACGAACTTATGCCACGTACTTGAAAGTGTTAGGGTTTTCGGTATCCCTCGCCAAGTAATCTCTGGTGATCAAATATTCGATTCGTTTCTTTATCATCTTTATATCAGGCTGCAACAAGAACAAAAAGAAAAGGGTAAATAACAAAGTTTCTCAGTCTATATATAATAAGAAGATAGTATGTATAAATATGAAACCATTTATTTAGTTGTTTTTTTTTTATAAGAAATAATAATTACCTTGAACATTTTGCTAAGAAGTTCAACACATTCAGAGACTAACTGTTGATGCGGCAACACTTTTCTGCTCTTCATGATGCGCACAAGAGCTGCGTCAATCGCAAAGCGTCTATCTTTATCAACGTCTTCAACGATTTTCTTCCGCTCATCTATAGGAGGAAGAGGTACCTGTTTCGTTCATGTTTCCCAATTTCACAACACAAAAGAGTAATCATTAGTTAGCTAGTCCATCCTTTTGATATCAAAGGAGATGAAATTATAAAGAACAACACGATCAAATTATATTATATGCTTTCTTGTATATATATATACCTTGATTCTACGCATTTTATCGGTGAACTTGGGGTTGAAGTCGAATTCATCGGATTGAGAAATGTTTCTCGAGGCCGGTTCCTTTTTAAGAATCTTGTACTTGGCGCATGACAGTGAATGAAGCAGCCTCGTAAGATCTTCATGGCTAAGGTTAAGTTGTTCCAAGATATCCTTGTATTTTAATCTTTTTGTGTCTGCGTCGCTGAAAAGCAATAACACGGCAGCCTGAAAGAAATTTTATTTTAATACATTATATACATATGGCGAAAATCAAATTATATCACACTACTAAGTCACGAGAGAAAACAAAAAAAAAAAAACCAAAAAGATACCTGATAGGTAGAAACGATCAAGTCGATTGGTTTTTGATCGAATCTTCCAAGAACTTGACAAGTTCCCAGAGAATATATCCACAAAAGTCTCCTATGGTTGGTTTTCGTTCCATAGTATTCCTTAAAGACTTCAATACACTTGACCTGGAATTTTTTTTGATTTTTTAAAAAGATATTATGCTCATCTTTTATTTTCTGTTTCAAAGAGCTGAAAAGAAAAGAAAAAGAAAAAGAAAAAAGAGTTTACCATTTCACTGGGTAAATTGAGGTCAGATGTTTTGTAACTTGGCCAAAAACCAGTGGTGAGAACAGTGACGGTAAAATCCATCCCCAAGTTTACCATACTGTCACTGCTTATATAATCCTCGAATTTTTGTTGTTGTTCTTTTGCCAATGTCATATCCGTCACCTATATATATATGTATAAAAATTTACAAAACGTTAAAGCATAATTAACCTTTATTACTACTAAACAACCCTTTTTTTTTATCAAGAAGCAAAAAAAAAAAAAAAATCATCAAACTAACCATGCCCTCCATCTTAGAAGTAAACTGCCCACCGAGTTGTTGCTTGAGCTTTGTAAGTAAACTTTTTTCGTGTTCGTCATTAGAACTACGATCAAATAAGAGCCTTCGGGCCAGCTTCTTCCTGCGAAACAACCATATATATATTAATATATAAAAAAAAAAAAAGCATGGAACTCGTTGATTAATTCAGAGGAAAACATATATTGGAGGCAGAGATAATATATATATATATATATATATGTACCTGTAAAACTCGGCGAAAAGATCTTTGTCACTTATATAAGAAAGCAACTTAACAACCTGTAAACATGAAAACAATAAAACTTTCAAGTTAGTATCAACCCAAGCCAAGAGCTAACATATATATACATTAAGCCGTATAAGAAGGAAAAAGATAGGGAAAAACCGACATTATCAAGCGTATTCTCGATAGCTTCATCACTGAGCTTGTCAATTCCACCCTTCTTGAAGAGATTGTCGCAGAACGTTGCAAGTAACTCGGCACTGGAGCTTGTAGCCACTCTTTTGTTACAAAAGATTTCGAAAGCCTCTTTCAGGGCCTTGTGGAAGAGTGTGTGGTTCTGGAAACACTCGAAGACATAGAGCATGGATTTATCGTGTAGCTCAATGATTCTTCTGACAAGAACCTGTTCCTGCAAGCCACCACCACCACCATTACCACCAGTAGCTGCTGCGTCTTCTGCTTGTTTGATAAGTGCATTCCCCTCTAAAGTAACATGCCTCTTGAACGCCTCTGCAACAGGTTCCAAGCCATTCGGGATCGCATTGTAAAGCCTGTACATCCTCGAGAGATCCTCCATCCTGTCATCTCTAAGCAATGCTGAGCATCCAGAGTTCTCTTTCTCTAGAAGCCGTTTTGCAACCACTACCAACAATTCATCTTGCACAATCTTGACTAGTTTTGGCTCAGTGCTCGAGTGAAGGTAGTGACTGACTCTCTCCTTCTCCTTCTTGAGACACTCCTCACACTTTATCATGTATTCGGGGCAAGAATCCTCGTCGATCCAGCGTGCGGACTTGCGAGAATAGTAAGACGTCGTGTCTTGGAGCAAAAACTTCTCGAAATCCTCTTCATATTTGTCCATAGTTCCCATTCCACTCTCAACGTAGATATCTAATACGTTCTTCAACTGTGCCCTATCAATCTGACCTCCCTCGCGTTCTTTATTGATCTGAGAGACCGAATACGAATCGTGTTATAAAAGACAGATATATATATATCATCAAATTAACCTGTTAGTTAGAGATTCGAGCTAGTATTATTAAGAGCTTACGAGTGCAATAACAGCTTCTCTGGCCTTGCATTGCACCTTCTGGTAAACCAGGTCGCGGAAGGATATAAGGCCAACATCCGTCAGAGGAACAAGGGATCTCCGTGAAATGAAGTAACGGTTAAGATAGAAGAAGAAGCGTGATAACCATCTAACCAAAACTTTATTAATACCCCATCTCTGAGAAAGCTCTCTCAGCATGTATTCGTCATGTTTGCCCCTTAAACAGGGCAGCACCTAAACCACACATTCAACAACAACAAAATATATATATATATATATATATATATATCAATCTGTTTGCTCAAGGTAGTACAAGAGAGAAAAAAACTGAAACCCTAATAGATAAGGTATATACTCACCGTTTTCTTGTTATAATCTTCATACACTCCACGATACCTTTCGTAGAGCTGCTCAGAGTAATCGAAAGGAGGTTTCTGGGTGCACATATTGTAGATAGTTGTGTAAAGGTTCATGTATTGCTCAGACTCAAAGGATGGCTCAGGCTTTCCTTCTAGAATCCTTATCAGCTTCGAAACACCAATCTTCATCTCCGACCATCCTTGATCCAACTCAATTATCTTCTTCTCCATATCTTCTCTCTTTTCAACCTCTCTTTAATCAACTTCTATATAATACAAAGTTATTAGAATCGACAAATCTCGGCATCGATATTCAAAACCCTAATCTTATCCTTAAGACTAACCAAAATTAAGGAATAACGTCAAGATGCTGCGAGAGATTAACAACTACGAATTTGAGAAAACGATTCGAGAGAAACACACAAATCTTCCAAATTATTATAAAGATTTGGGCGGAATCAAGATCACAGTAAACGTAACCCTAACTCAATCAAAATAGTATACATCAACGAGAAATCATCATACGAAAGAGAGCGCATACGAAACTTATGTAAAAGAGTAATTGAGCGATCTAAAACCCTAAGATACATATGTAAAAGAGGTGTCGAGGGATCGAAAACCCTAAGATCGTCGTCACGTACCCGAAGACTCCAAAGAGTACCGAATCTCGAGGGTTTTGGGAGAGCTATGAGAATTACCAAGTGAGTGGGAAAAAATCTTAGAAGAGATGAGTATTTATAGTCCGATGTTGAGAGAAGGCGGTGAACAGCTTTTAAGTCATTCTTTTTTTTTCCTATTTATATTAATTTAATGATATATAGAAAACCCTTCATCGATTGAGTTTCTTTAGGAAAGAAAAATCTAGACACTATATCTCATTATATACAGAAAAGTCATACTTTAAAAAACGTGTTGTCAATTTTGGTGGTGTATTAGTTTCTGTTGAGTTTACTTTTCTCTTATGATAATGATAAAAAGGTATTAACTATTTAATGAGTTTTACCTATATAATTTATCTATAATAAATCCTATAATATTATGAAATAAATAAATGATACATTATAATTCACTATTTTTGTAATTCAGAGTTTAACTTCTAACACAATCCACTGCATAAAATCTTTTTTTTTTGGTTGACAACCAACTGTATAAAAGTTTGTTTTCTCTGATAATAACTACATAAAAAGTTTAATAAGTTTTACATATATAATTTATCTATTATTAAATCCTATCAAATTATTGAAATAAGTAAATGATACATTATAGTTCACTATTTTTGTAATTCAGATTTTAACTTCTAAAACAATCAGCTGCATAAACTTTTTTTTTGTTGACAACCAACTGTATAAAACTTTGTTTTCTCTGATAAAGTAAGCAACCAAGTACTTGTGAATATAACAAGTGTTAGAGATCGTTAGGGCCCAAAAGAGAAGAACAAGAGCCAGATACATTACTACACGAGCCCAATCCAGATACAGAGTCAGTTAGAATCTGCTACTAAAAACAGAGTCACCTAGAAAAAAAATGTATTACAAACAAGACAAGTTGAAGTTGTTAAATTGTTTTAGTACAACACAACATCTACCATGGTATTATATTTTTGATTAAAACACATAGTTTTATAATTAATAGTTGGTGACTTCAACCTTTTATTTTGCTTTCAAATTATTCAGCCATTTAGGTTCCTTAAGAAAATAATTCAACCATTATCCATTCTGTGAGGTACAAACAAAATTCAATTCAAAATCAACTGATATCTGAGATCGATAACGAAACATGATAATTAAAATTCCGATTCAGTTTCTTCCACAAAGGCATAAAATTACAACACAAAAAAACAAATACATTTTCTCTGTGTTTCTGGTTAACCGGATCTTTTGTACCCAATTATGGTACCTTTTGACGCCAATATTTTTCAAAAAAAAAAAAAAAAAAAAAAACTGGTGCTAGGATCAATACCCTCCTCCAAATCCGATCATTGGTAGTTTGGTACCATAATTACAAAGTTTAGTTTCTCAACATGACAACATCTGAGAGGGTCATATGAATCAACCTCGAATCCTATCGAACATGGGATGCTCCATTATTTCTCGAGCAGAAGGACGACGCGTTGGATCACGATCCATCATTGTCTGTTTCAAAAACATGTTAGAAATTCTGTCGTACATGCCATGTTCTAATGCTCCATGAAAACACAGAGATAAGAAAGCAAATAACGTACCTTAAGCAGTTGCTGTAACTGTAACGAATGGCCGGGAAGTAGAGGAAGTTTTCCTCCTTTAATATTGAGGGATTGGCTTCTTGACTCTGTAAGAGGAGATCCTCTTATGAGCTCGTAAACAGTGACACCTAAAGAGAAGATATCGACTTTATCGAGATGCTCGTAGTTTTCGTTTAGTATTTCTTGAGGCATGTAACGTGCATCCCCTTCTTCTACTGGTAAGCTTTTGTCCAATCGCGTTGCACAACCAAAGTCACCGAGCTTGCAGACACCGTTCTTGATGTATATATTGTCGGGTTTTACATCTAAATGAGCTATTCCTTTCTCATGCACAAACTGTAACGCCTTAGCTATCTGTAAGAGACATGGTACAATGTTTGGTACTTTCTGTATAAGAATTCTCAGGAAACAAGAAACTCTGTACTTAACTTTGTATGAAAGTGTGTACCTGATGCATAATCACCAAGATCTCTCTCTCTGAGATCTTAAGAGAAGATTTCTTGGACAAACTATGATCGCAGAGTTCCAGTTGAATGTATAATTGCTCGTTTTCAAACCACGAGGAGTAGTATCCTACTACATTTTCATGGAATCCTACAAACAAAGGAAGATAGAAACGGTACTGCTCTTAGCTTCCAAACAGGGACTAACACAATAGATTGAGGACAAAAAGGTGAAACAAGGGACTGTACTGACCTAGAGCAGCAAGAGCTTGAACTTCCATCATAGCTTTACGCCTGCATTAAACTCGGTTATGATTGATTACTTAAATAAATTGATCCAAACAAGTTGAACTATTATAATACAGTAAAATCATTCATTTACTAAGAAAACTAAAGGAGAAATCTACCTCTCTGAATCTAGATACAGCTTCCTTGTGCTGTATTTCACAGCATACAAGCAACCATCAATTCTCTTCAAAACTTTAAATACACGACTGAAATTCCCAGCACCAATTTGCTGGGGAAAACAAACAAAGTTATGTTAGAAGAAGCAATAGGATTTTGATAACAAATTAACATTTGAAAGACCTTCTTCGGCGTACCTGGATTTCATGAAAGTCTGTGAGATATCTTGACAACCCATCCCCACTTATACTTGCAGGTAGAAAACCTGCATGACAGTTGCATTCTCAAACTTTTGTACAGAAGAACCGTAGTAATATCTTTTAGCCTTTCAGGAAATTCTTAAACAAAATTTTAAGGAAGACAGGGTAGTAATAACTCACTAGCACATTTTGACCTCTGATATCCGAAAGGATCAGTAGCTGTCTCAGACTCATTCATCACATATGGATTCTTGAAGCAAGGAGGTGGCATAACACGACAACGCAGAGCAACTGCAGTCTGTGAAACATATCCAGTCCTCTCTGTTTGGTTAGCTTGGAGTTTATCAACCATGATCTCATCTGTGTCAATATCATCAGTCTCTTGTTCATCTTCTCTACTATGTTTTGTAGACCAGGTAAAATTTGATGTTTTAAGTGTGAAACTGTCTGCATTAAACATCGAATTTTTTGTTTGTTATTGAAAAAGTTTGGGAACTAAAACATCAATAACTCATGCTAATTTTTACATCTGAGAAAAAGAAATCTTCGACAAACAGTGAAACGAAAGCTTACCCTGCCGGCATCTTTTGCTTTTAACTGTATTTAGTTTAACAGGAGACCTAGGACAAGGAGAATGATCCTACAAACACGAAAGAGAAAAACTTATAAATTAGAGACATTGGGGAATTATCAAAAACCACATTTTCAATTTCTCCTAACTCACCTTGCTGATGTCTAAACCGCTCATCAAGTTCTGGTTGTCCGGAGTTATATAGTCAGGTGTGCTGAAAGATGATTCGAAAAAGAAATTTATCAGTAGCTGACATGAGATATCACAATTCACAGATATTATCTGGTTAACTAGAGCTACATTCATCAATTTTACCCAGAAGCTAGATTCAAATAGGTGAAAATATGGGAAAGCTCCTTAAATCTACAAGACCAAATATAGATTTTTGCCCAATCAGATAAGCCCAGGATGGATTTAAGAATGAAAACGTTGTCTGCCCAGGAAGATAACGATAGATCTCAACCTCACAGCAAACAAAATGCCTAAAAATCCGAGTAACGAAGATTTACCAGAAAAAGTCTTGGCTGAGAATAAATTCCTTCTCTCCGCAATCGGCATCTGCATCAACGGAACCCAAGTGATTCCGGAGCTCCGACGACTCCGAATCCAGGAGACCCTGAAACGCCGATGAAGCAACATTCGACGGCGGACGATTATCAAACGAAAGCTTCGACAATTGACCGAACTGAAGCAGCGAGTGTCGCTCCAATGTCCCCTCCATCTTCCGATTCTTCTTCGTTCTTCTCGTTTTGATCGTCCCTAGGGTTTTCCTCTTCGCCAACAGTGTTCTTCCTTTCTTCTCGAACATGACGATGAATTTTACTTTTGTGGTGGGAGGTAAGAGATTAAATGAAAAATTATAAATAAATTTAAAATTTGCGCGCTCTTCCTCGTAGCGTTTCGAGCCTTAATTTGGAACCAATCATCAGCAGCAGTGACTACGCTACACGTACTCTCTTATCAATTATTGACCGTTGGATCTTTTAGGTTGTAGCTTCCATTGGAGATTAGCTAGAGGTGCAGCGGATCTACTGTGGAGCGTGTCGTGTAAGCTTTGGGTCTTTAATAATAAATATTTTTTTTCTATAATGGCACTAGCTCTTGGGGTCTTTAATAATAAACTTGCATGTTAATTCCAAAATGTGGTATGTATATCAAAATAAACTCTATAAACGTGGAGTTTTAATGAATTGAGCCAATATAAAGCCCAAAGACAAAATCCAATAAAAATAGTGAAGCCCAATTACAAATCTCAGCATAGCCTCGGCGACGCCGGTACAAAGGCGAACACCGGCGATATCAATTTGAACGGTGGGGACATATGTGGCGGCGAAATAACTTACCGGTGACTGTCCAATAGCCTTTTGAATTGTTTACTTTTGCGATTTCTTCTTCCCGAACATTCATTTGATCTTCCGTTTTGCATTTTCGTGTTGGATTTTCAGGGAAACCCAGATTCTGATCAGAGCATATCTGGTGAGGACTGAGGATTGCTTTGTCATCTGAAATTTTTCTGTTTTGATTCTTCGTTTTTATGTCCTTCATTATCTAACGAGTAATTTTGAAGCTGCTGTTTCGTGTTTTAGAGGAAGAGCCCGAAGAGGAAGAGCACGTGAATGTTAATTTGGGAGAGGTTGAAATGTGGCCAAGTGAGAAGGCCAAGGAAGAGGTAATCTTTTGTCTCTCAATTTTTTAATTCTGTAAACCTCTTTCCTTGAGTTTGCTTTGAGAGGTCTAGGAAATCCTGCGAATTTGTCTGTTGACAGAAATTTTATGTGTTTGATGATGATGGATAGAATGATGAGAAGTTACTACCATCTTCATCAAAATTTGGGTTTCTAAAAAATGAGTCTCTTATGTTGTATTATGCAGCGCACTGTTTTTGTCTGATTCGATTAAATATCCATCAAGAAAGAAGTTGGGAACTTTTAAATTTTGGTGATGAATACTGATTTTGCCCAGTTGACTATTGTGACTTGGGTAGTTTTGAGGAGCTATAGGGAATGTGAACACAGTTTGACCATAGTTTGGCTTCGATATTATAGGGAGGATTACTACTTCAAACAAAGCTTGAAAAACTCATAGGTATATATATATATATATATATATATCCAGCTTGTGGTCAACCTTTTCTATGACTATCTTCACTTCAGTTAGGTTTCCCTTATCATAGCTTGTGTGTTATTTCCAGGTTGTGGTGAACTAGATTATGCTAGGGAAACCGGCGATGTACCTCGGGAAGCACCTGTGAGTCTTTTTCTTTCTCAAAAATATTATTTTTGTGCAGCTTCTTGTCTCAGCTTTTTGAATCAAATGGTGATGGGAGATTTTACTCTTCTTCTTAGCTAGGGAAGATATCTTCCTCTGTTGAGGAAGACGTTGAAGTTCCTGATTCCCCCGAGGAGAGTTATTTCGCTTCTTCAAGAAGAGCCGGATTAACTTGCGTATCTGCTCAGGAAAGCGGGTCAGATGATGAGGTCATCATCTAATCTTCGACTATTTTGTCGAGTTGGTGACCTATTGAGTCGCTGTACTTGTGGTTTTTGTAATGATGATTATTGTTGCCTTCAGATTCTACATGAAGAACAAGTGGCAACCTGGTCTACTATAAGTAAAGAAACAAAGTCACTAATCCATTTGAATGGTATTGCTTCAGTCTCATCATCCCATACATCAGGCTTCAGAGCCAAGAGAGGTATTAAAGGTACTCTTTCATCCAAAAACCTTCTTCATATATTTACCTTAGAATTTAAAGAACGGGATGAAAACTCAGAGAAACCAAATGATGAGTGCATAAACTTCTGAAATCTCTAAGTTGGGCTTCTAATGTCTTCGCAGTTGCCAAAGATCATGTGAGGCCAAAATTTTCATTTCACTCACACACTCATGGAGAAACGTTATCCAAGATAAGTGACATGGCTGAACTCTTTGAGCCTGCTGCTGATCAGGCGATAGAGGAGGATCCCATTGCTGAATGCCCCAACGATTCCGATGAAAGATCAAAAGGTTTTTCTTTTGCTGAGTCGACGGAGGTTCTGCACGGGTACACTGAAGGTGCGGTATCCAAGTTCTTACTCCCTCCTCCAGATAAGATTAGAGTGAGCTCTAAACCAGTAATCTTTCCTTAATCCTTATCCAGTGAATTAGCTATTGATTTGCTACTTAGCTCAGTTCTCTGTTTCATTCATTGGCATCCTTTCTGCTCCAGTACAGCAGGCGTGAAGGAAAAAGTTTGAAAGTTAATCATAAGGGTAGTTCATCAAACCTCCAAGATAGTAATACTGATGATGAACTTCCTGGACCCATGGATAGTGAATCATCAAGCGATGATGAGGTTTTGTTCTCCTCCTTTTCTGTGATTTACGTCGTGTCCTTCTTCTCATTGTACACTCATATCCAAAATCATATTGTTCTGCTACATAGCCTAGTTGTCAAATCTCAGTGCCAAACATTTCCAACCAGAAGAAACAATTTGTTGGAGACCGGTTTGATGAAGCAATAAAAGCTTCCTCTCTGTGCAAAGAAGGTCTCTTGTTCGGCTCACCTAAATTATCTGGGTAATCAAATTCTCAACACCTTTCAGACTCCACACTTTTTAAAAAAAAAAAATCGTACATATCTCTTAACATCAAAACCCGTTTTTTTTGTGGCATTGATCTGCAGTGGCTCTAGCCTGTATGGGAAGCTACAACAGATCATGAAACAAGAAAAAGAGACGGAAATAGAAATCATGAAGAAATTGCGGGGTGGAATCGGACAAGCAGGTAATGCTGCTTCGCAACTCCCATATAAACGAAATCTAGATTATACTTTTGTTCTGATTTGTTTATCTCTATTTCCCGTTTCCCAACTCAGATGCGTCGAGCTATGTTGATATAGAAATCATGTCAAGACACTTGGAGGGAAAGCTGGTTGTCTGCAAATGCTCTGTCATCGACCTTTCTGGGGTTTCTCTCTCTCGATCTCTCGACGCATCTAATAAAACTGTTCCTTTAATTAGAAGCATTGAGTGACACACATTCGGTTTTGTAGGACTCCCTCTTGCTTAAGAACACACAAGCTCTTGCGGCTAAAGAAACAGAAACAACAATTATCTTTAATCCTAAAGTATGCGCGGATGTTGATGTCGAAATTGGGAGCTTTGTCCGTCTACATTCGCCATGGTCAGTTTTGATTCCACTCTTTAGACTCTTATCTCATGTCAATATGTCACTGAACTCATTTGTTGAAGTAGCTGTTCAATTGCAACAGGAAAGAAATGGAAGTGAAGAACACCAATGAGGTGATCATTTTGTCTTCATATTTCTCAAGTTTGTAATGTAACTCACACAAATGTCACAAAAACCCCGGAAAAAAAGCAGAGAAGCAAACGATAGTTAAAGCACTGATTGATAACAATAAGATAGCAGAATCGTGGAAACTGAAAGATTGCACAACATTAGATTTTTTAAAAATCAAAATAGTAGGAATGTAGAACACAAATAACAGTATTCCAGTAATATGTCGTTTGCAAAAAAAAAAGAAAAATTATAATAATAAAAAGGAGACTACCAGAGTTGTTATGCGATTTATTAAACAGAGTTTAAATTTTTTTGGATTCATCATGTTTTCTTCTTTGGTGCTGCTACTAGTTGAAAGGCGTAAATCAGTTCTTACAATTGGTCAAGTCGTTTTAGTTATGCATGAACTCTTTGTTGGTTTGATTCCTTTCTTGAGCTTTGGTGAATCTCAAAATATTTTGTGCCTTAACCTCACGAAGCTAAAAAGGTAGTATTCGTCTTTGTCTTAATGTAGCACTTGATGAAACGTTAAGAATAATTAAAGAACGATTAGTTTAGAAATTAGTCAAGTTTTAGAAATTTCACACAGATTAACAAGTTTATAATTAAAATTTGTATTACTGTATGTCCTTGTTAATTCAAAATCTTATCTTTTTCCAATCAAGGCTGGATAATATTATCACTCTCAATGATAAGTTGGATTAACAGGGACGAAATTGTGATTTAGTTTTAAAAACTGTAGATCCCTAGTTTATATTTGTATCATATTGGAACAATTCATCGATTGATCCACAAGAAAGGTGGTAACCTTTACGTGGATGTCAGGTAAAAGCAAAATGTCTCTCTCTTTTGTATTGCAAAACAAGAGGGCATATAACTTAGTATATAAATAGATGTATTAATTATACAATCGGGTTATCGATGAGCTACATAAGTCGTCTCTCGATGGACTGCATGAAGATGTTGTTGAACCTATTGCCAAATAGGAAGTGTACAGCAGAATTAAAAAATATCGGTAAGATATATGTAGTTTTTTTTTTATTTTGGTAATTTCGTCATATATTTAACTTCAAGTCAGAATAAAACAGGATATGATTTAATATTTATAAATTTCGTTTCTGTGATTCTTTTTTATACACTAATGTGAGAAGAATATGTTAACACAATGAAAATGCAGGTTACAAGGTTCATGGCCATCCTTTTTCCACCAACACAAGGCGTGTTCTCGCTGTTCTCCTTGAGAAAGGACTCTCTTACGAGCCCATTACCGTCGATTTGCAAACCGGTGAACATAAAAGGGATTCTTTCCTCTCTCTCAACGTAAGTAAATTTATCTAAAAAAAAATCGAGAGATTAGTAAATTCAGGGTAGATTACTTGTCTCTCGAGGCATGTTTGAACTAGGCTAATTCTTACCGGTGTTGTTAACATATTGTTTATGGTTACTACTTGTAACACAAAGATTTCAAGTTTTTAATTAACAATGTGTTACTGATGCAGCCATTTGGTCAAGTCCCCGTTTTGGAAGATGGAAATGTTAAGCTGTGCGGTGAGTTTAATCTTACGATAACCTGATAAACATTTGTTTCTATTTAATCAATTTTTAGCGATCATTTAATCTTTTTTTCTTTTTTTTCCGTGTAGAATCCCGAGCCATCACACAATACATTGCATATGTTCATAGTTCAAGAGGCACACAGCTTCTGAATCTTCAAAGCCACGAGACAATGGCGACATTAACAATGTGGATGGAAATCGAAGCTCATCAGTTTGATCCACCCGCATCGAAACTCACATGGGAACAAGTCATTAAGCCTCTCTACGGTCTAGAGACTGATCAGTCGGTCGTCAAAGAAAACGAGGCTAGTCTAGAGAAGGTTCTAAATGTCTACGAGAAACGACTCGGAGAATCTCGATTCTTGGCTTGTAATACCTTTTCTTTGGTTGATCTTCATCACTTACCCAATATACAATACCTTTTGGGAACTTCAACGAAGAGATTGTTCGAAAGTCGACCTAAAATCCGTAAGTGGGTGGATGAGATTACGGGAAGAGAGGCTTGGAAGATGGCCTGTGACCAGGACAAGTCTTGGTTTGGTAAGCAAAGGAAGTAAATGCAAGCAGAAGAAAAAATTTGTGTGTGAGGTGTTTGTGTGTTGAGTTTGCGTCTCTGTTTGTAAGCTTGTGTTGTTTGTTTTTCATATTATAAGATGCTTTTGTGTTTGGTTTACATGTAGTTTGATGAATATGAATAAAGGAAAGAAAAAGTTATAATTTCAACAACTTCGAGAATAGCCCCTAAACATTTTTGGGTGCACAATATTGGTCTCAGTGGGCATTTTTCTCTTTTCACTCATCCACGTCTCGGAAACATATTAGATTGAGTTTTAATTCCATTTCAATTTTTTATTCAAGAAATAAGAGAGAAAAAAATATATGTTTTCTTTCTAAAAAATGTCTTAAATGAAAATGATATATAAATTATATATATATATATACACACACACACATATATATATGTATATATATATATACAATATCATGTCTTCAAATGGAAATTGAACAAATTGGCACAATTGGACTAAATCATTTAGTAATATTTGAAGAGAAATTAAGGATAAACATGCAAAAGAAAAAGTCCATAATAAGAAGAAAAAAAAAACTGTAGAGGAAAGAAATCTACAATTTCATGTCAAAAACTAATTACTAACAAAACTTAATAGGGAAAAAACTATATCTTAATATGGCTGTGGCCCATTTTATCTAACTATATATACATCTTTTGGGTTGACAAAATATAAAAGCACTGGAGTGTATAGAGAGGGTAGTCAAAATGGGTTCCTCTAGATTATTGGTTTCGTTTGCTCTCGTGATTATGGTGGCCATCTCTTATGAACCATTCCCATGTAAGTATTATGATTATTTGTTTTGTTTTCGTATTTCTGCTATCAACTATTTTATATAATGGTTTTGAATATTCTTAATTGAGTCGTAGGGATGGGCGTAAACGCGAGCAATGAACCTACGAGTTGCTACCATTCTTGTAACCAGACGTTCGAGAGTCGTCACCAATGCTATAAACGGTGTGAAGAATTAGCTCACAAAGATGGTAAATATAATAACACCTAGATTTCTGATTTATAGCAAAATGTCGTCATTTGATTGTGATTTTTATTTCTGTTTGATGTCTCGAAATATATTCTATCAACCGGAAAAAAGATAAGTGCGTTTTGTATCACCTCTAGTTGTTGTAACTATAATTGTTTTTTCTTTTTCTTTGGTATAAAGTATAAACGGTATATATTGATGTTTTTGTTCTTGAAAAACAATCAATTTTATGGGTTTTATTCTTCTAAAATCTTCTTCGTACGATATGGTAATGGAAAATTGCAGGGTATAAGATTTATGGGTATCCTTACTCCACCAATACAAGGCGTGTCCTCGCCGTTCTCCACGAGAAAGGCCTTTCTTACGATCCCATCACCATCGACTTGAAAGCCGGTGACCAGAAGAAGCCACGTTTTCTCTCTCTCAATGTAAGTTTCACCTCTAGATGGATTACTTGTATGTAATTCAAGAAGGGTTTTAAGTTTTAATTAGTGTTCGATCTAAACATGTTATATTAATAGGGTTTCCAACCAAATTTCCTCTTGATACACCTGTTTAATCAACTTATTAGCAATGAATGAAATGAATCATCGTACATTTATAACATACCAACATGTTATATAGCTAGGGCTTCTGGCCTAGAAATTAGTTACTTATGACTTAAGTTATATACTACATGTTAGAATTACGTTTTGAGTTCAATAATGTGTTTATATATTGATGCAGCGATTTGGTCAAGTCCCAGTTTTCCTAGACGGGAATTTTAAGTTAACTGGTGAGTTTTAAACTACACGTACAACCAACTGATCTGATAAAACATTTTCTCGATTTTAAAATCTAATGAATTTTGATTGATTTTTGTTTTTCCTCAGAATCCCGAGCCATATCTGAATACATAGCGACTATTCATAGATCAAGAGGCTCAGAACTTCTGAATCATAAAAGCTTCAAGACGATGGGAACACAAACAATGTGGATGAATATCGAATCTTTTGAGTTCGATCCACCTGCGTCGATACTCACTTGGGAGCAATCCATCAAGCCTATGAACGGTCTAAAGACGGACTATAAGGTCGTGAATGTTACCGAGCAGAAGCTAGAGAAGGTTCTAGATATATATGAAGAACGACTCAGAAATTCTAGCTTCTTGGCCAGTAACAAATTCACATTAGCTGATCTCTATCACCTTCCTAATATACAATACCTTATGGAGACACCTACGAAGAGATTGTTCGAAAACCGACCTAGCGTGCGCCGGTGGGTGGCTGAGATTACAGCTAGACCGGCTTGGAAGAAGGCATGTGATGTGAAGGCTTGGTATGATAAGAAAGAGAACAAATGAGAGCAATGAACTTTGTGTGCGAGTGTGTCTCTGTGTGTGTTGTTTGTTTTCTCTAAGTTTGATGTGATGAATAAAGTGGAAATCTGGTTCAAAAAAAATTAGAAAGAATAAAGGGAAAACTTTTTTTCAGATATAAGGAAAAAAAAATTAGGATTTAGAGTGTTTCTTTTTTATGAAATTGTATTTTATTTTTCTGTAATGAATTTATGTATGGTTCGTAATATATTTCGCCCATATCATTGTTTTAACAAGATTGATTTGTTGACGCCCGACTTTGTATACAACATTGTCAAAAGTGTGAAACTGAATTAAAGTCCTTTGTTCAGTTTTATTTTGTTTGTTATCATTATTGTTATCTGGTTAGAAGGAAATCGAGAAACAGAGTCCTCGACGATCGAATTTAATTTGAGCAGCCGACGATCCACGTGATGAACCTAACGGGGCCGGTCAAACTTTGACTTGTAGATAAAAAAGAGTTTTTTTGGTCGTTATCACGCGGTGGTTGATAATTTCTCTGATATTAGTGTTTTATATTAACTTTCTTCTAAAAAAAGTCTTGGACCAATAGACACGAAAACTTTATATACATTAATCAAGTTTTTTTTTCTTTAACGATAATCAACTTAATTAGCTTTGGAATAATCCTCTGACAACGTATATTCAAGATTGGTGGCGCCGATTTGGTTTTTATTTATTCACTTAGTATTAGTACTCTGTTTTAGTTGTATAAATACACTCCACCATTTGTGTCTTTATTCCATCAACTTCAAAGATCTCTCTACTTTAATTAATCTCTTCAATATTGTTACAAAAAAAAATATATAGTATTAATTAATGGCAGGAATCAAAGTTTTTGGCCACCCTGCTTCAACAGCCACGAGACGAGTTCTCATCGCTTTGCACGAGAAAGATCTTGACTTTGAGCTTGTTCATATCGAGCTCAAAGATGGTGAACACAAGAAAGAGCCTTTCCTCTCCCGCAACGTAAGTATAGATATGTAATATCATATTTTCAATATAAAGATTGTTCCATTTAAATACTGATTCTTGGTCTGAAATTCTTGAAATTTTGTTCTGCAGCCTTTTGGTAAAATTCCAGCCTTTGAAGATGGAGACTTCAAGCTTTTCGGTAAACGATTCTTAAATTTAGGCCTGGCCCGTTTGAATAGTTAGTTCGGTTCGGTTCAACTATACAAAATTCAGATTCGGTTTAGTGTGAAGCAAAATACAATACTGATTGGTATTATCACTATGAAAACAATAAATGATTTGGTATGGTTTGGGTGCCCAATCCTGGTTCAATGTCTCAAATTCTGATTTTGATCATTGCAATTAGAGAAAGCAAAACACTCTAAAATGTTGATTATTAAATTTTATGCAGAATCAAGAGCAATTACTCAATACATAGCTCATGAATACTCAGACAAAGGAAACCAACTTCTGTCACTTGGCTCCAAGAACATGGCAATCTTGGCCATGGGCATGGAGATAGAAGCTCACGAGTTTGACTCAGTTGCTTCAAAGCTTGGCTGGGAGCAAATCTTCAAGCATTTCTTCGGTTTGACCACCGACCAAGCCGTTGTTGAAGCAGAAGAGCTGAAGTTAGCCAAAGTGCTTGACAACTACGAAGCTAGGCTTGGTGAGTCTAAGTATTTGTCTTGTGATCACTTCACTTTGGTCGATCTTCACCATATCCCTGTGATTCAATACTTGCTTGATACTCCAACCAAGAAGCTCTTTGATGAACGTCCACATGTCAGTGCTTGGGTTGCTGACATCACTGCTAGGCCTTCTTCTCAGAAGGTCCTTTAAATGGATTTCACTCAAACTGTTAATCCACACATATTGAATAAGTGGCGGCGACTTCATTGCCCAATCCTCATAAATTTTCTTGTTTATATGTTTGTGTTTCCTCTGTTTTTTTTTTTGTGTACTTTATTTTGGTTTCTGAAAGATTGATTTGATGTAATTTTCAATTATGTATGAATAATGAGCCTTCATTTTATAAAAACAGTTTTTTTTTGGTTAATATGTCTATCTTAAAGTTCCTAAATAAAACAAGAATTTATATATGGACAAAAATAAAATAATCATTATATATTTGAAAAAGATATAATTTTCCGAAATAAAACAGAGAAACCCAAAAAATACAAAAAGTGTTTTAAGATAAAAGTATTGGTTTTTTTTGGGAAGCGGAGAAGAAAATTGAATGGCTGTGGCTACCGCTCCGTCGCTCAACCGCCATTTCCTCCGCCGCGCCTCGAACCCTTTCTCGAGAGTGAGTAAACGACGGCCATGGCTATTTCCAGGGGACGCGACCCTTTTCAGTTCTCGCCGGAATTGGGATTCCTATCTCCTTGTATTCGCTTCCTCTTCTTCTCCATCTTCTTCGTCTCCAAACTCTCCGGCGGATACTCTCACGGCAGAGTCGTGCGTTAATACTGGCCTCGAACTCTTTAAGAGAGGGCGGGTAAGTTCTAGAGATCGATTCGGATGATAATTGTGATCGTAGGTGAAAATGTTTCAGTAGATTTTATTGGACTCAGATTCAATTGGTTTGTTTCGTCGGATTTCTTTCAGGTCAAAGATGCTCTTGTTCAGTTTGAAACAGCACTGGGTTTAGATCCTAATCCTATCGAGTCACAAGCTGCTTACTATAACAAAGCATGTTGTCATGCTTACCGGTAAGAACCATATACTGATGAAATTGGTAAGAATCACTGATGTAATGAGATTCTGCTCTCTTTAATTTCATGCCTATTGTTCATCGTCTCGAGGTAGGGGCGAAGGAAAAAAAGCTGCTGATTGCTTGAGAACCGCTTTGAGAGATTATGATCTGAAGTTTGCCACAATTCTAAATGATCCTGATTTAGCATCCTTTCGCGCATTACCCGAGTTTAAGGAGCTGCAAGAAGAGGTCTTCTGCTTTTATTTTTTGTTCTTATCCACCAAGAAGAACTTTCTCAATGGCGAAAACTTCTTCCATTTTTGTGCAGGCTAGGTTAGGCGGGGAAGATATCGGCGATAGTTTCCGAAGAGACCTGAAACTCATTAGCGAAGTGCGAGCTCCGTTTCGTGGCTTTAGAAAATTCTTCTATTTTGCATTTGCAGCAGCAGCAGGTATCTCAACGCTCTTCACCGTACCAAGACTGATTCAGGCAATTAGAGGCGGTGATGGTGCTCCAGATCTTCTGGAAACTACAGGAAATGCTGCAATCAATATTGGAGGTGAGTCCATAGACAAAACTTGAATCCAAAGTTCGTTCTTTTTTCGGCTCTTTCATGTGACTAAGCTTTTGGAACAGCAATGTACAGGTATTGTTGTTCTGGTTTCATTGTTCCTTTGGGAAAACAAGAAAGAGGAAGAGCAAATGGTTCAGATAACTCGAGACGAAACTCTTTCCCGGTTGCCTCTACGACTGTCAACCAACCGTGTGGTTGAGCTTGTGCAGCTAAGGGATACAGTTCGACCCGTGAGTCTTTTTATCCCACTTATTTGCTGCCTCTGAGTATTCTCCGTTGAGTTTCTGAATCTGTCACTGTTTGTTAGGTTATTCTAGCTGGAAAGAAAGAGACTGTTACACTCGCGATGCAGAAGGCAGATAGGTTCAGAACCGAGCTCCTAAGACGTGGTGTTCTCTTAGTTCCCGTGGTATGGGGTGAACGTAAAACACCGGAAATCGAGAAGAAAAAGGGCTTTGGAGCTTCTTCAAAGGCAGCTACATCTCTTCCTTCGATTGGGGTAACACAAAGATTCTATCATGGAACGAATGGAAATATTCATCTTCATTCTCATTTTGCCAAAGCAATGATTTTTTTTTCTTAACTTGGTAGGAAGATTTCGACACACGGGCTCAATCGGTAGTCGCCCAATCAAAGCTGAAAGGTGAAATCAGGTTCAAGTCAGAGATTGTTTCACCTGGTGAATGGGAAAGGTCGAAACTTTCATCGCCTTTTTGCTGATCAAAGTTTGATAGAAGAAAGATGGAAAAACTCTGCTTATTGAGTCTTAAAGAAGAAAGTTTGGTTTTGTTTGTTTCAGGTGGATAAGAGATCAACAGATAGCTGAAGGAGTTGCCCCCGGCGAGGACGTGTACATCATACTGCGGTTAGATGGTCGAGTCCGGAGATCTGGTAAAGTAAGTTTCATCTAGAAACCTTTCCTCTTCCGGTTTCTCATGTTTGATGCAAAAATGGTTTCTCATTTTTTGGTTATTGTTCCGATACCTATGTGTTCGGTTTTTAAAGCGGGTTTGTGTATAACTCTGTTATTCAGGGGATGCCGGATTGGGCTGAGATCTCGAAGGAGTTGCCACCAATGGATGACGTGCTCAGCAAGTTAGAAAGATGAAACTGCGAAGCTCTCTTGCATATGGTATTTTCATAAAACCTTAGAAGAGACTAGAGAGAGAGCTCGTAGGAGAAGAAATGCTCTGTATTGTTTGTTTGTTTGTTTGTATTCACAAGTCCTCGAAAGATTGATAATAGTATATGTGAACACAGTTTTTTTTGCATTTCTTAAAAGAAATAATTTAGTTTTGGCGGCATTGAGTCGTTGGCTCAGATTGGTTTGCTGTGGAACTTATTAGTGTCATCATCAATTCATGTTTTGATAATACGACTGATTCATGGATCTAATCATGTTATATGAATTCGGCTGTTAAGCATGAAACGCGTTTTGATTCGGTGAGAAATAAAAACTGAGATTTTAAAGAGGGAGTATTGTATTAATTAAGACATGATTTCTTAGAAAGTGCTAGTCTAATAATTCTCCATTATTTTAGATTAGTTAAAGAGGGGTTAGGTTTTAATTGGGATAACGATGTCCCAACTCGTTTCATAGTTGTTGGGGAAGATAAAAGGGAGAATTGTAAAACTGTCTATTTGACCTAAATTCAGTAGTTAAAATAGTTGGTACTAATTCTCGATAACTAAAACCGAGCTCGATCGATGCCAATAATCGATGACAAAATGCAGATAGTGAGTGAAGATATTAAGATCAATATAATGAATCAGTAATCGAGAAAGAGAAGTAATTTGCCACTTAATATGGAGTATTCAATAAGAAAGATTCAGTGCTTTCAGATCATTAAGAAAGATGATAATGTTGATTTTTACAAAATTCAAATTGATGGCCGAAAAAAAAAACAAAATTCAAATTGATAATGAAAAAAGGCTTGACCGCTCAAATATATCAAAATCGTTTTAGTTCATTCCGTGTCGATTCTAACAAATATTCAACCACTCCCAACAATTCTCCATTAATAAATCATTCTTTCGCATAATCTTTTTGAATTTCATTGTCAAGTGGCATGTCTGTGAATATCGCAATACATGATACATTTAGATGATAGTATAAATACTCCATAAACTTAGTCCACGCACTCACCATGTATGTATATATAAACATTAAGTTAAGCAACAATAATAGCACATAAGAAACCCAAAGAAAGACCAAAAAAAATAAAAATGGCGAAGTCTTTTGCTCTGTTCCCAACCTTTGTAATACTCATCTTCTTCATAGTGATCATCTCTTCACCACCGGTCCAAGCCGGTTTTACCAGTGAAATCGACGGTCTAGAATGGACCACGAACGGAGTCCATGGCTCAGGTTGCCACGGTTCAATAGCAGAGTGTATCGGGGCAGAGGAAGAGGAAATGGAGTCAGAGATCAACAGAAGAATATTGGCGACAACAAAATACATAAGCTATCAATCTTTGAAACGAAACAGTGTGCCTTGTTCGAGAAGAGGTGCGTCTTATTACAATTGTCAGAACGGAGCTCAGGCTAATCCTTACAGTCGCGGTTGCAGCGCAATTGCTCGTTGCAGGAGCTAAAGAAACCGTGTTCTCTTCTCTTCTTTTCGTTAAGTGTTGTTTAGTTTATTATACTTGGATTCATATGTGAATAATCTTTGGGTTTTCTATGATCCATAAAGTGTTTGATTTTGCTTTTGAGCTTTGAAAATATTCATAACTCTTGCACAATAATCATCTATGTCTGTTTGATCAAAACCAGATTTGGGGTTTGGCTTTGGTACTTAAACCGCTTTCAAAACTCGGATTGAGTAACCGGTTTCTAGGTTGCTTAAGATACGTGCACAAGCTGGAAACACATACGCGACCAACTCTCAACCTAATTCCTAACAACTAACAAGTAAGAGAGCAAAACCAAACAAAATTCAAAACCAAACCAAACGGGTTTAGATAGATTGGATCTAATCAAAACCAAACCAAAATCAGACCAAATTAAATCAAACCGTATATATCTTGAAGGTACTGCCTCGAACCTCACTCCTCTCAAATCAACATCGCAGCGGATAATCAAGTTCCTTATCCAAATTCCTCACACTAATTTAATGTGATAAAATATATAACTTTTTGAGAATATTGAGAATATTATATAACAACAAATTTCTACGTTGTTAAAACATGCAACTTGGAAAACACAGAGAGAGTACAACTTGTGAATAATGATCAAGTGGATTGGCTGTACGGCTGTAATGTAAACAATGTTGCTTCAAATGCAATTAGCGGATGTCAAGTTGTTAACATTTTAACCCATGAGTCAACTATGAAAATATATAACTGTTTTTTTTTTTTAAGGCAAATTATATCAGCCTTATAAGTTCGTCGAAACCATTAAGATTTTGAGATAATTATGGGTCTTCTTTTTTTATATTGGGCAAAATCAAAAGTTGGCCTTAGTTTTAGAGATATTTTCTACAACAAATGTTAGAGAGAATCTACACCCCTCAATTATCTATAACTAAATTATTAATTATCTGCGTCTTTGGTCAAAAGCTCAAGTGGAGCTGATTTTGTGTTTTAATTAACTTTTGTCGTTTTTAGAAACGTTTAATAGGAGAGAATAAAATACTTTCTTAAAAGTTTAAAATTTTTGTTTAGAAATATGACAAAAAAAGGAAAATGTAATTTAAAAGGAAGTTGCAGTTCTAATTTTTTTATTTTCTTATACACAGAGAGAAACTGACTTTGCAGTAAAAATCTTCCTTACGAAATCTCTCTGGTCTCTCTCTCTCTCGAAGCGTCTCTTCTTTGGATCAAGCGGCGGAGGCGGCGGCGAAGAAGAAGAGAGATTCGTTTTTAGTTATGGTTGAGACGAGGCGTAGCTCTTCGGCTTCGAAGCGGTTCTCTTCTTCTTCTCCTGAACCTTCATCGTCACGGCCTAGCAAACGATCCAAGGTTATGATCGAGACCAGCGTTACTGCTTCTGTTTCTTCTGTGCGTAATTAGTTCCATTGGAATTGTTGATTTCGCTTCAGTATTGGGGCTTAATTCTCTTCTCCTGGATTCGAATCTGGATTTTTGATTTTGAATTTCTTGGTTTTCTTTTCGGTTCGTTGATTTTTACCCTTTTTTGGTTTTGGGAAACCCTAGGCTGCGGCGGCGGGGGCGGCGGAACCGGCAGGGTCATCGTCGGCGAGTGAGGTGCCGATTGAAAGTCAAAATCCGGTTTCGGATCCTGGATCGGAATCTGGAGAGCCGGAACTGAGAACTTCTGATCTGCAGACTAATGATGCTGAAAGGCCTGCCACTGCAACCGATGTGCCGGCGATGGAGAACTGTCCTGATACCGATATGAATCCAGAAGTCGAAGGCTTGGTGACGCCTACGCCCGCAGGTTAGCATGTTGCATGTTGTCCTCTTAACGGGTTTCTCATGGAAAAATTTATCTCTTTTTCTCATATGTGTGGAATTGGGTTTCCAGGTGAAGTTGTGGCGGAAGCTGAGAAATTGAAATCCGGAAAGAAGCGGATTGCTAAGGCTCCTTGGGCGAAGCTGCTCTCTCAGCATCCTCAGGTGAGACTGCTTAATATGTTGTTTGCATGTTTCTCATTAGGGTGTAAGTCTAGGAAAGATCATGGCTTTCGGTTTATGGTCGAGTCTAGTTTTTTTCCCGCTATGTTATGTGATAATATGGCCTGTTCGGAGGATTTTCTGACAATGCTCAATTTTGACGAACCTTTGGCCCTAATGAGAAACCTTTTGTATTTTTCTGTTGAAATGTTGGCTGATGGTGAAATTGTAGCTGATAAGTAGGAACTGTGAACTACTCTCTGGTTTATGTGTAGCATTTGAGTTTATGTTGTTTCTGACTGTCCTGAGAAAATAATTTGCAATTTTAGAACCCTCATCGTGTCATGAGAGGCTCTGTGTTTACTGTTGGACGGCGAGGATGCGATTTATGTATCAAAGATCAATCTATGCCTAGCGTTCTATGTGAACTGAGGCAGTCTGAGGTATGGACTTCTATCAGATTGGTTAAGTCTTCTACTATCCTAAGGGACAAAATCCTAAGGGATATATTTTTTTGGGCAGCACGGAGGTCCATCAGTTGCATCGCTGGAGATAATAGGGAATGGAGTTCTTGTTCAGGTCAATGGCAAAATTTACCAAAGAAGTACTTGTGTTCATCTGCGGGGTGGTGACGAGGTTGTCTTCAGCAGCACCCCTGGGAAACATGCTTACGTATCCTTTTAAGAGTGTTCTGGAAGGTTATCACATTCCGTAATTAGGGGTTACATTTCTTCTTTTATTTATCTATCTATGAGGTTCTTGCTAGTTTTTTTTCCTTCACGTGTGTTCAGATATTTCAGCCTCTTAAAGATGAAAATCTAGCTGCACCAGACAGAGCTTCTTCATTGAGCATTTTCGAAGCGCAGAGTGCCCCTTTGAAAGGGCTTCATGTTGAGACAAGAGCAGGAGACTCTTCATCTGTTGATGGGTCTTCTTTATTGGCGTCTTTAACAAAGTTACACAATGTCCCTTTTTTACCACCTACTGCTAAAAATGTCAAAAGACAGCAAAATTCAGAGGTGCCTGTGCTGCCTTCTAGTAGCAATGATTGTATCCCGGATGTTGACATGAACGATGCTGACAGTAACAATGATTATGCTGCTATTGCTTCAACGGAGAAAACTATTGCTTCGACCTCTTGTGCTGCCAACGATGACCAGAATGCAGATGGAAATGGAATGGATCCTTTTCAAGAAGCTGAAGGTGGAAATATTCATGGTTCTGATTATGAAATTAGACCAATTTTGCGCTTACTTGGGGATCCTTCTGAATTAGATTTGAGGGGGAGCATTTCCAAAAAACTGGTGGATAATCGAAGGGAAGTGAAGAAAATACTTAAAGAATATGACAGTTCATCAGCCTCGGTATCAACTAGACGTCAAGTACATAAGGATTCTCTGCGAGCAGGAGTAATCAATCCTCAGGACATAGAAGTTTCTTTTGAGAGCTTCCCATATTTCTTAAGGTCGGTGGTGGTTATAACTTTCTAATTAAATTTCTGGTATAGAAAAGCAAAGTTGCAAACTATGACAAGATGGACAGTGTTGTGGTCTTCGAAGTTTTGATAAACAACTTTCTGAATTGTCGCAGTGGCACAACTAAGGATGTTTTGATAACATCAACTTATGTCCATATGAAGTGTGGAAGCAAGTTTGGAAAGTATGCATCAGCCTTGTCAACAATGTGTCCCCGTATCTTGCTCTCTGGACCAGCTGGTATGAGGGAAACTCTAGACAACTATTGCTTATAAATGTTGTGTTTCTCATTTCCATTTTCCTAACAAAAATTTCATATGGAATATTTGAAGGGTCCGAGATATATCAGGAAATGTTAGCAAAAGCACTTGCGAAGAATTTTGGGGCCAAATTGATGATTGTTGACTCTCTCTTGTTACCTGGGGTAAACTTCCCACTTAGCCTTTATATTATTTTTCTTATTTGAGCGTATAATTCTATTCATATTCTTTTTCTTATTTGATCAATTTTTTTTTCCGGTTTAGAATCGTGAGCATATTGGTTTTAAAATGGCAATTTGGCAATCTTGACTATCGGTTTTAAAAGCCTTAGAAGCTATATTTGCCCGGGAATCTCTCAACTTATTGGGATTTATACAGTACTGCTAGCATTGATTCTCTACTATTTCTGGATGGATTCAGGGATCAACAGCCAAGGAAGCAGATTCTACCAAAGAAAGCTCTAGGCGTGAAAGACTGTCTGTGCTTGCTAAACGAGCCGTACAGGCTGCTGTTTTGCAGCATAAGAAACCAACTTCAAGTGTTGAGGCTGATATAACAGGTGGATCAACATTGAGCTCTCAGGCTGTCCCGAGGCAAGAAGTGTCGACTGCAACCTCTAAAAGTTACACCTTCAAAACAGGTATGGTTGCTCATGTATTATTTTTCACTTTCGTTTTTGTCCCACTTTCTGTTCAACTGAACAAGCATTTCTGTTATTCTTAGGTGATCGAGTGAAGTTCGTAGGCCCTTCAACTTCTTCCCTTGCTACTCTTCCTTCTCTACTAAGGTATTGTTTGTTGTTTTTCTTCTCGTCTTTTGTTTGAGGTATATTCATCCAATGTAGATTGTTGTTATCAAAACTCAATTTTATTACTTTATTCATGCTATTCTATCTAGGGGACCAGCCATAGGTTTCCAGGGAAAAGTACTCCTTGCATTTGAAGACAATGGCTCTTCAAAAATTGGGGTTAGATTCGATAGGCCCATAGCAGATGGCAATGATCTTGGTGGTCTATGTGAAGAAGACCATGGTTTTTTTTGTACTGGTAATGTTCGTTCTTATATTTACACTTGCGTTACATTTGCGTTAAAGTTTAATTGTACTAACGACATTCTTCGGTGCAGCGAGTTCACTTCGGTTAGATAGTTCTTCCAGTGATGATGCTGACAAACTTGCCATTAATGAAATCTTTGAGGTAGATTTTACCACCTTTTGTTTCCTCACTATTCAATGTGAAGACACTTGGTCCTTGTAGTTACGAAAACCCTTTAATCTCTTTGGCTGATATTGTAGGTTGCTTTTAATGAAAGTGAAAAAGGGTCATTGATACTATTCCTGAAAGACATTGAGAAATCTCTGGCGGGGAATACTGATGTGTATGTAACTTTGAAGAGCAAGCTTGAGAATCTACCGGAGAATATTGTTGTCATAGCCTCACAAACGCAGTTGGACAGCCGAAAGGAGAAAGTAGGAATTCTGTTTAGTCGCTTTTTTGTCTTAATTTTCTTTAGTTCTTCTCAAAATGGTTAATTTGATTTTTTGATATGTCATTTTCAGTCCCACCCTGGAGGTTTTCTGTTCACGAAGTTTGGCAGCAACCAAACAGCATTGCTGGATCTTGCATTTCCGGTATGATAACGCTAATCATTTTTGATAAATCCCATTTTTCAAGACTGAAAGGCATTTTTTTCCTGATCTATAACTTTTAAGCGACGGTAAATCATATAAAAAATGCGAAAAACTGTCTCTCATTGATATGTTGCGAATGTTTATTCATGTCATCTGCAGGATAACTTTGGTGGTAGACTGCAGGATAGGAACAAAGAAATGCCTAAATCAGTGAAACAAATCACTAGGCTATTTCCGAACAAAGTAGCCATCCAGTTACCAGAGGTCTGAGCCTTTATTTCATTTTTTCTTGTCTAGAGCCATTTTATTATTCTTTTTACTTCATTTTGTTTTCAAAACATAACAGGATGAAGCTTTGCTGTTGGACTGGAAGGAGAAACTTGAACGTGACACAGAGATCCTGAAGGCTCAAGCTAATATTACCAGCATCCGTGCGGTGAGCATGAAGTCCCATGTTTATCTTAATGTTCCTGATCCCATTTCTTTTTAAATGTTCCTGATTTTTTTTTTTTGTGTGTTTTCCTTATGTCTTTGTTAATGGTTCTTGCAGGTCCTCAGCAAAAACCGCCTGGACTGCCCTGACCTTGAAACCCTGTGCATCAAAGATCAAACCCTTCCGTCTGATAGTGGGCATCTTGCACCTTGCCTTTTCTATTTCCTCGAGGGTCCGGTTATTTGTCTAACCCAAAACTTCATGGTTAATAGGTGTGGAGAAAGTGGTTGGCTGGGCTTTCAGCCACCATCTTATGAGCTGCTCAGAACCGACGGTCAAAGACAACAAGCTTATCATCTCTGCCGAAAGGTGAGCTTCTTTGAATAAGAACCCTGAATTATAGATCTTGCAGTAAAACTTAAATTATTTTCTTGAAAATAACCTTTTTGGCGTGTGTTGCAGCATCACATCTGGCTTGCAGGTGTTGCATGGGATTCAAAACGAAAACAAGAGCACAAAGAAATCTCTCAAAGTATTATTCGTAAATTTTTGCCTCCTAGGTTGACCTAGTTTCTTCTAGAGTTTCAACAATTACAATGCTATATTGTTTCAGGATGTTGTTACTGAGAATGAATTCGAGAAAAAACTCCTATCAGATGTCATTCCTCCAAGTGATATCGGTGTTTCTTTTAATGATATTGGGGCTTTGGAAAATGTGAAAGACACCTTGAAGGAGTTGGTGATGCTTCCTCTTCAAAGACCTGAATTGTTTGGCAAAGGCCAGCTTACAAAGGTACCTTTATAGGTTTTCATTTTCAAATGTCTGTTTCACTCTCTCTTTTCTGGAAACTTGTAACTGTTTTTTCATGCAGCCTACAAAGGGTATACTGTTGTTTGGACCGCCTGGTACGGGGAAGACAATGCTTGCAAAGGCAGTGGCGACTGAGGCTGGTGCAAACTTCATCAATATATCAATGTCCAGCATTACTTCAAAGGTATTTATTTCTTTTTAAACTGTGACACTGAGTAATATTTACTTTGAGATTAGACTTGACATTTAGACTTTTCTTGTAGTGGTTTGGCGAGGGAGAGAAGTATGTAAAAGCTGTATTCTCGCTGGCAAGTAAGATAGCACCAAGCGTCATTTTTGTTGACGAGGTATGTAAAAGCTGTTTTTTCCTCTTCTTGATGCTTCTTTGAAATCCCTGTTTCTGTGTTTTTTTTTTTTTTTTTTTTTTTTTTTTTTTTTTTTTGTAACTTCACCATTAGTTTGTTTCACAATCTCATTACTTTTTCTTTTTCTTTGTGAACTGTTTTTGAATGGGAACGAAATTATTTTAGGTTGATAGCATGTTGGGAAGACGCGAGAATCCAGGAGAACATGAGGCTATGCGTAAGATGAAGAACGAATTCATGATAAACTGGGACGGCTTACGCACAAAGGATAGAGAAAGAGTTTTAGTACTAGCTGCTACCAACAGACCATTCGACCTTGACGAAGCAGTAATTAGAAGGCTTCCCCGAAGGTATTAAACTGTCAATAATTATATCTGTTTTATGGTGTCATCGTCATATTTCCAAGCATCGCTTAGAGTTGACCTTCGTTGCAGGTTGATGGTTAATCTTCCGGATTCAGCAAACAGATCGAAGATCTTGAGTGTAATTTTGGCGAAAGAAGAGATGGCAGAAGACGTAGATTTAGAAGCTATAGCAAATATGACAGATGGGTACTCAGGGAGTGACTTAAAGGTGTGTAATTTCCTCCATCCAAAGCAAAAAAAAAAAAAAACTGAAAACCATTTTTCCCAGAAACCGCATTCTAAACAAAATAAAACATTACAATTCTGGTTTGCAGAATCTTTGCGTGACGGCGGCGCATCGTCCCATCCGAGAGATACTGGAAAAAGAAAAGAAGGTATGTGAAAATCAAACTAGTTATTACTACCTTTGATGGTTTCCTTTTTAAAACTAGAACGCATATGGGTTTGTTTGACTCGCAGGAGAGAAGTGTGGCTGAAGCGGAAAACCGACCAATGCCAAAATTATATAATAGTACAGACATTAGACCCTTGAGCATGAATGATTTCAAGGCCGCACATGAACAGGTCTGGGAGATTGAAGCATACAAATGAGTTTCACATTTGGTTGTCCAAGTACACACATAGGGAGTTAATGGGGTATGTTTGTGTTGTAGGTATGTGCGAGTGTGTCGTCTGATTCATCGAACATGAACGAGCTTCAGCAATGGAACGAGCTTTATGGAGAAGGAGGCTCGAGGAAGAAGGCATCACTCAGCTACTTCATGTAAAGAGAAACAGAGAGAAAACAGAGAGGTTTTGTGTTTTTTTCTTCCTTGGTCAAATATCTAAAAAATCTCTCTTCGATCCCTTTAATATATATAAATTTATGTACAGAGAGCGAGAGAGACAGTGAGAAGAGTCCTCTTTAATTGTGTAAAATGTTTTTGTTCTGAGCCCCCTCAATTCTTTTCATTCTCAAAAAGTAGTCTCAAAAATTCATATCCAATGTACTATGCTTATGTAGTAGCTATGTGTATATAGGGTTTAGATACTTTTACTTCTAATTCTTACATAATTTATTCGGAGACCCTTTTTTGGGTGAAATGTTATTGATTCATTCAAATAATTGTATTTTACAAATAGTGTGAAAAATAGTAAGATTCCCTACGAGAGCAATGTATTCGGACGAAAGGATAATGTTCGATGCAAACGGAATTGATAATGCAATTTGGATCCGAAACCAACGGACCACAAAACTCTTTCTTTTTTTTTAAGAATAAATTCTGTTTGAATCATGGGATCAATACAAGAAAAAATGTTTTGTCATTTTTCATAATCTGAGGCAAAATTAACCTGGGGCTTCGTTGTGTCGTCGATCTTCTGGAAGATGTCAATTAATCTCTATATATATATTTTTCAGTTTTGGTTGAAAATGATGTGCTGCAAAAAGCAAGCATAGGTTATAAAAGGTGCACCTTTTCATGGTTAGAAAAAAAGAACTGAAACGCTAGTTTAACGTCACGTGACAGTGAGACGTGGCCCTCTTTTTTTTGTTTTGCTAATCAATCTTTGAAAAGTCAACGTTTGGTCGCTTCGCTTAGGTGATTTTATTTAGAATGGATATTTTTCAGCAAATCAATGCAATGAATTGAATATTTCTCAGAAGAGAGACCATCTCTCTCTCTCTAGTGCTTCGATGTCAGCCATGGAAGTAATGTTTCACTCTTCATGCTTTCTCCTCCCGTCGATTCCCACCGACGGAACCTCAGCGACGAGATACGCTCTGGTTGTTCTGAACCAGAATCTACCGCGATTCACTCCTCTTCTCTGGGAACATGGTACTTTTCTCTTTCTCTCTTTTGACGATGAATCGCTCTCTCTCTTTCCGTCTTCGTAAGATATATGACTCTGTTTTGGGTATTATTAGGTTTGTTTATCTATTTCGAATTTTCTGTGTAGAACAGCAAAACTTCGTCTCTGTGCTGACGGAGGCGCGAATCGCATCTACGATGAATTACCTCTCTTCTTCCCTCATGAAGACGCTCTGGTCATTCGAAACAGGTTATTTTCACCTTTTAATCCTTCTCTGCTTGCTTGATTTCTGAAATTCTTCTTCCAAGTTTGCAACTTTAGGTAGACTAGTTATTCAAATTAAACTTTGAGGTGTGGAATGATTAGTAGATTTGAGCAGCATCTCTTTCTGGAAAAACTGGAAAATCCAAAAACGGATGTGTTCCCTCTGTTTAGAAACTTTGAGAGACACTTCTGAGAATGTATGGGAATGTCTTTAGGTATAAGCCAGATGTTATCAAGGGAGATATGGACTCTATTCGCCGTGATGTCCTCGACTTTTATGTTAGCTTGGTAAGCTAATTTTGTGTTTTTTCTTCCGTTTTCAGATTCTTAGATCCACATTCTTTCTATTTGAAGATTCAACAAAGCTTACATCTATTTTTGATTATGATGTTTATTTTTTCTCTTATCCAGGGAACTAAAGTTATAGATGAATCTCATGATCAAGATACCACAGATCTTGATAAATGCATATTGTATATCCGTGGCTCAACCTTGAATCAAGAGAGTTGCAGAGTAAGTTACTTCCATAGGCGAAAGCTCTGTGTTTTGCTGCTTGTCTTCTTAAAAGAACATTTTCTTCAACTTTGTTTTTTTTTATTTCTTTCTTCTGCTAGCTCCAGATACTTGCAACAGGGGCACTGGGGGGAAGATTTGATCATGAAGCCGGTAATCTCAACGTCTTATATCGATATCCAGACACAAGGATAATCCTTTTATCCGATGATTGCCTCATCCAACTCCTTCCAAAGACTCATCGACATGAGATTCAAATTCAGCATTCCCTTCAAGGACCTCACTGTGGTCTCATCCCTATCGCTACTCCATCTGCCAAAACCACAACCACAGGTCTTCAATGGGATCTCTGTAAGTAACATCTTTGCGTCATTATCACAACCTTTACCGAACTATGGTATTATCACTGTCTCAACGCATCGATCTAACTATGTGTTTTATATCTGTTTTATCAACGTCTCAAAGCAAACACGGAGATGAGGTTTGGTGGATTAATAAGTACATCGAATATGGTTAAAGGGGAGAAAATCACAGTCGAATCGGATTCAGATCTTCTGTGGACTATTTCCATCAAGAAACAAGACTCGACAAGACCCTAGTCATGGGTAACAACACTTGCTATTTTCTACGATGTTATTCTTGATGCATCGAAGTACTTCTTCAGTATGATATGTTTATTTGTTTTCACGATAGCATTACGTAGGAAACAGACTTGGTTCCCGAACCATTACCATCGTTATCGTTATATTTGAATACTTTAGATGCGTTTTTTCGTTCTGTGTGATGATTGCGTTGGTTTTGTCACTTTATTGTGGGGCATCATCATCGTTAATTTGTCTTCGTCTGAACTGGAAAATGTGACTGGGCGTTGGTATGGTAGGTATTCGAGTTCATAAAGACAAAACTCAAAAGGGCAATGAGTAAAGTGCAATCAGACCAAGATTGTTGTCAAAGAAAGAAAGAAAGAAATTAACACCAACTGTCTTTTTTTTTATTGAACATAATAGCGTTTGATCATATTTCTAGCACATTCATATTTGTGGATTTATGGTTTCTTTGATCATATTTCTAGCTTATTCATTGTTTGTATACCATAATCATTCTTCAAAAACGCGAAAATTTTGATTAAAAGTGTGGGAATGTGAAGAATTATAGGGTTCATAACATTATCAAATCAAACTATAATAAAAACAAATACTAATGTGAACTTACCAATACACTTTCTTGCAATAAACCCAGTTTAAAGATTCGCACTTAGAATTGGGTAGAACAAAAAAGAGATTCTCACAAACAATTCCAATGAAAACAAAATATATAAATTTCTTGGTCTACATTTAAAAAAGGAAATATTTTGAGGACTTGTATGTAAATAGTTGAAACACATTTTTGCAATTGTAATTTTGGCGAGAAACAATCCAAGAAGGAAATTTTGGCCCGAAGTAAAGAGATCCCGATTTCTCACGAACCGAGAAACAAAAAAAACTAGACAGCAAAAATCGTCTTGTAATTCATGGAGAGATTGCAGCGAATCTTCGGCGCGGGGAGCGGTTTAGGTCACCCATCGCCTGATTCTCCGACTCTCGATACGTCGGAGCAGGTTTACATCTCTTCTCTCGCCCTCCTCAAGATGCTCAAACATGGTAAATTCCCGATTAACGTTGCTTAGGATTATTCGCCAGATTTGTCTCTCTGTCCGTCTCTAGGGTTTCTAAACTATCGATCTGGTTGCATTTGTCCTAGTTAAGTGGATTGAGTAGGGAGTTAGAGATATTATCGGAACGGTTTGGTGTTGATTATGTTTTGGTGGTGGTACGAAAATGGTAGGAAGAGCTGGGGTTCCAATGGAGGTCATGGGATTGATGCTCGGAGAGTTCGTGGATGAGTACACTGTTCGAGTTGTTGATGTATTTGCGATGCCTCAGAGTGGTACTGGTGTTAGTGTGGAAGCTGTTGATCATGTTTTCCAGACTAATATGCTCGACATGCTTAAACAGACTGGCAGGTATCTCTTCTTCTCTACACTTTATACTCACTTTTCACAGAATCTAAGTCTTCCACGTACCAGTTCAAATATTGTTCTTCTCCAGACCTGAGATGGTGGTTGGTTGGTATCATTCGCATCCTGGATTTGGCTGCTGGCTTTCTGGTGTTGACATTAATACCCAACAGGTAGCTTGTGTTTGCTTAGCTGCACACAGTGATCTATAAACTAGACTTTATCATGCGTTCATTGTGGACATCTGTGTGCTTGTAGAGTTTTGAAGCTTTGAATCAGCGAGCAGTAGCAGTGGTGGTAGATCCAATTCAAAGTGTCAAGGGCAAAGTGGTGATTGATGCGTTCCGCTCGATTAATCCACAGACCATCATGCTTGGGCAAGAACCCCGTCAAACAACTTCAAACCTCGGCCACCTGAACAAACCATCCATCCAGGTAATTTCCTTTATGAAGCTCCTGCTTTGAGTTTGAAAATAAGAGTGAAAGTATTTTTCTGATGTTGGCATTTTTATCCAGGCCTTGATTCATGGATTGAACAGACACTATTACTCAATAGCCATTAACTATAGGAAGAACGAACTTGAGGAGAAGATGCTACTCAACCTCCACAAGAAGAAATGGGCAGATGGTCTGAATCTAAGACGATTTGACACTCACTCCAAGACTAACGAACAGACCGTCCAGGTATCTCTCTCTTAACCGAACAAACAAGAAAATGGGCACAACAAAAGATCCAAAAAAACTCTTTTGTTCAAAGCAACATGATTGTCTCTGGTCTTAAACAGGAGATGTTGAGCTTGGCAGCGAAATATAACGAGGCGGTACAAGAGGAGGACGAATTATCACCTGAGAAACTGGCGATAGTGAACGTGGGGAGACAAGACGCCAAGAAGCATCTAGAAGAACATGTCTCCAACTTGATGTCGTCAAACATTGTTCAGACTCTAGGCACCATGCTCGACACCGTTGTCTTCTAGACAGGCCGCTTCTTACTTGTTGAATATGATTTTCCCAGATAATTCTTGGTTTTTTTTTCTTCTTCTGAATCTCTTTAGTTTACGCCGGATTACGTATGTTAGAACTTAGAACTAATAGTTTACCATATTTAATAAAAAAAAGACTATTTCCTTGGGTTATATTTTACTGCGTCTATTCTCTATTAAAATTTGATGTGCTATAGAAGAGTTGTTAGATGCGCATAAAGATCTAAACCTTATTTGAAAGGCCAAGAGTTTATACATGTCGCCGATATAGAATTGCCATTGCATGATAAAGTTGAATTATTCATTTTATAGTTAAATTTGTAAATGTAATGGACAAAACCTGTTGTACTGTGTATCATTTTTTATTTGACAACGTATTGTATGTTGTAATTTAAATTTAAGGGTTTTAGCTAAATTGGTTAATGGAGTATAAAATCATTTACGAATGAATTAAGAGAGATAAAAAAAAAAAAAAAGAGCTAATGCATGTGTAACTAAATTGATAAATGCTGTAAATGATGAACCTTGAACATACTGCTTTTTAAAGTAGCTTACTTAAACTGTCCATGCTTTAAAAAGGACAATTGGATTTTATGTATGATACCAAAATTATATGTTTGGTGAAAGAAATGAATTTGGGCCAAAAAGTAGTTCCGTGTTTCGAAAAAGTAAAAGGGCACTGCTTTCTGTCCAAAATAAACACTAAATCTGAACCGTAAAACCGTGAAAATTTACCAAGCTCTCAGCCGTTGATTGTTTATGATTAGCCCTAACTTCCGTAAACTAGCTTCCACACGATAACCACTCGTGTACTATAAACATAGTCTATCTGAAGAAACTAGCCTGGACTCTTCTCGATCAAAAGAAAATCTTGGAGTCGTCATCGTTGTTCTTCTGTCCTTCCTTCTAGGGTTACACGAGTTCTTTCTTGCTTCCAGTTAAATTATGAGGTAAAATCAGAAAACCCGTATCTCTTGTATTAGCGATGGATTTGGGGAATATAAATTTCCTTTAAGTTCCTGTAAAATGGGAACAAAGACATTTGGGGGTTTTACATTCCGACCTAGGGTTTATGGTGTCTGGTTAGCATCGATTGTTGATGAATGTAGTCTCGATGAGAACTCTGGTTTAACCCTGAAAACCCGTGGAGAGATTAGATTTAAGTTTTGGGGATCTGTGCTTTTAAGGGGTTTTTAAAGTTGCGGTTTTTCGTTAAACTTAATGCGAAATTATTGGAACTAGTGTTTTATTATGTTTATAGCTCGCAATCTGATTGATTCTACGTTAATTTACTTACAGTCATCATCCTGAAGTGAAGTGGGCAGAGAGAGCCGATAAGGTATTCCTCACGGTGCTATTGCCTGATGCTAAGGATGCAGATGTTAAACTCGATCCAGAGGGAGTCTTTAATTTCTCTGCCAAAGCTGGACCAGAAAACCAGCTTTATGAGCTTAAGCTTGAACTTAATGATAAGGTCAATGTAGAGGTAAGATTGTGATACTTTGTCTCCTTTGTTTGTTTGTTTTCTTTTTTTTTGGTTCTGTATGTTGCCTAGTAGGTTCCTAATTTTCTCGTTTCTTCAATCCAGGAAAGCAAAATCAATATTGGATTAAGAAGCATATTCTGCATATTGGAGAAAGCAGAACCAAAATGGTGGAATAAGCTATTGCGTGGAGGCAAACCGCCTCACTATGTTAAAGTTGACTGGGACAAGTGGGTAGATGAGGACGAAGATACCGGCACTGGTTAGCGCCATATCTCTTCGATTGCACTCTCTGCACTTAAAGAAATTTGTTGGCTTTACTGATTTGGGTTCTGGTACAGGTCCTGGAGATATGGATATGGGCGGAATGGGCGGAATGGGTGGAATGGATTTCTCGGTATGCTTTTAAGCTTAAATTGTTAACTAATCTTCTGCTTCGTTTACTTAAGTTTTGAGAAAGACTTCCATTTTTCTTGCCTCTTGTAGAACTTTGGCGGTATGGGAGGCATGGGAGGTCTCGAAGGGCTTGGTGGTATGGGTGGTATGGGAGGTCTCGAAGGCCTTGGTGGTATGGGTGGAATGGGCGGAATGGGTGGTATGGAAGAATTTGAAGATAGTGACGATGAAGGTGATATATTTTTCTTGATTGACTTTGGTCAGATCATTTATGATGAACTGAGACGTGTTATGTCGTGTAATCCTTAATTTTAAAACTTTTGGCAACCAAATGATTATTATATGGATTTGCAGGAGAAGAAGCCAAGTCTGGAGAGAAAAAGGTGGAAGCTCCTGCCGCTGCAACAGGGGAGGCAAAAACCGAAGAGCAAACAGCCGTCAAGAGTGACAAATGAAGCTCAAACCGTATGGTATGAGACTAACCGAGACGAGTCTTTATTATGAATACCCGCGGAATGGTTTGCTCTTTTGTAATCTTTCCCTCTGCTTAGTTTTGCTTCTTGGATTGTTGAATTCCCGGTTCGGTCCTTATATGGTTTGATCCCTTTTATCGATTTGAATTGTTGTTGTTCTTGAACTTGCAATATTTTTGTTGGCTGTAGTGACTTCGAGTTTGTGAGAAGAAGCTCTTTATAAGTTTGTTGATCTCCACAACATATTTCTAGTCTGAGTGTGTGTTACAATCGCCGGGCGCAACCGTAGTTTTATGACCGGAATTAAAAACATTGGTTAATTAGTCTTATCAAAATGCTATGATCGAATGCAAGCAACATATTCGATATTTTTTTATTTTCAGAGAATTATATAGTCAGCATACATAATATTTGATATTTTATAATTTTGAGGGAACTTGAGTAGGGCTGGAATTATTATCCGGGTATCTGCTATCCGATCTGATATCCGGTCCTATCCGATCTGTAAAAACCGGATATTCGTGTAGTTCGGATCCGGATCCTGATAGTAAAATTAAGTATTCGGTTATTTCGGATACGGATCCGGATAATAGAAAATTTTAAAATCGGATATCCGTTATTCGTTTATTAATATTTTGAAAATTTTAAAATCTTTGGATATGCATTTAATTTTTTGTTTTAATTATGTTCGAAAATTGTTTTTAGTTTAACTCTTTTACACATGATTGAAATTTATATTGCATGATAATTTTCTATTTCAGATTGTGAGAGAAGAACATGAAAATAGATAACACAAGGATATGAAGATAAATTAACTTCTTTATTACTATTTTCTCTTTTACTATATAAACTTTTAAACTTTGTGTTATTTGAATGCTACTTGAATGCTTTTAAATTTTTAATACTTGTAATTTTTGCTATGATGATATATTTTAATTATATATGTCATTTCATTATAATTTTAAAAATTGAAGATTTTTTTTTTTAAATCAACGAAACCAGATATCCGATCGGATATTCGTAAATATTCGATTCAAACCGGATATTCGGTTTCCGGATATTCGGAGTTTTCAGATCCGGATCTGGATAATAAAACTGATTATCCGTCAAATCCGGAGCCGGATCCGGATACTTTGAAAAATCCGGATATCCGGTTCCGTTCCACCCCTAAACTTGAATGACTGCAAGTATTGATCGGCTTTGACACGAAATCTAGTTTTAGAGTTACTGTTGAAATCCTTTGAGCAATTAAACAAAGTTCATCAAAATTTGGTTTAAATTTTAAAACGAAGTGTAGTAATTCATAAATTTTGATTACTGTTTGTGTAGTCTCAGTCTACAATATTATTTTAATATACAAAATCTACAAACGACGTCGTATAGTGGACGCTTTTACAAAACCCTCGTGGTTAAACCCTTCTCCGCCGCGAACATCATCATCTCTCTCTGCTTTCTCCATCGAAAAATCTTTGAGAGACACAGCAGAGGAGTTGGAGAGATGGCGAGGTCGAGGAGAAAGTACAAGAACTCTAGGGCCAAAGTTCGCGTTGCTCTTCCCAAGAAAAACCCTAATATCTTTAAGCCAGCTTTCAACTTCCCGCCCAAGCTCCGCGCTCTCATGGCGGACAATGTCCCCGAATGGGACGATCAGGCTAGCGTCATCCAGAACTACAAATCCTTCGGCGTCGTCTCCAACCCTAATTTGCTCGGTATCCGATCTCGCACCGACCATATGATCCAGGATGACTCTCTCAACGTTCCTCCACCTCCGGAGCCACCGACCGATGATCCTCTTGCTAAGGAATTCGAGCCCATCGATTCCGGCAGCGAGCTCGAGGAAGACGGTAACTGTTTTCTCCTCTTTCTCTTATTCTATTTTAGATTCAGTCTGGAGAAATCTCGTAGAGGAGATTCGGAGTTAGGGCAGGGTTTAGGAACTTTGGGGGAAATGATTATGCCTATGAAAAATCTTAGCTTTTCAAACAAACAATCACGGTTTTTCTTCTTAGAATATCATTTTGATGCTTGTCTAAGGCTTACTACATTAGAAGAAGAAGATTCAGATTATCATGAACAAATGCTGATGTCATTGATGTAAACTAGACAAGCTAATTTGTAACTTTAAATAAGCAAGAAGCAGACTTCAGTAGCTTTGTCATTCTTCACTCCTTGATCTCTATCTGTTTAGAGCAAGTTTCCACTTTTATTTGGGTAAATAATTGTTGAAAATGCTTTGATTTGAGATGTGTAGATCTTAAGACAGCATTGGGGAAGCAAAGGAAAGATGGAAAGAGTGCGCCTTTACAGCCACTTACAACTATGCAACGTACACATATAAGACGTTTGGTCGAGAAATATGGAGATGACATTGAGGTTAGCTACTTTTCTCTAATCGTATACAGTTTTTCGGGTTTGTGTGCTTCTCTTTCTTACATGTCTTATTCGTTTGAACAGGGCATGTACCGAGACAGAAAGCTTAACTCGATGCAGCATTCGGTTGCAACACTACGGAAGCTATGCACAAGATATCACATGTACAAGGATACGAACCCGATTTTAGTTCCAAGCTGATTAGTTGTCTGACATCTTTGAATCTTCTTCTCATGTTTGTTATAAACTTACAACAACAATACAATTGGTATCAAAGTTTTTTTATAAATCGAGAATCTCGGATTTCTTTTCTTGACAGCTGTTTAACATATGCAAACTTAAAAATACCATAGAATGTTTAAGCGTTCTTCATTTTTTCACAAACAAATGGTCACTCTCGGTGTAACAGTGTAAGCAAACACACACTCAGAGTAAATCAGATTACAATCATGATAGAGTTATTTTCTTAAACTTATAATCAAAAACCAAGAATCTTCAAGTATTGATTTCTCACTTGAAAAGCCACAACCAAGTATTTAATCTCTATTTAGGTCAGAGAATATGATTCAAGGAAGGATTCTAGGAGCCCTAGCCGGGGACGATCCTGTTCTAGGAGTCGTAGCCGTAGCCGTAGCCGTGGGCGGAGCCTGAGCCGACCGAAGCAGGAGTAGAAGCAGGAGTCCAAAGGCAAAGTCTTCACGTAGTAAGGTAAATGAGCCGTCTCTCTACTGTGTTTTGATTCTCTAGTTATGAACCTTTGCTTTCCTCACACTCAGTATTTTCTTATTCCATTCCATTCTTGCAGTATGGACCTGATTTTCAAATTGATTTGAAGGTCCCGCCAAGGCCTCCTGGCTATGCATTCGTAGAGGTCAGCTCTTACCGACAATATTCTGCTACTGATTACGGTAATTATACCTGAGTGAATGAAGCACTGCTTCAATGTATGAGCTCAGATTCTTAACCCTCGTTGTGTCCTCAAGTGATGAGCTTTGAGGACTCATCTGAGGCCAATAATAAATGAGGAAGAATCATGCACCAGAGAGAGAATTTCAGACACATGAACAAAATGAAACCAGAGAGAGAGAGAGAGAGAGAGAGAGAGCATTCTCTGCGATGTAGATAGGAAGAATAATCACAAATTCAAAATAAAAAAAGGAATATGAAAGGAGAATAACTAAAATCATACACGCTTTCTCTGCTGAGCCAAGCTCCGTACTCATCTTCTAGGACTTGTGGAAGGTCAAAGTGGTGCAAGGTAGCGTGTGGCTGGATTCCTGCTTCCTCTAAATGGAGTAGTAAATACCATTAAAAAGGTAGATTTCTTTAGTCTTGATCAAGCTAGTAATAATTTAATAGGCTCAATGAGTGATGAAAATGTAATAACTATGAGTGACCAATTCATCAATAAGATTAGCTAATAAGCTAATTTTGTCGTACTGTAGCCCTGCGAACATTAGCGGGGTTTAAATGCTAACAAAAAAAAAAAAAAAAACTTAAAAAATATTATATATAAACAATTAATTAACTAATTTTAATCTTAATCAATAAGATATAGATATATTTGGTATATCTATAAGTGCGTTTAATCAAGCGAGTCGACACATGTTTTCCTATTTTATGAAAATGTAGTTTAGGTTTAAGGAAATCTAGACCGATATATAGTTCCTTTTTTCCTTAGGAGTAACAATCTTATAGGAGTATATATATATGTATTATTTGCGATCATGTTAATCAGAGTAAAAGAAGTCCCAAAAAGAAGTCCCAAAAACCCTCGACCGATGAAAAGAAAGAGAACATTGGTACAAGTAAATATACCCGAGGATGTGGTGGTGGAAGAGATTCTCGAGAAACTTCCTGTGAAATCAGTATTGAGATTCAGAGCTGTATCGAAAGTATGGAGAAGGGAAATCGAATCGAGGCGTTTTCAGGAGAGACATCTGAAGCATGAGCAGAAATCTCGAGAGCCGAGTATCGTCCTAGTCAAACGTCGGCTTTACGACAGCGGAGAGGCTGGTCTTACAACATTGAGCTTGGGACAAACCTCAGTTTCGTTGGACAACCATATTCATTACCCTGCAGTGCTCAATCCAGAGCAATTAGGCCGGTTTGAGTTTGTTAGAATTACACGTAGCTGCGACGGTCTGGTTTGCCTATATTCAGAAAACTACTTCATGCTTTCAGAAAACACCTGCATGTATGTGATCAATCCCGCCACTAGATGGTACCGTCAACTCCCCGAGGCTAGATTTCAAGCACTTGCTCCCGATAGAGATCCGATGATCCGCTTTTCGTACCCATTACTTGGATTCGGTAAAGACGATATCACAGGGATACACAAGCTGGTTTGGTTGTATAACTCAGATTGCTTAGACCTAGACGGCCAAACTAATACCTGCGAGGTTTTCTCTTTGGACGACACAAACAACACTAATTGGAATTGGAGGCATGACGTGATTGTTTCTTGTCCTCATCCGATACTACATGGGAAATACCCCGCGCACGTACACGGATCCCTCCATTGGTTCATTGATGCCGGCACACAAGTACAAGTCTTATCCTTGCATCTTCACACTGAAACTTTTATGGTAATGGACAAGATACCTGTTGCCTCTGCACCCCATGGCTGCATCACCATGTGCACCTTGAATAACCGCCTTTGCTTATCGGAGGATAAGGGAGACACGCAAACTATATGGTCGTTTCATCAAGACAACATGGCATGGCACAAAACTTATGTCATTGATCTACGTTCCACTCTCTCAGCTTGCATTGAAGAGGAATATCGTTTCACAACGCCACCCCTCGCATCACTTTTGGATCACAGGTTATTGATCTTTGATTCCAGCGACAGCCACACGACCAACCTCGTGCGATACAATCCTACATCAAAATCTTTTAGTCAATTCCTCAACGCTACTAGTTATTGTTTGGCAGGTGCTATTTCTTACTCGCAAAGCTTAATCTCTCTTCCCTAAAACTCTTTTGCATTACACCACTGATCACTCTGAATTATTATATTTATATATATATATATATCTCCAGAGCTAACACATTTAGTTCTTGATGTTATGACTCAATAGTACGTGTCTTCATGCCGTGCAGTTTTAGTAAACATTCATAACTACTACGGCCATTTTTATTGTTATTCGTTTATAACTCTCACCACACCTACTTTCAAATACGAACCCGAACCCCAATTATGGCAGTTTTGTTACAAACTACAACATACAAGCTTAAAATAATTGGCAACTTTTCTTTTTTCTTAAGCTTACATATATGGGAACCTTTTTTTTTAACATATATATCTTCTTAGTCGTCCAGTAGCTTTAATTAATGTGTCGATAGCAAATCTATTTTCACACAAATTAAAGATAATTAATATTTTGATATACTATTCCCAAAACATTAAGTAGAGAGACTCAGAATATCATCGGCTGTTTAGTTAATAAGCTTATTACATTCAAGATTTTTATATACACAAAAAGAGACCCCTAGATTGAAAGTTGGGATAAATTTAGCATACAAAAACTCACGCCCATGTTGTTGGAAATTTCTTCCATTTGCTGAGCGAATTTCTGCTTGTTCTCTGCAGCTGAAAAGCAAAATCCATTATTTAACAAGATTGTGAAACTAACAGGAGGCAGAAAGAAGAACACAATTGGTATCAAAGTTTTTTTATAAATCGAGAATCTCGGATTTCTTTTCTTGAGAGTTGTTTAACATATGCTAACTTAAATATACCATAGAATGTTTAAGAGTTCTTCAATTTTTCACAAACAAAATCGGTGTAAGCAAACAAACGCTCAGAGAGTAAATCAAATTACAATCAAGACAGAGTTATTTTATTAAACTTATAGTCAAAAACCAAGAATCTTCAAGTATTGATATCTCACTTGAGAAGCCACAAACCAAATTATATTCCAGTGAAGCTTCGGCATTGATAGTCCCAATACTCCTTCGCTTGCTTTAACCTTTCTGCTCTTTCCGTTTTACGCCTCTCTTCCCAATACTCTCGGCAGCTGCATGTATTACAGGTTTTAAAAATTTGTAACATAGTCCTCCTCCTTATAGTTATCTCCAAAATCAATCTCAAAACTTGTTTAGACCAAGAGACACAAATACCCTCAAAACTTGAAACCAAGAGACACAAATACCCTCAAAACTTGAAAGACAGGTTTCAAAGACTATTTAATATGGAGGAGATTGGTTGTACTGTATATATATTTACCTTCGCTTAAGTAAGATACCGAGCTCGTCCAAGTGAACAGCACCTTTATAAACACAAACCTGGTACCGTGTGGGAGAAATGCAAGGGTTAAGAGCACGAAACATGCAAGATTAGCATATCAATAAAGTTGTAATCAGCGGTGAAGAATGGGTCTAACCTCACGGCAAAGCGGGCATTTTTCAGACGGGTCTGCGGTTTTCAAGCCATCGACTACGCTTACTGATGCAGCAGAACAAGCACACATGTAGCAATATATGTGCCCGCAGGTTAGAGATATCGGATCAAACACCGTGTCCTGTTTTTTTCCCCATCAATTGTACCCCGTAAGTTGAAGACTTTTTCATAACATTTCATTTAAAAGAGATTCATATTTCGGACAAGATTCTTTCAATCAGATACTAAAAAAAGACTTGGTCTTTGAAATGGGAGAGTGGAATAGCACTTTGACACAAGAAAGCTAAGACTTTATCATTATAGGCGGATACTTTCTTCTATATTCCAGATCACTACTAAGTCAACTAATAGTTTTTGACATTGAGATTCATTTGAAGTTGCTTACCAGGCATATTGAACAAGTCAAGTCAATGTCAACTTTTACAGAATCAGAGAGCTCGCAGGAAAGTAAAGGCTTCCCATCATCGAATGTCAAAGAGCAACCATCAAACAGTGCAGGAGAAGCCAAAACACCTCCAGATTCCTTCTGGGATTCTTTCAGATTGATGTGAAACGCCATAAGCTCGCAGAGCCATGGTGATTGAAGGATCTCGATTCGCATTTTCTGGACCTGCGTCTTAAACGCTTGTCCTTGCCTAGACTCGTGAATCTGCAGGACAGCAAGATGCAAATATATACAGATTCGACTAACTAAGTGTTCACAAGATTTACAAGCGGTTTAGATAAATCACCTTGTCGTATTTCTTGAGGATTTTTCTAATGGCAACGGCATTGATGAGGGCGTAGTTAACCAAGTCTTTGCCTTCTTGGATCAAACCAAGATGGTTCTTTTTCCGGTTATTGCCTTTGAACCAAGTAAGACACTTTTTGAAACCAGAAGCTAAATGTAACTCAAGAAGCTTCTGAGCATTCTCGTTAAACCATCCTACAACATCTTCCATTTCCTTCAGAAGCTCCGGGAAAAAATTTCCATCACAAACTGCAAAAACAATTCCGACAAATAAGCATCCTCTGTTTTTTTATTTTAATTGATTTAATTCTTGAAAAGAAAAAAAAAGGGATTCTAAGGGGAATTATGTCGAACAGTACCTGTGCATTCACGAGGACAATTGTTGCCATGTTGTTGATTGATGGATTCGTTGAAAGCAATACGAGAAGGAGCATGATCTCTTCTGCATTTCTTGAGAATCTTCTTGAGCTTCTTGAACCCAACACCAGGTAGATTCTTCTTCTCCTTCTGTCCTTGCATGTACTCCTCATACTTCTTACAGAACTTCATTTTCACAATTCCTCGATGGAAATAGCGTGAATATCAAAATCGATAAAACAAGAAAAGGTAATAAATTTAGATGACCATCAACAAATTCGATGAGTTTCTTTTTCTTCTCTCTTTCTCTTGCGTCTCGTGTTGGCTTTACTATAAAACCAAAAAAAGGAACAGAAACGTATTTATGAACAGCGGAAGAAGACGAAGAAGCTGGTGAGGTCGGCTGAAAACAACTTGTGAAAAAAGAAAAGAAGAAAGTAAAAGTCAAAATGTATTTTTTTGGGAACATATCTCGTTAAAAGGTGATATTTGTTATGGAGTTAATGGAGAATATATTTATTAACTCTACGAAAAGCTTGACTATTGGTGGATTTCAATTTCAATTACTTCTTTAATTTTGTTGGATGTATCGTTGCGACAATGTAAATATATACACATTCAATACACATCACATTCGATCTATTTCTTAATGCTGCGTGGATGCGAAAGTCTGGATTCGAAGTTTAGAGGTATCCGATTCGTTGAAGTTATTCTAGTCATGAATTTTTTATGTTTTGTGAAATTTAGTCAGCAGATATATAAACTATACTATATTTTCTTAAGATGTAAATTATAGACTATAAAATGTCTGTGGGATATTTTACCTTTTAACAGCTAGTGTCATTCTTTTACTTTATTTTTTACTTCTAAAATGTGTCTCTTCTTGTAAATTCTACTGTTTATCTGTATAAACTAATTGTAATTGTTTGTTGTAAAAAAAAATGTAATTGTTTAGAATTGACAAATTTATGAACTTTAATTCTGTGATATAAGTAGTTGAAACAAAAAAAAAACTTAATATATATATACATATATATTATATATTTATATTATATATTCATTATCCATGTGTAACATGGATAAAGATGCCACCACAAACACAAAGGGCCTTACGCTTTGAAGGTTTTTCTTGTTGGTGGGGTCAAATTAGAAACTTTTTTTTTTGGAAGTTTGGGGTCAATAAGTCAAATTAGAAACTTATTGATAATAATAAGGATATAATATAATTTCTTGGAAGTTTTAGATTGATTTTGATTTCGCCACGAAAACTTGCTTTATCATTTTTAAGCCGGGCATTTTTGTTTCTTTTAACTTTTTGTCCACTTGTTATTATTATTCACTCACCAATCACCACCACTATCCACAGTTTCTCATGTTACAATTTTTTTTATTTTTCTCATTTTAGATTAATTTGCTTCGATTTTTATTATTCACATTCTTTTCTAACTCTAAACAATTTTTCCCCCCTCAAAGAATGTGATTCCTTTCTATTTTACAAACAAATGTAAGAGGGATATATATGCTCTTTTGCTTATTAAAAACTTCAAAGAAGAAGCTCAAGTGACAAAGACAAATTAACTTCAACTTTATTTAACCAGTTCTTCTTTATTTTATGGGTTGAGTGTTGTACTAAAACCTCGCAATTTAAATGTTTGACAGAGAGCTATATGAATCATATTTCGTACTACATGTCAACATAATGAGGTAATGTGAAGACATAATATCATGATTTTTCATCTGGCTTATCTTCTTGGTTTGAACGTTTCTATCCAGATACATAGTTCATTCTTGTATCTAAGCTCATTCCATAATGTGAAATTTGTATTGTAGTGACTCTTTAACAATTAATTTTTTTTTGCAGTGACTAAAGAGATGATATCTAATGGAAACCGCCAACATATATTAGCGAATTTCATTTGGGACAATTGCAAAAAGTATAAAAAATTTGAAATGTTATTTATTGTAAAAAGTATCATTATTTATCGGATATTCTAAAATATCGTCAAAAAGTTTATTCATAAGAGAAACACCATTAATTTATTGCTCAAGTGCTCTTTGTTTTATAATTCAATTCGACTGGTTGTGTAACATTTTAGGCCCAGTGGCCAGTGCGATTGAAATTTTTAAAAGAGGAACCATATAGAAGGTAGTCAAAGATTTTCGTATTACAATGTTAGTAGTAACTTAGCATATATTACGTAAGTTTAGAATTTCTAAATAAAATACAACAATGAACAATGTGTAATGCTGTTAAAAAAAAGAACAATGTGTAATAAACAACTAGAGAAAATCTGATGAATTTTGGATTCGACGAGAAAGCATCGTATTCGTTTCTTGCGTGAATGAAATGCAAAAGACACCTAGGAATTAGGTCTTATTATGGCTTTTATACGAAAGCGTAACTCCCTACGCAATAATAAGGTCAACAAGCTAAAGCTAGCTTTAATTTTTTATCTGAAAGACATAGAGTTTTCAATAAAGAGGCCCATTAAGTGTCCTAATTAGCCAATATATTATAGAACGAGCTGCTCATAACTACTCTTTGTATGATTTCTGGTTTAGCAACGAGAGTGTACCCCTATAATGCAGATATTAGTCAGAAAAACAAGGAGTGTAACAGTTGGAGACAGATGAGAGGAGAGTAAAAGTTGGAGAAATCAGACCAGATGTGACTAACATGTGGCCCCTTCTTCTAAAACAGAGGCAGAAGACAGATGAGAGGAGATTGAAAAATGTTGTTACAGAAAACGACCACGTTTTGAAGCTAGTAAGAGAGCTTTTTAATCAACTAAGCAAAGAATGTCAGGAACGATATCTTCAATAGAAACATCGCCAAAAGGCAAAAACTAAAAGATCTTTTAATGTCAAGACTATTACAAAACAATCATCAACAGTGTGATTTACCACCAGGATACAGACTTTGTCTCATCTTCTTCAGTACAAATAACCCTTAACATATGATAACTTCTGAAAGCAAATGTATAAAATTTTCCAGCTTTTTTCAGGAGAAGTAGAATGCCAAAGATGTCCTTAACTCCTTTTTCCCCCTGTGGATCTCACAATTTTACCTGCAAAAACAAGTGTTTTCAGACCAGATTGTTCTCTACAGAGGTTTAAGAAAAGATTGCAATATTTATTTCTAAGAGAGAAAATATATATATACATACGGTATTGGACTCCTGCTCCTGCTGCGGATAGGGCTCTTGGCTGGGCTTGGCTTGCTAGGGCTCTTGCTTGCTTCCTTCTGAAGCTACAAAAACAAAACTTATTAAGATAACATACAGTGTAACACATAAACACAATGTGATAGTACTAAAAGAGGTGGATCTTGTTACTCACAGACGGTAGAGGAGATCTTGATCTTGAACGAGATCTGCAAGAGTCCAAGAAAACAAACCAAATTCAAAAATCCAAACATGTGCTGTTTAATACCGTTCACCAAGATCATTGATCCCTCTTCCATCTCACAGAGATCAAGAAGTTGCAAAAAACTAGAAGCAAATTAAACCAAACCTACGCTGCAACTTAGTTAAGACAGAGGACAAAGATTTTTCTAAACCATGCGGTCAAACAACCTTCTGTAGTAAAATGTGCCATGGACGTCCCACGAGAACCCAGATTCCATATTGTCATCATCCATCGGGCATTTTAGTTTTACCGAAATCCGTTATATAATATTGCGATCCAATGTCTCAGTGTTATCCATCTAGCAGTAACGGAAATTAGTGAATACTATATTATGAGAAAGCCAGGAAAAGCAAAGTCTCGATTCCAAAAAGCTTCCCCATACCTCAGAGTCGAAAAACTTGTGAACAACCAAGAAATTCCATCCAGATATTAATTCCCATTTTTTAGTCGATTGCATGTATGTATGTCCATATCTATGAAACAAAACCATTTTCTTCTCAGGAAATCAAAGAGCAGACTAAAAAAATGCAATTATAACAAAATGCAAGACTAATCTAAATCTCGCATATCCCAACCAAATATTACATGAAAATAAGAAGACGATGCTGGCTGTCCAGTGGTGGGCACCAAAAACAAGATTAAACCATTACCTTCTAATCAACAAGGACTTGAAGTCATAAACAATGACGTTTTTAATCAGATTATCATAAATTTAACAACTGACTAAGAAATGTTATCTGATGCATCTTCAAAAAGTAAGAAAATCAATACCTTCTTGGAGACTGTGACCTTGACTTCGAGCGAGAGCGAGGAAATCTTGATGCAGATTTTGCAGGCGACCTACGTGAAGACTTTGCCTTTGGACTCCTGCTTCGGCTCAGGCTCCGTCCACGGCTGCGGCTACGACTCCTAGAATAGGATCTTCCCCGGCTAGGGCTCCTAGAATCCTTCCTTGAATCATATTCTCTGACCTACATAGACATTATAAAATAAATTAGACGCAACACTGAAAAGTATACGATTCACAAAAAAAAACCTCAAGCTTTAACGAACCCGAATGTGTCCATGGGAAAACGCGTTTCGAAACTCGGTGTCGTCAAGCTTTTTCACCTGGGGAAAATGAAAGAGTAAGAGCTTATGAATAATTAATGATGAGTATAAGAAACTCTCAACCACAGGACAAAAACAGGGAAGATATCTCACCGCATACTTCATGTCCTCGTAACAGGTGTAATCCACAACTCCAGTTGTACCTACAAAAACAGAATGTTCAAGATTTTGAATTTTTCAACTTGATTTAGTTGCACAAGTTTACAAGCGAGCTGAGACACATATTTGAAGTAATACACGGCCACACTTACCTCTACCATCACGGTACACTTGCGAGAAACATACATCCCCTCCTTTACGCATGTGATCCTAGAGTAAAATTGAATTCAGAAACCTTTGATGATATAAGACGGGAAACTGAGGAGCTTGTCCACTGCTGTGTACTCACCTTGAGATCTTGCCAAGAAGCTGATGAAGGCAAGCCTGTCACCAGAACTGTGGTCCAAATAAAATCAAAAGAATTAGAGCTTAGTCCTACAACTTTGGTACAGGATAATAATGCTAGCTATATGAATACATACCACGAAACTCTGATCTCCTAGATGGCCCACGTCCACGACTACCACCATCACCACCGCCGCCGCCACGACCACCACCACGGCCACCACCATTGTAACCACTCCGAGCATCATCTGTTGAACGCCTCCCACCATGCGCTAGTTCCACCTAAAAAGATCAACATTTTGATTGAATTTGATTGGAAACCAATCAATCTGAAAACGCGCAAGCGTAGTGTTGAAAAAAAATCGGCAATTTAATTGAGAACGAACCCGTAATCGATGACCATCAAAGTCGTAACCATCCCGACCATGAATAGCATCTTCAGCATCCCGAGCATCATCAAACTAAACAGAAGCAGATTATAGCATTTATAGCAGATGGGAAGCGGTGCCTCAAAAGTAAGAACAAGTCCACATTCTTGAATCATTAAACTGTAACATCGAGAACCAGACCATAAAACAACACATGTTATTATTGCAAGAATAAAGAGTCAGAGAAATGGTCGGTAAGAGCTGACCTCTACGAATGCATAGCCAGGAGGCCTTGGCGGGACCTTTAAATCAATTTGAACAACAGGTCCATACTGCAAGAATGGAATGGAAGAACAAAATATTGAGTTTGAGGGAAACAAAGGTTCATAACTAGAGAATTAAAACGGCTCATTTACCTTACTGAACAAATCTTCAACCTCTCTCTCGCGGATATCGCCGGGAAGGTTTCCAACGTACACAGTTCTACTCGAGCGGCTGCTCATTCTTCCTTGTATCAATATAAAACACAACTCGGCAGTTAAGACACACGTTCAAACACAAAGGCCTGTGAGATATAAGGAAAAACCAAAACCCTCGAAGAGAAGTAACCTGTTGGTCGATTTGAGATGTGCGCTTGTCAGCTCCGAATTTTGGGAATTAGGGTTTCCGTAGTTGGCGATAAGTTAATGAAATCCGTAAGTTAATAGGAGTGGTGGTACAGTAAGCAGAGCATCACGTGAGCCTCTGTTTTTTTAAAGTTGTTAAAAAGCTGTAATATATTACACCATCATTTGTTTTTTCCCGACGAAAACAGTTTTTATATTTAATCAAGTAGTAAATACAAGTAGAGTAAAAGAGATGTTTTGTAAGATGTGTTTTGCCAAAGAGTGAGCTGGTTTAGGGCAATGACGCGGCACTTATTCGAAAGAAGTCTTGAATCTACTTGCCTATCTGGATATTTCACATCCATTGTGTATATCCATTGTGTCTAGTGAAGTACTTGTCTTTTCCATTGACAATTTGAGTTAAATTCATACAGTCTCTTTCGAAAATCACTATCTCTAAAACCCATAACAATGTTCAAAAAAATAATATTAGACGATAATTAGGTCTTCAATAAGAACTAACGCCTAGCCAGATTAAACAGGGATTAACGAAACCTAGGCATTAATCATTTATTTATTTAATTATTATATATTTTGTTTTATATGAAAAAAAATTTTAAAATTTTTTGTATTTATATAAAAACTATGTTGATGCAATATTTGAAATAAGATAATAAATTTACAAGACAAACATAAATGAACATGATTTGAAACATAAATAAAATGTGCAAAATTGATATAAAACAGGACGAGATGAGGTATAATTGGTAGAGTACTCGTCCGATGAGATCGAACACGAAAAGTTCTCATTCCAAATGGTCGATTTGCCGGCGAGAAGAATCGTGCCCCGTGGACTTAGGTCCAATTAGTGTTTTCTTTACTCATTTGTAAATTTTTTTAATTCTTTTCAGGCATATTCTTTCTTTCAATATTGTTTTCTTGTAATTGTAAATTTGTTGCAAATTTGCGAATTTGGTTTAAGGATGCGTATTTTGTACAAATTCTTGATTTTTAGTTAAAAATTGATGTCGTAACAGAGAAAGTAGCTTAGAGAGAAGGTAAATCCTCTTTGATTCTGTAGCTAGATTATTTTGTTCTATTGGCGGATTAGTTCCGGAGAAATCACAATTTGTTTCTAGTTTTTTCATAGTAGGAATTGGTATAGTAGGAATTTATAAAAAGATCAAAACAGAATGAAATGCGATACTAGCCCAATGAACTTGGCCCATTAGAATGGCCCATTAGCATATAAATGTCCGTTTAGAATATCGCCACTAAACCCTAAACCGTAATACGGACAGGCGCCCTTCATATCACGTTTCTCTCTCTCTAGCCTTGGGACTTGTGGTCATTCCTTCGTTACAGTTTCTTCTGTACAGAGATGGCTCGAGGAGTGGCAGTGAAATCGAGCGGAGCTGGTGCGAAGAAGAAAGGAGCGGCGTTCGTGATAGACTGCTCTAAACCAGTAGATGATAAGATCATGGAGATCGCTACGCTTGAGAAGTTTCTTCAAGAACGAATCAAGGTCGGAGGTAAACCCGGTGCTCTTGGTGACTCCGTTTCCATTACACGAGACCATGGAAAGATCACCGTCACCGCCCATTCCAATTTCTCCAAACGGTACATTCCCTTTTCTCTTCGATTTTGTAACCCTTTTGGCTGTCATCAATTCTCATTCTTTAGGTTTCTGCAGACATTGATTTCGCCTGAACCAACTTAAATTGAGTGTAATGTCTTTGCTGTGATGAATAATTTGCGTAAAATCCGTTACTTTTTTTAATTCGATGATTAGCTTTTGGAATGATCATGGATATGTAACCCGATTTTTTTTTGAATTTTCTGGAATCCGGGTGTTTGATATGAAATCAGATACCTGAAGTATCTTACCAAGAAGCATCTGAAGAAGTACAATATCCGTGACTGGCTCCGCGTGATTGCATCGAACAAAGACAGGAACTTGTATGAGCTTAGATACTTCAACATCGAAGACGAGGCAGCTGGTGAGGATGAAGATTAAGCACTCTTCTTCTTCATTTCTTTTAATTACTTACTAGAGTAGCCGAGATTTTTTTTTCTAATTTAACCAAGAAATGATGACGATATCACTTGATAACCACTCAATTGGAACCGGTAATTTGTTTCCCCATGTTGGTTCGGCAAATGTTTTGTTTGATGCGACTCAATTTCGGAGAAATATCTTCTTTTTTTAATACACCTCAAGGTTGTATCATTTTTATTAATTCTAATTTTTAACTTACAAGAATTTAGCTGTTGCCATTTTGATATATTTTAAGAATTTCCTAATTAGATAACAAAAACGACGTTTTACCTTTTTTACCAGCCATAACAAAAAACGACCAAATTACATAACAGAACAACATTACAAGCTTACAAGTTACAAAATGTTAACTTCATTTTGAAAACCCTAAACCCAGTTAAATTGAAAAGGAAACAGAAAAACAAAAGGGTGAAAAGCCTAAATTGACGCAGCCATTCCTCTGCTCTTCTCTCCTTCCTCTATATAAACCTCTCCTCTCTCTCTTCCTTCTCATCCCACAGAGCATTTTGAAACTTCAATCAAGAGAGAGAGAGAGGCCCCCAAGTTTCTTCGATCTCGTTGCCAAGTAAAATATCAGTCATCAGAATATCTCTTCTTCTGCTGCGGCGAACAAGAACCTGAGAACCTCTCCCATAACCACAATGGCTCGCTCTCTCTCTAACGCTAATATCCTCTCCGTCTTCGTCGCCGAGGAGTTCTCCAACGCCATTTTCAGGTAAAACTCCTTCATTTTGTGCAAAACGTATGTATTGCTCTGTTTTCTAGTCGCTTTTACAAACGGTGACGTTTTCGGTTCGCTTCAGACGAGGGTTCGCCGTCGCAGCCAATACAACGTTGCAGGGGAGCGTTTCGAGCGGTGGAGCCGCTTCTGCCGCGGTGATGAAGAATAACGTCGGGCAAGAGTCAAGCGAGAAGGCGCCGTGGGTCCCAGATCCTAAAACCGGTTACTACAGACCCGAAACCGTTTCTGAGGAGATCGACCCGGCGGAGCTACGAGCTGTTCTCTTGAACAACAAGCAATAAACTAAGTTTTTTTTAATATAAAACGCTTTTTGATTAATCATATTAATGTTGTTTAATGATATGTTTTAAGGGGAGGATTAGGAAACGGTTATGATCCTTTGCTGGTGAACTCCATCTTATTCTGTTGCGATTTTTGTAATAATCGTTGGATCTATCCTAATATAAGTTTTAAATAAAAGCTTTCCATGTAATCATGTATGATACTGCTATGATTTATGAATTTTTACTATGGGTCATAATAAGTCATGACCAACAAAGAAAAACTAGAAACTCCAATTGGTATAAATTGTGGTAAAACGTTGGATAAAATTATTAAACGGAAGTAGAAACTAATTGACTGAAAAACCATTGAATGACATTAATTATATCTATATTCAAATGACAGAAAACGGACTTAAACGCTCTAAAATCATCTTAATTAGTATAAACAATATTTGTAAGATCACAACCGTATTAGTTCGTTTCTTATGAGTACTCGATATCGTGGTAGTTATTTAGTTAACTATATATTAGTCAAACTTTGATGTCAACAGCTGAAAACGAAAAATTGGTCCTTACTCCTTACTATGTGCTTAGTTTGGTTTTCATAAGATTATGAATAATAAATATAATCTGGTCAGTACGAATTCTTGAGTCCCAATATTTAGCCACAAATAATGTGTGTATTTTTTTCTAGCAACCACAAGTATTCTGTTATTTCTTTCCGTAATCTGTATCGATTTGTTGATTAATTCAGGACCAGGACCGTCTAGTTATGTATAAAAAAAAAACGTCAAACAATAATATTTACAAAAATATGTCGTGTTTAGATTTTTCTTTTTTTATTAACGCTAACAAATCAAAGTCATAGAGGATTCAACCACGTAGCAAGCCATGTTGCAGTAGGGGAAATGTTGATCATAAAAATAAGTAATATCTCATGTTAATGCTAGTTCTGAGGCTCAGAAGTAAATAAAATAATAAGAAGACGAGAAGCTCTTACTTGTGAGCCTCAGAAATTTACTTTTGAGTATTAAGAAGCCCACATAACTTCCGTGTTAATGGTTGAGATGAAGTGGCTCATACTAAATCCCAACGGCCAATTTGCAAAAACGACATAAGGATACTTTGTAACCTCACAGTTGCAACTAAATTGCGTTTCTTAGGCTAACAAAAATATCGGGTTTTTTTCCATCACAATCAGATCTTTTTTTAATATGAGAAAACACACATGTCAATGCCAATTTCCAAAGGGTCCCCCTAAAATCATCAATCCAATAAACATCTTCATTCGAAAGAAAATAAAAGAAACTATGTATCAGAACTAGCATTTCTTCACAAGCCAATTTAGATAAATATTTTCGGAGTTACCTTTTTGACATATAGGTGAATATAAAACGACAGTGCTACGGATTTTTAAGACCGATAAAGGAAAAGTCTGACGAAATTCGAGCGATGTATCGTGTGAGGCATTTCCGCTGGATTGGTCATGTACAGACGGGCCAGAATTTTTATCTAACGAAAAAAATGGCCAGAATCTTAACCGTATACCAAAACCAGTTATGTGCATATGGGTCGAGCTACCAACTCTAGATCGGGTCCGAGCCTGTTTACCAAAACCGGTTTTGTGTGTATATGTGTCACTAGTAACCAAAACTAAACCGTTTCTGAACCCGAATTCAGACCCCAAAGTTGAGACTCTTCTTCAACCCAAGATCTGGTTCAACTGAGATCGGCTGAATACATCTATAGTTTCAATGAATCAGAACTTTCTCCCCTTGATAAAAATGTACGCAAAACAAAAAAAACGATCTCAACTACTTCTTCACCATCAAAATTACTATTTCCAACAAACAAATTCAGAGCTTACACAAGAAATGAATTCCCAATCACTGTAAGTTCAATAATACATTTCAAACTCGTGTTCATGTTCATGTTTGATTCCTGATAACTTCAATGGAGGATATTATCCATATCGAATTCTATGATGAAGAAGATGCGATCATGACAGTGATAGAGAAGCCCGAGCCATTACTCAATGAAATTAACAACTCGCTGATCTCTGATAAAAAATCCCATCTTTGATTCATCTTAAACCAGAGAAACTCATCAAACTGTCTCACTTCCCTGAAGTCTAACATACCAAAGGTCTATGCTAAGAACCCACACTAATCATAATAAATCAAAAAGATAGAAAAGATCTAACATTTCTCATGGACATTCATAAAGTGCATACTCAAAACCGTTGATCAACTAAACACGAAAATCAAATCACATTTTTATCATGAGGCATACGAATAGATCTTCCTTGCACCGTTTTATTGCTTGTAGGTTCCTAAATACAACAAATACATCGGCTGATTACTCGAAGAACAGAGACAAAACAAAGCAATGGTTGAAACAAAGAAGCACAGAAAACTAATAATGTCAAATGATTGGATAAAAGGAACAAAAAGCATCCCAAGAGTACAGATTCTGTAAGAAAGTCTCCTCATTCGCATGAATTACAACCGAAGTACCTTCAAACCGAAGAAACAAAATGCTTTCTTCCCAATTTATCCGTTTTGGATTTCAATCCGTTGCAATCGAATCCGCATCCACACTGCGGCGACTCGTAAAACTCTTCGATCGCGAAATTCGCCGATGTGATCCCGACGGAGAATTCGAGTTCGTCTCCGTTCCTGATGACCTCCACAATGTTGAGCCACAAGAAGAGAACTTTCACTTTCACGCCGGTTAGCTTCGTGATCTTGTTCTCCGATATGTAGCCAGAGATTGTCGATTTGTAATCCAATTGGTAAGAGCCTTGAAGAGCGAAACTGCACGATTTGTTGAAATACGCGTGGAATTTCCCCGTGGATTCATCCAGATCATATGATACGACCCCTTTAGGAAGGATTCCGACGGGGAAATTGTAGCTCTGAAGGAGAGAGTACGCCGTCGGCAAATCGCCATCTGTATCGGCGGTGATTAACGGTGGAGCAACGCAGAATATGAATAGAAACGAGGCGGTTAAAATCGGAAGCAAAGACATGGGTCTTTCCATCCGAAACCCAATCTGAATCTCTAGAATAAGGAGCAACAAAAAATACTGATTAGGTTTTAGGTTTATCCCGTTTGGAATTTGTTTTCCGTCACTTTCTCGGAGAGAAAATAGACTTTTCCGGGAAAGACGTGAGAGACTTTAAGCTGCCCCATCTAGCGACCAATAAACGACGCCGTTCCTACCGAACCACTGGACACGTGTCATTAGAATGCACATGAGGTGTCCTTTTGGATTTTTGGGATAATAAACAAGGGGTCTTTTTGTCATTTTGTTACCAAAACCTTGAAACTAAGACCATCTCCTTGCAGAGATGTAGTGGGGATATAAGAATTTTGAAGCAATTAAAATAAATCAGAAATTAATAAAAATTTATATACTGAGTTGATAACCTCTTATGGAAGAGTTTCTCTTTCTTGAGTATATATTTACGTGGTAGCTTTTAATTGGAATAAACATTTGTTGTGTTTGGGCTTAAAATCATATATGACCCAATAAAAATCTCAGTCTAATCATATTTCTTGTGTTTTTTAATTCTTTGATTTTTTTTGCAGGTTTGAGAAACTGGAAGCTCGGGATCGGAAAAAATGTCATTCGGCATCCGGAATGAAATTCGTGATAACGAAATACATCACAGATTGAAAGCCGATTTAATTGAACATATATGGCAAAAATTTGGCTAATTACATGTATTTCTGATTTTAATAATGCTTTTATATATATTTTGTATAATTTTCATGTTTTGACTGTTATAAATTATGTGTAATGCAATAAAATTTGGTTTACGGATTGATGTCGGATGATATTATAATTTGGGCTAGAAAATATGTTCACATCGTTTTAGGCTTTAGAAGAATTTTTTTTTAAAACTTAACCTATTAACTCAGCCCATTTAACATTTTAACAACTCTTAATGAGTATGAGGAATGAATTTAAAAAATAGAAAAGGGGTTCTTAATTTTTAAAGATGTCAAATTTATTATTAAATAATGTTTAACAACCCCTCCTGAGTATGAGGGGTGGAGATGCTCTAATTAGCCTAACTAATTAACAAAACAATTTCATCATTAAATTCTTAGTTACACGTTGGCTTTAGTGTTTGTTAGCTGATAAGCCAACAAAAATTAATTAATTAGTTCATTCCAAAGTAGAGTGGATTGAAAACGAACATTTACATATTTTTCTGGTTTTCCATGCAAAGTAGAGAGTGGATTGAATTTGAGCATGAATACAAGTATAATTTATTCAGTTTAAAATAGATAAAGTATTTATTTTATGTATAGTGTAGGCCCATGGGCTTCAAGAAGAAAAAGCAAGCTTACGACAATAAAACCCACAACCACATTGTGGGCTATTCGCGAAATGATGCACCGAGATATCCTCGGAGGCAACGCCAACGGAGAGTTCGAGTTCGTCATCGTCACGATACACCTCGGTGATGTTAAGCCAAAAGAAAAGCACTTTAACGCTTACGCCCATCAGTTTACTGACCCGTCCGTTTCTTATGAAGCCTGAGACTGTTGACTGGTACTTGAGCTTGTATGTGTCGATTGGAAACTTACACGTGCGGTTGAACTAGACTTTGAAATAGCCCGTTTTGGGGTTTAGGTCGTAGTCGACGACACCTTGTGGTAAGATTCCTCTTGGGAACTTGTACTTTTGGACAACCTCGTAAGCAGTTAGATTTTGGCCGGAAACAAAGAAAGAAGTCGCTAAAAAGAGGAAAGACAGGAGAAAAATGGACATTTTCTAATGTTGGACAATTTATGTGTGTTTGCTTGGATTCGTGTCTTGTTTGATCGGAAGTCGTGTTCTTGAATCTCTTTAGAAGTTGGTTTTGATGTGTTTAAAGTGTTTTAGTTTATAAGAAGATTGAAGGGATTAGTTAGGTTCAGAGACGTTGAGATCGGACCCTAAATGGAACGAACGGTCGAGATTCGAAAGGCTTAGTGGTCACGTGTTAAAAAGCAGACGCACGACGTCGTTTTGAAACGAATTTTGATGTTAAACAATTTATTTTCTTTCTTTTTGATAATAATAGTTTCAATATATTCGTTTTTTTTTTCTTGCATCCTATATTGTTTACAGTTACCAGGCTTTACATTTCTTTCGCGTTGAGCTTGGTTTCCGGATTGTTACAACAACAACAAAAAATACAGCTTCTGCCTTCAAATGAATTAGCTAAGAAAAAAAAAGAAGGGAAAATAACAAACAGAAATAATTATGAAATTAAACCGCTGCTGTAAGGCACTCCGGTCTTCCAAATCCAATCATCCTCGAGAAATAAACCAGTGACTGTGAAATTAGCTGCATCAGTCGAATTAATCACCTGATAACCGGGCCATGTGACCCGGTTTGTAGTGTTTGAACCCGGTCCGGTATTGTTAAACTCTGCATAGTATAATGTACTCAATGCGAAATCCCCGTTCCATTCTCTCCAACCAACCGGTTCAAGAAAACCGTCAATGTACGATTGCATAATAACCGTCCGTGAATACTCTTTCCATGGTCGACCCAAATACGTCCTAACCGTATAGTTACTCGAGACAAGATCATCCGCGGGTTTAATCGTACAGTTATGGATCGACGTACCGGTGTTCTGGTTCGGATCAGACCGGCCTTGAGCGGTGATGGCGTTAAACTGGTTCGGCATCGGTTGTCTCGGATATAAATTGCAATTCTGTAACACAACAGCCGCGTTTCCAAATATGAAATCCACTGTTCCGTAAACATCGCATTCTCTATAAAACTGTCTTAGAGAATGCGTGTAAAGCGTATCTTGATAAGCCTCGAAACTGCAACTATAGAAAATAGAGAAATCTGCACCGCTCCGTAACGCAACCGCCTGGTGCTTTTCCGGTCCGGCCGTGTTCCGGAAAGTTATGTTTACCGCCACGAAGTTCGGTGCTGTCACAGCTGAAAAAAATCATGTGCACGGTTATTATCAATTTATGCATCTTTCCACTAGGTTATATACTTATATGTATAGTACTAAAATATAAAATGAAATGTTTGTTAGTACACTCGGTATTATTAATGCATCTAGTCTCCTATTCACCACTTTCAATCTAGCTTTTTTGACCTATAGTTGTATATGCAATAATTAAAGGCATCTCTTGACGTACTCGATAAAGTAAATATTATAGAAAAACCACTTTAAGATCTCGAGACATTATAATTTAATAACATGTGATGTGTGACGTACCAAATGTGGCGGAGTTGAAAGTTGTCCAACCGTCGACGACGCTTCTATTTCCGGTGACCACCGTCTGATTAATCCCGTCGCCGATCATCATCATATACCTTTTGTTCTTTGCGATCGAGACGTATTCTTCGTAGATTCCCGCCGTTACGTAGATCAAGAAGAAACCGCCGCTTCCGTCGGTGTTATTCGGCGCCGACGCGACGGCTGCCGTGATGTTGGTAAAGTTCCCGGTCCCGTCTTGACTCACGGTAACGATATCGCTTATCAAGACCATGCTTCCGTCGTCTCCGTCATCATTGCCGTCACCGTCAGCGAGTTTTCTTCTGCTAAGAGACTCGTAAACGGCTTTTGTTCGCTCCGTCATCTTTAACGGTAGCGCTCCGTTACGGAATAGACGGAAGGGCTTGGTGTGAGTGGCTGATCCGGATCTCGGGTGCGCCCAAGCAAACCCGGCCCGTTTCTTCTTTTTTGGGACCCAGCCTTTAGTGAAGAGAGCGAGTGAGACGCTAAACAGCTTCGTGTCATTCACGAGCGGCAAAGCGACACCGTTTCTTACTGTCCACGTGGCGGAAGAAGAAGCGGCGGTGGTAAGTCCCTCTAGACACGTCTGCTCGTTTGTTAACGCCGCGGAGAGAAGTGTGTGGACGTCGTCAGCTTTTGGAAACGACAGCGTTTTAAAGGAAGAGGATTTTGATGACGTGTCGTTAACGGTTTCGAACGACGTTAAAAGATAGTCCATTGTTAGACCAGCTAGGAAACGGCAGTCTTGGAGCGCTCTAATAACGGCGGGTTGAGACAAATGAGCGTTGCGTTTTATGTATTTATCGACCGTACGAATGAATTTTCGCGATTGCGATAGCGATTTGCGGATAGAGAAGCGGCCGTACTGCTGAACATTGCCTTGGCTGTGTGGGAAAACGGATTTGCAGTACTTTGGATCCGGCGTCGTTTTGCAGATCGTTGAAGGGTTTGATATAGTTGTAGAAGCAACGAGGAGTGCCTGAACGAAGAATAATAATAATATTGTGGTGAGAAAGAGTATTGGAGATTCCATTGTTACTGGAAATGTATTGCTTTTTGTTTACTGTGAATAAAGAAGTTTAGGTTTAGTGGTTTATATAGAGTGTGTTGATGATGAATGAGGATGAGGTGGGTCCATTTTTGTAAATTACCATCAAGTTTATTGTTCTTAACAATTTAATGTTTATATAAGTGCACAAGTATAATTTAATATTGAATGCGATTATTTTTCTAAGTCAACTCGTTTGGGAGTCTTAAAAACGCGTAGGTTGTTTCTGGATATATAAATTATCATCGGATACTCTTGTCTGCATATTCAAACTTGCTTAGCTGTTAATGCAGAACCTTATATATGTTCGTCTCATAATCTTGTATCTTAAGAATAATCCATTACATATATATTATAAATACAAGATATGCTTTAATATATGATGTGTATGATAATGTATTTCGATGATTGATCGAGTGATTTTATTATTAGTAATATATACCTTTTTTAAAAACAATTTGTTGAATTATAACATGTCGGATAACATATGTCGATGGATCCAAATCCAATTTAACAACATCGAATTCTTACTCCATATATCTGAATGCAGATACGATTTAATGGAAAACTAGACGAACATTATGGTATCTTCGCGCAAAGATCTAGAAGTAATATTCATATAAACAAATTCAACTAGATATCTAATGGTTTGCAAATCTAGGCCAGAGTCGGTCGTTTGCGTACCGTTCTGCCTTGAGAGATTAATTGTTTTCATGACAGTTAATTTCAACGTTCTTCATATATTTCTGACAAAAACTATAGTAGTTTGATCAATAAGTTTTTTATTCGAAAAACTATTCTAAACTGGTGACTTTTAAAATATTTTAAGGGCTTGATACTGCGAGCTAATCGAATCTCAACGGTTACAATAATTCTATGCGTGCCTTGACAGATTAACTGACAACTCGACGTCGTTTGCATCAGTCATTTAAGCAGACGAAATTACAATTTACATTAGATCGTTTGCAAATTGCAGCTAAAGACAGTTACTATGGTTAATTATGATTTTTAACTCATATTTTGTTTGGTATATTTACGTATTGTGAATCTAATTAACACGAATCTGATGGGGAAAGTAAAACTAAATGTTAACGCAATAATACGAATCTAGTTAACACGAATCTGTTGTAAATAAAACGTGAAGACGAATCTAATCCGTAGACAGCATTTATTGGGCAAGTATTGCTATTATACCGGCCCAGCTATTCTATTGGGCATAAACCCAATCCAATACTTCTCCAAAACATAATCCATCTTAATTGTTTCTCTGAAATCGATATATTTTGATGGATATCGATGCTAACGAATATTTAATATTAGTATATTACCATCAGTTCTAAATACTTCTGCTGTATGAATGTTCAAAGAATGCTCTGGATGTTTTGTTCATATTTCACTACTAGGTAACAGAGGAAGAGAATATGTTAAGATTCTGTACTTTTTATGGCGAAATTAACCCGACTAATCTTGAGATATACAAACTCGTTGGGTACAAATGCACCATGTCAAACATTCGGGACAAAACGCTAAATCAACTAATGCAGCATGAGTGTACTGTAAAGCCTTATATCTAAACATGCTTTTATCTATTCTTAACACAACATTTTAACATAATGTAAAAACTCATATCTTAACATAAACTAAAAAAATGTCAAAAAATAAAAATCAAACACTAAATTAACTACATACAAGTTCGTGGTGGTTACGGATCGATTTTTTTATCCAGGTGAGGTGTATTAAACTAATTAACATTTTCCATAAAATGATGGTAAATTGTGAAACGGAAAGACAGTTTTGCCATTAAGAGTAGGAATTATCTAAGAGCATGTACATGTAGGGTTCATGGCACAGTTTTTGAGATAAAAGAGCTTAATTTTGAAGAGACAGTATTATCCCGACGAATCTGAAGAGACGGTATCATCCCGAAATGAAACATTCTGATTGATCGAAAATTATAATTTTTGAATTAAATAAAAAAGAAAAACTAAAAGCAAAAAAAAAATATTATTATATTCTAATCAACCCCTCTCTTTTGGATTCACATGCTCTAACATCTTTAACAAAAAAAAGTTATTATGAATCCCAAAACGTGGAAAACGACAAGCCGGTCAAATGGCCCGGTTTGAAGGTCACCATCGGTCCATTTAATTTATTTTAATGTAACGAGTGACATTATTATACTAGCCTACTAGGATTCATCACATGCATGCAGCATGTAGTACTATACACACCCCCATTATTAGTCCTTATTCAACCCCTTACCAATGATGTATATGACTATATATATACCAATAAAAAAAATCGTTTTTGGCAACACTCTTCCCACAAGATCTCTTTCGGGAAAAGGATAATATTCAACTTCGAGTTTTCAACTATATCCTTTATGGAAATGGCAAACCAACTTCAACCATATAGAGTTATAGACTATCAAGAATGTTATTAAAGACTTTAATTTATTTTAATTTTCTTTTTTTTTGGAGATAATGAAAAACCAATGTGCATGCATTGCATTAATTTAATGTTACGAAGAGTAAATGTAGAAGATATTGCTTATCCACTTTGTAAGTTGGGCCCTCGAAGTATTAGCCCACTCCCTAGGAGCCGAATCAAGCGTACGGACAATGATTAATATTTAAAATATTACTAAAAGCCCCTCCATGTTATTATGTTTCACCTTACCCACCCGGACTTGTTCTGATTTTGGACACAAGGCCCACAACTTCCACATTCGTTCTTTCGTTCTCTCAGCTCCATCTCTTTTCTTTTCTGACAAAACATATGCATATCTCATTATTATTATTTTTGGTCATACGACGTAAAATTGACTTGACGGTTCGAATTATTAATTTTCTTTCCTTTTTGATAATATTTTTTCTTCTTTTCTTCCCCTTCTTACCTTACTGATAACAACAATTAAATGTCTCGACTGAATTTTCGGTATGGGTGAATGGGTTACAAAACTTATACGATTTCGAGATTGTGTTAAACGATGAGAAATCAAAAAAAAAAAAATTTACAAGATCCTTTCAAACGAAATTTCTTTTTAAATAAAGCTAAGTGAACAAAATTTTCTAACTGTGTTTTTTATTTTTTTGTCAACTCGTAAAAATGATATTGTCATTTCTAAAACTTTTCGTCTAAAATCGGGAATTTAAGAGTATAAGTGTGTACAACGGACAGGTATATCACAAATGAAATTAATATCTTGGATTCTTCGGTTCCAAACATTCTTAACGACTTTTTATATTAAAAAAAAACACATTCATATCGAATTAAAAACAAAACTTTTACGAAATTGTTTTCAGTTATGTTGTTGTGTTGGCCATAAACATCGATTTACATAATTTCCCGTACAAAAATATAACAAAGTAAGAAAAACACATCTTGCCATTAAACAAAACAGAAAAAAATGTTAAATCGACATTAAAGTTAATTAATGATTTGATATCATTTTAAATAGCATAACTAAGCGGTTTAATAGCTCGGTGAGAGAGAAGGTGGAAAGTGAGGAGAGAGAAAACCAGTATTTCTATAAAAAAGCTTACTTCCTCTGTTCATATAGCAGCAAGCTTCTTCTTCTTCTTCTACACACAGTTCATTCATTGGTTAACCCAAGCTCAGAGAAAAATGCCTCTTCCTCTCTCTTCTCCTTCTTTTCGAGTCATCATCATCTTTCTCTCTTTCTTCTTGCTTCTTTCCGATGGCTTCTCCTCACCTTCTCCTTCTCTACGCAGCCTCCACCATCGTCACCGCCTCGACAACCACAATTACAAAGACGCTCTCACCAAATCCATTCTCTTCTTCGAAGGTCAAAGATCCGGAAAACTTCCTCCGAACCAAAGGATGACTTGGAGGAGTAACTCTGGTCTCTCTGATGGCTCTGCCCTCAACGTAAATTACACTACTTTCTTCCCCGTTTTTTTTAAGTGGAAAATGTGTCGTGTTTTTTCATTTTCTTTCTTTTCATTTTCCGTGATTGGTTACAATCTTACAGTATTGAACAACATAGTTTAGATTAGACATATATATATTCATCAAAATATTAAACAGAGAAAATAAAACTCCATTTTTGAAGCCCTTATTTTGTTCACGAATATTTTTTAAATTTCTCCTTCAAAAGATTCAGCCTTTATGGGTTTGATGCATAAAACTGAGTAAACATCATTGTATTTGAAGAAACCTTGTTGTTGTATTGGGTATTTTATGTTTAATTTCTCCACCAAGATTCAACATATAGGGCGTTTTGATGTCTAAAACAGAGGAAACACAATTCATATCTGAACCACTAATTTTTGCTAATGGTTTTTTAGTTAAATTTTCTCTATGAAATTCATCAAAAAAATTTAGCCTTATGGGCGTGATGTATAAAACAGAGTAAAAGATAATCCATATTTGAAACTTTTTACAATTTTAGAACGGGCTTTCTAGGTCCACCAAACAAAAAATAAAGAATCAATCTTTATGACAGAGTGAAACATTCTAATCTTTTTGAAAATCCTTATTAATCTTGGTTAATTTGGGTTAAATTTGTAGGTGGACTTGGTTGGAGGATACTACGACGCAGGGGACAATATGAAGTTTGGATTCCCAATGGCATTCACAACCACAATGCTCTCATGGAGTTTAATTGAGTTTGGTGGTCTCATGAATTCTGAATTACCAAACGCTAAAAACGCAGTTCGTTGGGCCACTGACTTTCTCCTCAAGGCCACTTCACATCCTGACACCATTTATGTTCAGGTTTCTTAATTTTACTCATAAATTCTCTCTTGTAAACAAGTCAATTTTTTGGAAAACAGAGGAAGAAATGGTTTATGTTAGCGTTTTATAGGTTGGTGATCCAAACATGGACCATGCTTGTTGGGAGAGACCAGAAGACATGGATACACCAAGAAGTGTGTTTAAAGTAGACAAGAACAATCCTGGTTCTGATATCGCCGGTGAAATCGCGGCCGCTCTTGCCGCCGCTTCCATTGTTTTCCGCAATTGTGACCCTTCTTATTCTAATCTCCTCCTCCAACGAGCCATAACGGTAACTCAACTAACCCAAAAAAAAAAAAAAATCATTATTATAAAGACAATAACCACATTGTCATTCTTCAAAGTTAACAAAAAGGAAACAATCCTCAAATCGGCATTTAATAATCATGTTGCATTTTTTTTTTAAACCACAGAATTTGCGAATTCAAAATGTTATAAGTCTGAGCGCATTAATGAAATTGCTTTTGTGGGTTTTTAAGGTTTTTGAATTTGCGGACAAATACAGAGGACCCTACAGCGCTGGCCTAAAACCAGAAGTTTGTCCGTTCTACTGTTCTTACTCCGGATATCAGGTTCAAAGTTTTTTAAATTTTGATAATGGGTCTAATTTTTGTTTCTAAAATCCTGTAACGATTAATATCGAAAATGTAAAATCGAATTAATGTTTCTTTTTTTTTCAGGATGAATTGTTATGGGGTGCAGCTTGGTTACACAAAGCAACAAATAAGCCCACATATCTCAGTTACATAAAAGATTATGGACAAAACCTTGGAGCTGATGAGTCTGATAACATGTTTAGTTGGGATAATAAGCATGTTGGTGCCAGGATTCTTCTCTCCAAGGTCTAAAACAAAAAATGAAAACAAATCCTAATTTTAAAAGTGATTAAATATTGAAATTTTAAACCAGTCATAGAGCTTGATTTTCTCGGTAAAGACTGGTTTTCTAGGGGAAACCCATTTATGTGATTTTTTAAATATTTTATTTTATAGGAGTTTCTGATTCAGAAAGTGAAGACACTTGAAGAATACAAAGAGCATGCTGATAATTTTATCTGCTCTGTTATACCTGGAGCTCCATTTTCCTCTTCCCAATACACACCAGGTTTTTTGCTTTTTATATTCTAAAGATCTTATTAAAAATCAAGGAATTTACAAAAGTTACATATACATGTACGTATAGGTGGGCTTTTGTTCAAGATGGGTGAGAGCAACATGCAATACGTGACGTCAACATCGTTCTTGCTCTTGACCTACGCCAAATACTTGTCCTCTGCTCGCACCGTCGCTCACTGTGGTGGCTCCGTCGTCACCCCCGCCCGCCTCCGCTCCATCGCCAAGAAACAGGTAATTCGTTTATATAATCTTCTTGTTTTGCATTAATTCTAGTCAATTAAATGTAAACCGAGACCGAGCCAAAAGTGTTATACAAATTAACTGATGATTGATTATATGACAGGTGGACTATCTACTTGGAGACAACCCATTAAAAATGTCATACATGGTCGGTTATGGTCCGAAATATCCACGTCGGATTCATCACCGTGGCTCATCTCTCCCCTCCGTCGCAAACCACCCGACCAAGATCCAATGCCACGACGGCTTCTCCATGTACAACTCTCAGTCTCCTAATCCCAACGTTCTACTCGGTGCGGTCGTTGGTGGTCCGGACCAGAACGACCAATTCCCTGACGAACGGTCCGACTACCAACGGTCCGAGCCAGCCACTTACATTAACGCCCCACTTGTTGGAGCTCTGGCTTATCTCGCTCGCTCCTTCGTCTAATTAAGCTTTATAAATCGTAATTAATTAGCCGTTGCTATTAAAATGTTAATTAAGTAGTAATGTACTAGTGATTCTATGAATGAATGGCTAAGATGGTCCGATTTGTCTGAATGATGTGTTTAGATGATGTGGTAGTAATTGATGTTAAATATTTAATCATATATTATGCTCTATCATGTATGGCCTCGCTCGCTTATCCGAAACTCTCTACGATGTATTGACGGATTTTAACTAAAAACAAACTTATTGATATAGTCATATAGTAGAACTGTAAAAGAGATGGTAAACAAACAAAGCTACTATCTAGTTTTCTAGTTTGCTCGATAATTTACTTAACAAAGGGAGAGGAGTGTTTTTTTCTTCCTGCTGGACTAGAAAATAATATTGTTGAAAGGATATAAAATATTAAAATTATGACGAAGGATGATGAATTTTTTCATGGGAAATGAGCAATTGACCAGATAGAGAGAGATGTGTCGATTAAAGCTGTCACTGTCTCTGTTAATGTTATGACAGATTTCCTTTCATAATTTTCGTGATTAAAATTTTCATCTATAAAAGAAAGACAATGTGTTGAATATATAATCCACAAATATTTTTATTTTAATGTCAATCACGGCTTTGAATCGTTAATATAAGATCCTACAATGGTGTGATAATGGTGAGTTGGTGACAGTGATATTTTCATTCTATTAACATTTTTAGTCATTCTTCACCATTATTTTAATCAGAGAAATAATGATGGAAAATTATTTAAACCAAGATTCATAGAATGAAATGGAGTTATTAAGTAATTTTTCATTGTGAAGTAAAAAGTATAATGACTATATTTTAATTAGTTTGATATGATACAGCTAATTTATTGTCTGTTTACAGCGTAAGATACAAAAAACAACTTGAAAAATAATTAAGTATTGTTGTTCAAAATTACCTTTTACATAAACATAAATTTAGGAAACATAGATCACAAAGAAACAAGCGATAGTAATTTGTTGCAATTTTAGTTATCGGGTAATATTGATCATTCTCAACCATTAAATCAGATTCTGTTATTACCCCATCATTTGGGGTCAACAGATCCGCAAAAGAAGATGGAACCGCCCACTCTAAACATTTCCCTCAAACAATTACTTTTAAAAAAGAAAATCCAAAAATAGCACACAAAACTAACCTTATAAAAACATGATGAATCCTCCAATGAGCAATTCACTTTTAAATTTGTGTACACTTTTTTAAAAGAACAAAAAAAACAAAAAAAAAATAAAGATATTATCACCATGGCTAACGCAAGAAGGTTGGTCGCCAAGGCAAATAATACTAATGTAGGTTCATTGATTCTGATGGCTTTGGTGTTTGGTTCTTGCGTGGCTAATGGTGAATATCTCGGCGGCCGCCGTGGCCTCGCCGCTAATTCCGGCAACCCTTCTGTCTTTGATATTACCAAGTTTGGAGCCGTAGGAGACGGTTCCACCAATTCTTTCAAGGTAATAAGACCTCTTGAATTTAGGGAACTAGTCTTAGTTTCGTCTCATAATCTTTCTGGATATGTACATGTGACAACAAAAAATAGATCCAATTAATACTAACGTACTTTTTCTTCTAAAACTATATCGGTGACATGCAATGCAGGCGTTTTTGAACACATGGATCCAAGTGTGTGACAGTCCTGTTCCAGCAACGCTACTAGTTCCTAAAGGAACATTCTTGGCTGGTCCAGTTATCTTCGCCGGTCCATGCAAGAGCAAGGTGACCGTAGAAGTTCAAGGCACCGTCATCGCTACAACAAGCGGATACGCGACCCCCGAATGGTTCTTATTCGAGCGTGTCGACAATGTCCACCTCACCGGAACCGGCACATTCCACGGCAAAGGTGAAGCCGTCTGGAAAGAAGATGGTTGTGGCAAAAAGGTCCAATGCAACCTTCCTCCAACGGTAAGAATAAATTAATATGTAACACACAATAATTAACATGCGACTAACTAGTGTTAATTAGAATTTTTTGGTACTAATCACACGTACATGCGTACCCATTGCAGTCTCTCAAATTCAGGAACATGAAAAATGTAGAAATCAGCGGCATTAGCTCGGTCAACGCAAAGGCCTTCCACATGTTCTTGGTGAAAACAGAGAATGTCAACATACACAACATTAAGCTTATCGCGCCTGCTGAAAGTCCCAACACCGATGGTATCCATTTGAGCAATGCGGACAACGTAAGCATCCTCGACAGCACAATAGCGACAGGAGACGATTGTGTCTCGGTCGGTCGTGGCTCCAACAACGTAACCGTCGAACGTGTGACTTGCGGCCCGGGACACGGCCTAAGTGTCGGTAGTCTTGGTAAGTACAAGGACGAGGAGGACGTTAGCGGCATTCACGTTAGGAACTGCACCATGATTGAGACCGACAATGGACTTAGGATCAAGACCTGGGGTGGTTCGGGTCCAAGCAGGGCTGCTGACATTAAGTTTGAAGATATCATCATGCAAAGCGTCAAGAACCCAATCATCATTGACCAAAACTACGGTTCAAGAGGCGGAGTAAGACTTTTTTTTTGTTTTGTTTTATTACCGAGGAAAACCGAAACTAGCTCATATCCGTAGCTTACAAAAATCTGCCCTTTTTTTTGCGTGTGTGTGTTTTCTGTGCGTAGGATTCAAAAGTTGCGATAAGCGATGTGTTGTTCAAGAACGTAAGAGGAACAACAATTACAAAAGATATTGTTCAGATAGCATGCAGCAAATCGGTGCCGTGCAAGGGAGTCAACGTCGTTGACGTGAACTTGAGCTTCGTAGGCAAGGAAGGAGGAGAAAAGTCATCGTCAGGAGGTTTGGTCGGAGCACTTTGCGACAACGCCAATGTTATCTTTGGTGGAAAACTTAGCTTCCCTATGTGCCCCAAATAAGCTTTTTTGTATTCATAATTTTATAATTATAAGAAAAGAAAAATCAAAAGTTTCCACAAACATTTGTTTTGTTTGTGAGTTAGTTTGGGAATACATGAACATGAATTAACCATTGCAATATCTGACTTTTGATAATGTTTTTTTTTTCCCTGACTTTTTGATTTTTTGTTTCTGTTTTTGTGTGTGTGGGTAATGTATATTAAACGGACCCCTTCAGCTGGTTGCTTAAAATTTTCCTTGGTTATAAATATGGCCTGAAAGTATATTATAGTAGTGTATACAACATATAAAAAAGGTCATGTTAATTAAGCTGATTTCACGAATTAGATAGAAATTCGCCTGACGCATGATGTTGATATATATTTTCAAGTAACTTAATCTAAAAAACTACGTATAAATTAGAATTTATGAAAAATTAGCCGATTATATAAGTTACCGACATTCATGATTCTAAACATTTCGGCCAAACAGCTTTTATCATAATTTTTCTTATTTTGTTTTTAAATTACTCTTATTCAAGCTTCATTAGGTGGTGTTTTGAAGACCTTAAATACCTTATTCATAAGATGAAGATATATAGTTTAGTCAATCTTTATTTCTTTTGCAAATTTGAAATATTATAGTACATAGATAAAGTTATCAATCATCAAATACCACAGTTTCCTCCCGGTCCTCCAAAGGAGAAAGATACTCCACTCGACTTCTGGTAACCCCAATATGATAATCTATAACACTGGTACGAATCTGCATAACGTCTTATTCTCCTATCTTCAATATCAACTAATTGATAATTTGAATTCTTCACTTTAACATATAGATAATGTGAACTTTTTTGATAGTCGATAACTGGAAAACGCTCATTTCCCATTGGAGGGCTGATTCCATCCGGAGATGCAAATGTATTTCCTCCAAAACGTATCAAAGAGGCTCCATTGTTTAAATGTGTGAATAATTCTTTGGGCCAATAACCAATTACTTGATTAAATATTTTTAATGCCCAATTGCCACTAAAACCATCCTAATAAATATGAAAACACAAAAAATCATTTAGAAAAATATCAAAATTATAAGAATATATGTGATTTTAATAAAAGAACCTAATTGAAATTACAACAACCAAATAAATATAAAGAGCAGGATTCAAGTGTTTCATAAACAAAAAAAATTGGGTGACCCTTGTTTTTTTAATAAAAAACACACAAAATAAAAATTACAATATTCTTTTCAAATAAACAATTTATCGTAGATGTCCAAAAAAAATATGATTTATCATAAAGAAGGTAAAAAAATTACCTGAAAAACTTGCGGTCTGAAAGAAACTGATTTTTTATCACCATAAACAGAGGTTTCAGGAAACGCTATTCCAATCCAAGGAATTTGAGATACAATAACAAAGCCCGAACATTTTGTATTATAGCAACCAGTATTTTTATAGCCATTTGCCTGATAATTTAAGAAGACATAGAAGGCAAAATATTATGCAGGAAGAAAAAGAGTAAAGACAACATAACCAATGGTCCAAATTTATTTTTAAAATAATCAGGATTTATTTATTGGGTTGCTATGTATGAAGAAAAAATAATTAAATAACAGAATTAATTTATAAAAGAATATAATTAAGCAAATAATTTATTTACTCACAGTCCAATATATTGTAAATCGCGTGAAAGTGTCACCATACAATCTTGGATGTACCTACATATAAAATTATAAAATACATGATGACACATGCATGAATTTAAAACATGAGTTGCTAATATTCTTTGTTCAACAAAAACAAGTATTAACCTCTCATATTTATTCTACAGTTTCAAATGAAAGTTCCATTAATTATATATCTTTATCTATATATATATATGCATATTTTGTTTTATAAGTATGGTGATAACTCACAGCCCAACCAACTTGTATGCTATTTAGTTGATTACGAGGTCCATTCTCTAACCAAATTTGACTTTTACTGTACTGGTTATCTCGTACTGTTACGTTATGAAGACTTATTAAAGCTTCAGCTCCTCGATAGATGCTCCCATCCAAAATGGTTTCAATTGTTGCAAACTGTACATTACATGAATATAAAAAACGGCTCGTTTAATAAACTCTTCAATAAATTATATGAGTTATAACCACAACATTAGTAATTTAGTATAAGGCAACTACGTGACTATAAAAAATATAATATCTTTTTTATATACTACAACTTAATTACTTTTTTTTAACATAAGATAATTTAGATATTTCAATAAAATAATTTTTAAAAAGGTAGATATACATGTTGGCCCGGATAATCGACTGTGTCGAGATGAAGGCTCTCAGTTCCATTTTTTTGTCTTAAAATTGGCACTGTTCCTTTGGGACAAATTTGATAATTTGTTCCCGAAAATAAATTTCTATCAATCTTTTCATCTGAATCAAAATTTTCCTGTAACAAAGATTAAGAATTATTTTGACCAGATTATGCTCAACCAAAGTTTTTTCATATATATTTGATTGAATCAAGGTCATCACCATACCTGAATCTTGTGATGTTTCAACAATGGATGTTGGAAAGCTGGTTGGTTGTATATATCAAGACAATCAAAATCCTGTAAAATTGATTACAAAGTAGATTATACTTAAAATTAAAAATATCAATATCTTAAGAACTGGAAAAATCAAGTAAAAGTTATAGAATTTCACATCAATGTTTCCATAGACCACATGTGCGATAAGCAGATAAAAAGATAGAAAAAACATTAGATGTAAAACCATTGAAATTTTTTAGTTATATTTCTCCATTGATATTGATCGTCATATATAAACCAATTAGAGTCAACAACTAATCAATTTATTACTAGTCATATTACTTCACCACTTATAAAATTTACCTAAAATGTCAATTACAAAATTTAATTGTGTTGACTAAGAAGATAACATACAAATTTCATAAAGGTTGACTAAAACATAACAAATAAAATTCAAAGTCAATTATATAAATTCTATAAATTACTATATCTTAAAAAAAAACTAGAGATTATCAATGAAGTTGACTAAGAACATAGCATATAAATTTTATGCTGTTGATCAAAACATAATAATTAAATGAATTGCAATTATATTAGTTATTAATTTGCTATAAAATACTACTTTCTCTGTTTAGAATTATTTGTTGTTTAAGGTTTTTGCACACAAATTAAGGATGCATTCAATTTTTAGTTTTTCTATACTAAAAATATTATTTATAATTTATTTAAATATTATTCAGCTAATAAGAAGACAATCTGCAAAATATAAAAGATAAAAACAATAAAAATTCATTAAATTTATATTGAAAAGTGAGAACATCAAATAATTCTGAACAAAAAAACCTCTCAAAACATCAAATAATTCTGAACAGAGGGAGTATTTTTTTTTGGTTTTAGGTTGGGCTTCTTTGTTAAGGATTGATTTATTCTTACAAAGTCTTTGTAGGTTTTTTACTCGGGCTATTACTTTTCTTTTGTAGAGGCTTTATCTTTTATATTTTATCTGTTTTGTAAATTGTTAAACCCGAAAACCAGAAATACTTCAATATAACATTAACAAAAAAAATAATATTACAACGTTGTTTGTCACTATGATCAAGTAATCAATTATAATACACTGGAAAGTTCAAATTGGTGTTGCTTTCTAACCAAATGATATATAAAGGGAGAGTATGGGTGTTGCTTTCTAACCAAATGATATACAAAAGAAGAGTATGAATGTTGCTTTCTAACCAAATGATATACAAAAGAAGAGTATGGATGTTGCTTTCTAACCAAATGATATACAAAGGGAGAGTGAACCACTATAATCAATCGTATATCTGGACTCATATTCGCCTGACCCATCTGCTAGAAACTACACATCCTTGTTCTCTGAGTGTTTTTTCCAATGTATGTTTACACCCATATGCAAATGATGGAATGAATTCTACAACCAAACAACGTAAGTGATAGAACATTTGTATTGCTCTACCTAAGCATTTGCATATCAGAAGACTCAGCTAATACACCAACCGATCCAATTGTATGGTTTTTCAGTGTCCATTTGCTCTACAGTTTAATAGTAGAGCCACCAACTACATTGACATTGAACTTACGCCATGTTTTGACTTATAAACAATTTCAATTTTTTATTTTATTTTTGGTATAAGAAATTCAAGAGAATGCACATCTATTCCACAGACTTACAGAAGCAGATATCAGTACAGCTGAACATGATATTATAAAAATAGTCACACTTACCCCTAAACGGCAAAAGGAGTAAAACAATAATCTTATCAACGCTCTTTGCATGAAAAAAGAAATCACAAATTAAGAACTGAATCTACGAACTGATCACATCTGTCTTTGTCTTTGGTTCTGGTCTCGATGGATGCAATCTCCAGACTTCTCCTTTAATTCTGCCCTGATCATTATAGGAGGAGACTTCTGATTCTTGGCTGGTGACAAAGACAGCGGCGACGGAGAGATTACACCAGCCTTTATTAACACTATCAATCAAGTCACTCCGAGTGATCTACATGATCAGGAAATAGTAATGAAACAACACATGAACATATTTGCAAGAAGATCAAGAATAGAGCTGTATGACGCCATTTAAACTGTGCACACTTAAACGGTGGATCTTAGAGCATGTACATTGAAGTCCCTTAACAAATTTAACATGGATAGCTTAACATTATTTTGGGTTAAAATAATGAAAACAAAGCCCAAAAAAATAAGGGTTGACCCTTCTGCAAAGACTTTTAGGGCTGACTCATAACAAGTTGCATGGATGACGTGTCGCTGCGTGATTGGGCGAATGTTAGAAAAAATTTCAAACGTGTGTGGAGTCAAAAAATCACGCGATACTTTTACATTTTCTGGAAAAAACACGAGAGCTCTCTCCCATGGGCGATTTCAAAGGTGATTCCAGGCGATTTCATGGTCGGAGCAAATCGAAGGCGATTTCGGTTGTTTTGCGGTGGTGTGGGTCATCGACTCGCGAAGGTAAGTCGTCTATTAAGGTTTCGTGATGTTTGTAAGCTGTGTTTTAATTTCTTCAAAATTAGGGTTCTTTATTCCAAAAAAAATTTGGGAGTTTTTGTGTTTATCGAATTTAGGGTATTCTGTGTGGAGAATATAGTAGTGTTCATGTATTGCATTGAAGATATTGATTGGATTTTGTGTGTAATTAGGGTTTTTGATTCGAAAAAAAATATTAATTTTTTATAACTAAACAACTCTTACCAAATCCACTAATGAAATACTTAATAATAAGAGTTACTTAATTATTCTTAAAGCCAAAAAATATATTATAATAATCTTAAACAACTTTTTCTAGGTCCGTCCCTTAGTATTTTTTAGGCCAAAAATAAATGAAAAATGAGTTTTTAAGCGAAAAACGGTTTTTATTTCGCATCCGGTAGAAACGTTTCTTAGTCGCCACATGTCGGGTTGTGATTAGGTAGTGAAATCGCGACCCAAATTATTTTTTTCCTTTCTCTTTTCTCTTTCTTCCACAACGAAATCTTTCTCGACTCTTCGTTCTCAGAATCGCCTCACCGTTGCCTCCGATTCTCGCCGGTTTCCGATCAAAGAGACGTCTGCCGGAGCTATATTGGGGGTAAGCGATTTCATCTCTGACTCCTCTCTCGTCCATTTCTTCTGTTATCTCCGTCTCCGAGATTTTTTCGATGGTTGTGGTTTGAGTTGATTGAAATCAAAATCGAAATTTCTTCTGCCTGACCTTTCCGCCTTGATGTATTAGTTCCGAATTTATGAGAATGTATAAAGAGGAGAAGAAAGAGTGTGAGAATGGAAATGAAGGAGCTTGTGAGGTTGATATTGAGACTCAAATCTCGGAAATTCTCTATAGGAGCACCTCGTTCTGAAACTGATTCTGATGAGTACTCGGATCAGAAGCTGATCATGGAACTGAATTAAAAAAATCTGTTTTGGAGGAGACTCTAGTAGATGACTTTGTCAAAAAGATCCAAGAGACTTGTGAGGTTGATGATTACTCTGATTGTGCAGAGATGGTGATGTTCTCAGAAGGAGATCATGGAATTGAATTAAGAGAATATTATTATAAGGGAAGGGCTAATGATTTAGATTCCAAAAGTTTCTTGAACTGTAACTATCCTGTTGTTCAGCAGTTGATTTTGGAGAGCCTGTGTTATTGGGTAACTGAGTTTCATGTAGATGGCTTTTGATTCATCAATGCTTCGTCTCTCTTGAGAGGCGTTCACGGTGAACACCTTTCTCGTTCTCCCTTGGTTGAAGCAATAGCTTTTGATTCGCTGCTCGCGGAAACAAAACTAGTTGCTGATTGTTAGGATCCACACGACAACATCGTGATTCCAAAGGAAGTAAGGTTCCCGCATTGGAAACGATGGGCGGAACTCAATACAAGATATTGTCGAAATGTAAGGAACTTTGTGAGGGGAAGAGGCGTTCTTAGCGATCTGGCTACAAGAATTTGTGGAAGTGGTCTCTTCCTTTGGTCTCTTCAATTTTTTTGAGGGATGTTTCTTCTATTGTCATGTTATATGCTAGGATGACTTTGCTTTCAATTCTATTTATCAAGAGTCTTTGATGTAATGACAAGTTTCTCTTTTGATCATATTATATACATTGGCAAGAGGTTATTTAAAACGGTCATCATGTAAAATTTGGCTTCAATAGAACTGTTTAGAAAGTTTGTAATTGTCTTTGATGATGAATTCCACAAACCAGTTACAAATACGAGTACACTATCGATACATTGATGAATTTTTACTAACATGCCACACAATCATCACAACGGCTATGATAAAATTCCAAAGTAAACAACATTCTTCACAATCATTTTGCTCCCACTAAACCTTTCCAATGAATCTCCAGCTTTCTTGAAAAGCAAATTGTATCGACTAAATCTGAGTCAGCCACAACTCATCGCCTCTGTTTTTGGCTTTCTTGGCTTTCTGCAGAACAGATCAACAAAGAGAAATTTCAATGAAACAACAACCGAAACTCTTTTGATACATTATGGAATCTTGTATTTTGTTTGCTGAGTCTTCACCTGATTTAAGTGTTGACATCCAAATAATTTTTTTTTTAAACTCTATTTGGTTTCTCTAATAAACATGGTCTAAACTAAAGTTCTTCTACAAATAGGACAAGAATTATGACGCCATTGACTCAGGCAATGCGAGTGGAATGCATGTCCACATGGCGTATTTGCCAGCGGAACATTCCACTCGAATTGACCAAAGCATATTGGACACCCATCCTCCCTTGCCCCATGTATAAAAACAAAGTTTTCTAAAAGTACATGAGCTAACTGTACTTGTTGATTCTCGTTTTCAGAATTCTCAGAATCTGAGGAGTTAATAACGACATCTGTCGATGCGTTATCATTATCAGACTCACTATCGACAATTGGATTCCCGCCCAACTCTACAGACTCATTATCCACAAGGACCGGAACTGCATTCCCGCCTAATTCAACCGCAACCTCTTCTCTAATTTGATCACTTAAGTTACGTTTTACTATTCTACTTAGGTAATAAAAAAAAAAGATAAACCTAAGCCTAAAGCCACAATAAGCGACACATATAATATCCCGTTGTCTACTGAATCATCACTACTATAGATAGACATTCTGATTCTGAGACGAAGAGTTTGAAATAAGAAAGAAGAAGAAGAAGAACCAGAAGAAGAAAGAGAAAGAGAAGAACAGAAAGAGAAGGAGGAAATCCAACTGATATATACTTGCCGTATACATTTCCCGTAGGAGGAATTATCCAAGAAACGGGTTAGTTTTTTGATTTTGAAACAAGTCTTAACTTAGGAAAAAGATACATAAAACAGAAAAAAAAATCGAATCATTAATACAGAGGACAACCATTAGGTAGAAATGATAATTAAGTAACTTACTTTTAGTAAACAAAAAACAGATAGAGAGAGTACAAGGATTGAGAATCATACCTACCGATTGAGAGCCACCGTGAGTGGCAGCCGATTTTTGATGGGAATGTGAAGAAGACTTTCTGCTCAAGCACCATCTAAGACAGAATCAGGGATGGGAATGTGAGTGCAGCTGCGATTTGGGGATCTTTTTTTGGGCTTGTGTTGTGGACTATCTTCTCTCCATCCCTGGAAATGCTCTCATCAGCAGATACCTTGCTCGTCTCACCTGGCAAGCTTCGAGCGAAACAACTTGCTCCATCGGAACATTTGTAGTCCTCCTCACACCATCTCTCTCTCTCTCTCTCTCTCTCCTCAAGCAGCTCGCCAGAAGAATCAACAGCCGAATTTCTTCATCCTGCGGTGGCAGGTGAATACTTGCAGAGCTCTGGATGGGTCGATACAGTAACGCAATCAGTAAGACAGTAACTATTTGTTATTGACGGCCATTGGATACTCTCTTACTCATCTGATTAGGTTTCTTGTTACTATCATCTCTTTTGGGCTAACCGCGTGGGCCTCGTCATCACTCCTTCTTGGGCTCAGTCAACATGCAACAAATTGATTACAATGAAGAAGAAGAAGTCAACGCAAGTATATGTTATAAGGCTTACAATGATGGGCTTTTCAAACCTGTTTAACCTAAAGCCCAATGGATCGCGCGAATAGGAGAAACCCTAGAGAAATGGCATTGCATTTATAAACTCTTTCGTCTTCTACGATTAGCTGTTCTCCGCCACACCAATCTCCAGAGAGAGGCGAAGCAAAAATGGTTTCACTGAAGCTCCAAAAGCGGCTCGCCGCATCGGTGATGAAGTGCGGGAAGGGCAAAGTATGGCTCGATCCCAATGAAAGTTCCGACATCTCCATGGCCAATTCCCGTATGTTTTTCTTTCTCTTCATTTCTTTGTTTTTGCGTCTCTCTTGTGTTTATTTGTCCCGTATTTACCTGCGCTGGTAGTAGAACAGTGAGTTTTCTTCGATTTTGTAGTGTAATCCGTTGGATATGTCGAATATTTGTGTTCGTTTCCGATCTGCAAATTGAAAGCTCGTTGCTGTTGCTGATGCTTGATTTTTATACTTCTTAGCATTGATTTGGTGATTGTCGTGGTTTATGTATCATCGTGAATCAGGAAATACGTGGAGTTTTTTGTGCACTATTTGTCTATGTGATTTGTCATAGGATCAATCAATTTCCGAATAGTTCAGTTTGGTTGCTTATTTTGCTTCTTATAGACTGGATTCGTATATTGATGTTTCAGTTTAAGGATTGATAAATACTTGAATAAAATGTAGGCCAAAACATCAGGAAGCTTGTGAAGGATGGTTTTATCATCAGGAAACCAACCAAGATCCACTCTCGTTCCAGAGCTCGCCGCATGAAGATTGCCAAAATGAAGGGACGTCACTCTGGTTACGGTATGTACTTGAATATCGGTAATCATTTGTGATGAATATAAGACTACATGGACAAATGTATAACGATTACTTTTTTTGCTCTTGCTATTTTGTGTGCTTTAAAAAGGTAAGAGAAAGGGTACCCGTGAAGCTAGATTGCCAACAAAGGTACTGTGGATGCGTAGGATGCGTGTTCTGAGGCGTCTTCTGAAGAAGTACAGAGAGTCGAAGAAGATTGATAAGCACATGTACCATGACATGTACATGCGTGTTAAGGGTAATGTCTTCAAGAACAAGCGTGTCCTGATGGAGAGCATCCACAAGTCCAAGGCTGAGAAAGCCAGAGAGAAGACTTTGTCTGACCAGTTTGAGGCTAAGAGGGCTAAGAACAAGGCCAGCCGAGAAAGAAAACATGCAAGGAGAGAAGAGCGTCTAGCTAAGGTGAATTTATAATTTTATTCCGCATTAAAATATTTCTTCTGCTTTCATTACCGGTTCTTATAAGATGTGTTGGTGATTTCTGTTGTTATAGGGTCCCGGAGGAGATGTTGCGCCTGTAACTGCACCACCAGCTGCTCCTGCGACTACTGGTCAAACTGCAGAGTAAGTCTTATCTCAATGGTGATGTAATTTGAGCTTTGTTTTTTTAAGTATGTTTAACATCTAAACCATTTATGGGTCTTTGTTTGTGTAGGGTACCGAAGAAGAAGTCGAAGAAGTGAAGAGGATATAGTGATCAAGCTATATAGACTTGACTTGAAGAAGGTTTTGAGTGTTTTATGAAGTTGGGTTTGTTGAAATACTTTATTCTCGCAAAGAACAAAAACTTATGTCGCTTAATTTTTATTTTTTGAGATTTTTAGCTTATCAGTGTTTCAAGAGACGTGCTTTGCAAAAACTTGTGCTTTTTTTTGTTACGTATTGCTATTCGTTCTCCACCTAAGTAACAAATCCATTCACAGCTAAAACTATTTGTCTAATTAAAGCCCAATTCTCAATAAAAGCTAGTCGATCGAATGTGTGGATAGTAATAAATATCTGTTAATATGAGTTTGTAACCATATGTCAGAGGTTTTGCTCGACCTCTTTTGCGACGACAAAAGGGAGAAAACTGAAATATTTTTACTTACTGGTTTATGTAAAAAATTCTGAAAATGTTAAATCATACACAGCAAGCTAAAAGTTTGCAATTTCATACAAACACTTTTAACTTAAGAAGACATATTTACAGAAACTGGGTTTCTTGAGCGTTTAGAAACATCAAAACTGCAAAGGAATTAGTTTTCCACAGAAACTGGGTCCTTGAGCGTTTGGACACATCAAAACTGCAGAGAAATTCGTTTTTCATGTTTCTTAAAACATGATCGCAAAAGGGAAATCGCCCACCGTGGGGCTCGAACCCACGACCACAAGGTTAAGAGCCTTGCGCTCTACCAACTGAGCTAGACGGGCTTGTTGTCTACTCAACAGCTTTCTCTTATTTGACACCTAAACCTACTGTCTAAGCATAACTCCATGAATGTGTTCTGTAAATGTTAGAGCTTTACAAGGACAGAGCTGTACTGTACAATGTCCAAAAAGAAAGAAAGACAGAGCTGTACAATTATAATTCTTGTGAAGACAAACTGAAAACGCATCGGCTTATATTATGAGACTAGAACCACGTTTAGTCTGAAAAAGATACAGATATAAATAGAAAGAACTGAATAAAATTACAACAATGCCAGTGAATTGCCTCTGCCATTACAGAGCCTTCACATCTTTATTTTCTTTTACTCAGAAGAAGTCACATCCGTCATCAAACATGGCTGATGACAATAGTCCCTGTACAAACTCACACTTCTTTGCCTTCTCCAATTGTTCAGTATCCGATAAAGGAGCCGACGATTTCCAGTCTTCTTCTGTCGAAGAATCCTTATTCAAAGTCTGTTCTTGTACACTTGAATCAGGCTGCACAAGTTTGGTCTGATTCGGCAATGGAGAATTGTTGATGAACGATAAAAACTTATCAGAAACAACAGTTTTAGAGGTATGATGGTGATTCATAGATGGCGGCAACTCATCAAGAAGAGACTGAAGATACTTATCCGATGAATATGGATCTTCCATGTATGATGTTTGCTTCTGCTCACTGTAAAGTTTCTGTCAAGGAAACTCAAACAAATCGCATTCATTATAGAGACGAAAAAGAAAAGTTTTTGAAAATGGAAAAGGATATCTTCAAGACATCTCTATGGTGTGTGGTTATATGATCCACCATATGCATCTTCACCCTTTTGCTACAAACCGGACATATCTAAAAATCACAAACAAAGAAAAACTAAATGTGAGATGTTGCCACAAAACAATTCACAGAACTGAAAATCAATCACACAACTCAACATTCATCCCCTGAAATCGAAACGGATCAATGCTCCAACTGAAAGTTCGTGGAGGATCGAGGCCATTTATCTCAATTGAAACTATTCACAAAAAGCATCAATCAAAACAGTCCAAAGATTGAGGGGACGTTTCTCAAAATCCTACGCTCTAAAGCAAGTATGTGAAGCTAAAAAAATGTTCCATCACACAACGAAAATATTCATTTCCTGAAATCCTTAACCAATCAATGCTTATAACGGAGAGTTACGTCAACTCAAAGATCAAGGAATATGTTTCTCATTTGAAAGTATTCACAATTGCAACCCGATTCTAAAAGCATCAATCTAATTACTGCTATTCAAATCGAAGATTGAAGAGACCTGTTTCTACCCTATAAAGCAAGAATGCAAAGCTCTAGAAACCTTTTAATCGATACCAAAACCACTTAAAGTGAAGCTTGAATGTCGAATAGTAATAGCAGTAAATGATGTGGAGATAAGATGTGAATATCGCATACCCCATGATTAGCTTCAAGTTGATGTTCTTCGTCGATATGGTGACACAATTCAACTAAATCATAATCATCCGAGCAAAACGGGCATGGGTAATCCACTGCTATATCATCATCTTCTTCTTCAAAATCTTCCGTATCTAGATAAGAACCTGGAATTTTCGCCATAAATCAGAAATCAAATTAACCTCAGAGCAAAAACCCCGAAACGGTCAAATTAAGAAGGAAAAAAAAAAGGCTTTTCATCTAAAGCAAACGTAAAGCTTTCATTTTTATTGACGAAAAAGCACACAGAGTTTCTCTACGAATCGCTAAAACACTTTCAATCAAGAACAAATCAGATATATCGAAACCCAATTCAGATTTCAGACACATCTTAAATCATAGACCCTGAAATCAAAAAAGAAATTGAGGGGATTTGGATAATAACCAGACTGATACTTAGCAGCCGTTGCTGATCGATGGCTCCTAGAAGAGCCGGAAGAGGAAACTGCCCACATATCGTCTTCCATCTCTGATTCTGAATCTCCACAAATCGGCAAAAACCTGAGACCCTTTAAATTAGGTAACTAGACCTCCTCGTCGTGTGGTTTACTTGCACATGTCAGCTTATAAGCTTTAGACCCTCGTGAGAGAGAAAATGTCAAGGAAAAAAAAAGAGACGGTCTTTTTAAAGACCCAAAGGAGAGACCTTTTTATTAATGAAGCGAGACTTAATGGACAAGAATACTTCTGGTTAATGCTGAAACTACGAAACTGCCCTTCAACGACCGACCTTATGTAGACTTTTCCACGTCAGGGGTGTTTCTGTCATTTTCTGTATCGTCGGTCTTATTAAAAACTTAATTACAGTATTGCTTTGTTCCCCAAGTAAATAGCAAAGTGCTAACAGAGGCCTGCTTTGAAAAGCATTTTAATGGGCTTAAAGTGCGATATATAAAAGCCCATGTCCTTGTTCATTGTCCGTTTTTTTTTTAATTCTTCTTTTCCCCGTCGACAGAAAAAATCCCAAAAAATTTCCCGGAACATTTCGACAAAGCCCCGTCGAGTTTTGACCAATCTGAGATTGAGTTTGTCTTCCCATTATACTTAGTCGCTTTTCTTACTCCGTTCACTATTTCGTCCACCATTCTCCACCTTTTTGATGGGAAGCCCTAGCGCCGCTGTGAAAGATGATTCCGCCACCGAGACGGATCCTACAACACGACGGGACTCTGACTCTGATACAGAGTCCAACACCGATTGCGACGGAGGCGACTTGCCTCCTCCTACTCCTCTTACTTCGGAGTTGAGCCAATTTGAAGAAGGCGAGATCATTTTAGCCAAGCACAGTGATTGCTTCTACGAAGCCAAGGTCATACTTTCCGGAGCCATCTTGTATACTTTTGAATTCGAGTGTTGTTCTCTGCTAAGTCTGAAAATTATTCCCTTTTTTTTTCCAGATTCTCAAAGTTGCATATCAAGATAATGAATGGAAGTATTTGGTGCATTACATTGTAAGTAAGATTATGTTTGATATTTGTTTGCAGAACCAAAGTTTTTAGGAACAAATACAGAACGACAGTTAGTGATTTGTTTATAAAAGAAAGAAAATAACGGACACCAACAAATGTATTGTATTTTTTGAAGATGTAGCTTTTTTTTTTTTTTTTTTTTTTGGCAGGGTTGGAATAAAAGGTTAGTAGAGCTTTCCGACAACATATAGTTACATTCAGCGGTCTGAAATCATTCTGGTGTTGGTAAATTGTTTATATATAGTTAAGGGAAGTGATTCGCCTGATTGTTAAATCGAAATTCACCAAGATGTCAATTTTTATTGATAAATTCTGCATCTGATTAGTGTATCTCTTTTTATACATTGATAGTTTTTTCCACGGTGTTGTTTTGACAGTTGGGATGAATGGATAGGTTTCGATTGTGTGTTGAAACATACAGAGGAGAATATTGAGAAACAGCGGAAACTCGGAATGAAGCAAGGAGTTAAGAGTTCCATGGCTTGGAAAGTATCAAAGATGAAACCTAGAAGCCCTAATGGTGAGGTTCTTGCCGCTTTTTTTGTGGATATTCAAAGTCTGTTTCAGGGATTCTCTTTTCGTATTGCATGCTTTACAGATCAAACTAGGCATACGCATCATCTGGTGTTATTGTGTTAATATTGGTATAATGAGACCATGTTTACATTTTCCGTGACTGCATTTATCTTGATTTGACTGACTTGATAATATTGCTTCAGCTAATATTTTTTCCAACACTTTCTTATTTTTTTGCAGTTGCTAGAGGAAGAAAGCGGAAGCAAGATTCTGTTGATACAGTAATCTCTCCATTGGTGAATAGTCTTTGCTTTATCTTTTAGCTTCCCTATATCCAGTTTTACTTCACTGTTTTCTGATCATGAGAGAGTTTTAATTAAATCTTATTGTTTGTTGAATACAGGAGAAGAATGTGGTTCCCTCCGACAACGTTTTAACTTTCCATATCCCACCAGCGTTAAGGAAGCAACTAACTGACGATTGTGAATTTGTTACTCAGATGCAGAAGGTAGTCTTAATCACTGTGCTAATATCTAAATGAAGAACACTCGAATTTTTTCTATCACCCCGTTTTCTTAGTTTCCTTTTCTTGCAGCCGCATGAATATGTTTGTTGTAAATGTCATGTGCTTTTCTTAGGTCCTTATATTAAAGAACTGATCATAGTCTCTTTGGGCATTGTGTGAGTAGCTTGTGCAACTTCCGCGCTCTCCAAATGTGGATGGCATCTTGAAGAAGTATATTGACAGCAAAATGAAGAAACCTGGCAGGTAAGCTCTTTGTTGCTTTTGTTAAATGTCATTTCAAACAGTTAACACTTGCTAAACTCCTTGTTGCTAATCTCAAATACTTAGAGAGCACAAGTCATCCATATATGCTCCATCGTTAATCGACTGAGAAGAGTAATTCCAGGCTTGTGACGTATTATGCTTTCTTTGGTGAATCTATATAGGGTAACTGATTCAGTAGAGGAAATTCTGAAAGGCTTACGTTGCTACTTTGACAATGCTTTACCGGTGATGTTACTTTACAACAATGAACGGAAGCAATATGAGGAAACCATATCAGCGGGTGTTTCTCCCTCAACTGTGTACGGAGCAGAGCATTTGTTACGTCTCTTTGGTAAGGCCTTTCTTTGTAACCTAAACACCGTTTTATATGCTGAATAATCTGTTTTCTGCCTTTATCGTGTGGCTTTATTTGTTACAAATCCCTAATTATTGAGTTTTGCAGTGAAATTGCCGGAGTTGCTTGTCCATGTGAAAATGGCAGAAGAGACATTGAAAGAATTGCAGGACAATTTCGTTGATATTCTCAGGTTTATTTTCTTGTCTCCTACTTAATTTCTTAAAGAATTCGTTCTTAAATTGTGGGTTTTGCTCACTTTTGTACTTGTGAAAATACTAATGAAGAAAGATAAACAAATGATACTCAGGTTTTTGAGGAAAAATCAGAGTTCGTTATTTGTATCAGCATACAAAGCAGTGGAAGAAATGGAGAAGAAAGAAGATTAGGATCCCATTTCTATATGATGATGTGTTATTGTTGTAAGTATGTGTAGTGAATATACACTCTGTGTGTAGCATGTAATGTGATGAGAGCTAATTATTTAAGTCTAAGTGTAGGGTTCGGTCTGGGTTATGATAATGATTAACATCGTTATCACAATAGCAGAATAACTTCTATTAATTTTTAAATTTGTTGTAGAGTGACTTATCGTTTCTAATTGTTTATAATCACAATAGCATCTCAATTTTATACAGCGGCTTTCTGAAATTACTGATAAAAACATTCCTAAAAAAATTTAAACAATTAACTAAGCAATCTCTACAATATAGCTGATATGCATAAGCTAATACTAAAGTATGGACTGAAATCTTTTGATGTTTTATCACATAAACGAGTATTTTTTAAATACTTTAAAATATATAACGTATGTGTATTAAGTTATATTTAAATTTCCATCGTGTCGAAAAATAATTACCATTGTATTTGAAGGCAGGGATGATTATATACTCGAGTAGAATCTTACAAAATGTGCATCAATGAGTTCAAAATTATCAAATCACATGCGATGTGCAAATCATATAATATTTTTATTCAGCTCCAATATAAATTTATTTGACCGTTACAAAAAGGGAGAAATAAACCCTCTTCTTTTCAGTTTATTTGACTTTTCTCCTTTATAGATCTCTATGGGCCCACAGGATGTTTCAAACTTACCGTTTACGTTAGATAGTCACCGTCCGATCTCACAGTTGCGACGTGAAGCCCTCAACGGTTCAGATCTCTCGACCGTTTATAGCAACCCCTTTCTCCTTTATATCCATCTCTCTCTCTCTCTCCAATTTTGAAACTAAAATGCTCTGCTTCCAAGTAGCTTCAGCTTCTTCTGATTTCAAAATCTCTTCTTTTAAGTCTCTGATATCCGTTTGAGATCCACTCTTTTCCATCTGGATCTTTGATTTTTTTTCCTCTCATAATTCTGAGGTTCACAGCTGCTGTGAACCGAAAATGGTGAAATCTGCAGCTTGTTCTTCTCCGTCACCGTCTCCGGTGACTATAACGGTGACACCATGTAAAGGATCCGGCGACAGAAGCCTTGGATTGACGAGTCCTATCCCACGCGCCTCCGTCTCCAACAACCTAAACTCTCCTCTGAGCTCAAGAGGCCCGCGTCGCAACTCCCTTAGCGGCGGGAATCGGAGATCTAGCGGCGAAGGAAGATACTGTTCAATGTCGGTGGAAGATCTGACGGCTGATACCAACTCCGAGTGCGTTGTGAGCTACACTGTTCATATTCCACCTACGCCGGATCACCAGACGGTCTTCGCTTCGCACGAAAGTAGTATGGGTGAAGAAGATGAGATACTGCAGAAAGGGAATTCACGGAACAGGAATTTTCTCTCCGGGACGATTTTCACGGGTGGGTTCAAGTCGGTGACTCGTGGGCATGTCATCGATTGCTCTATGGATCGAGCTGATTCGGGGAAGAAGTCGGGTCAGATCTGTTGGTTGAAAGGTTGTGACGAGAAGGTTGTTCATGGGAGATGTGAGTGTGGTTTCAAAATCTGTAGAGACTGTTACTTTGATTGCATCACAAGTGGTGGAGGAAAATGTCCTGGATGTAAAGAGCCATACAGAGACATCAACGATGATCAGGACACCGAGGAAGAGGATGAAGATGAGGCGAAACCGCTTCCTCAGATGGCTGATTCAAAGCTTGACAAGAGGCTCTCTGTTGTGAAGTCTTTTAAGGCCCAGAACCAAGCTGGGGACTTCGATCACACTCGGTGGTTGTTTGAGACGAAAGGAACTTATGGGTATGGAAACGCTGTGTGGCCTAAAGATGGGTATGGAATCGGGTCGGGTGGTAATAATGGTAACGGGTATGAACAGCCACCAGAGTTTGGAGAGAGAAGCAAGAGACCTCTCACTAGGAAAGTCAGCGTCTCTGCTGCAATTATCAGTCCTTACAGGTAATAATTGTTTCCAATTTAGTTTCTTTTTGTTTGATGATATGTCCTTTTTGATGTTTTCTCAATTATGCGGATGGAATCGTGTCTGTGTTTGTTCATACCATTTGAATTTTGCTAAAGTTTTGATTTTTCTTGTGTGTGATGAAACAGATTACTCATTGCATTGCGTTTGGTGGCTCTTGGATTGTTCTTGACATGGAGGATTCGCCACCCAAATCGAGAGGCAATGTGGTTGTGGGGGATGTCAACGGTCTGTGAGCTTTGGTTTGCCTTGTCTTGGCTTTTGGATCAGCTTCCAAAACTTTGTCCGGTCAACAGAATAACCGATTTGAATGTTCTCAAAGAACGCTTTGAATCTCCAAACCTCAGAAATCCAAAAGGAAGATCTGATCTTCCGGGTATCGATGTGTTTGTCTCAACTGCAGACCCTGAGAAAGAACCGCCTCTGGTCACTGCCAACACCATCCTCTCCATCCTAGCCGTTGATTATCCAGTGGAGAAACTCGCTTGCTACTTATCTGACGACGGAGGATCTTTGCTAACATTCGAGGCCTTAGCTGAAACGGCTAGCTTCGCTAGCACATGGGTGCCGTTTTGCAGGAAACACAATATAGAGCCAAGAAACCCCGAGGCTTACTTTGGACAGAAGCGTAACTTTCTCAAGAACAAAGTGAGGCTGGATTTCGTGAGGGAAAGGAGGAGAGTGAAGAGAGAATATGATGAGTTCAAGGTGAGAATCAACTCATTGCCTGAGGCGATAAGGAGAAGGTCTGATGCTTATAACGTGCACGAAGAGCTAAGGGCTAAGAAGAAACAGATGGAGACGATGATGGGAAACAATCCTGAAGAAACTGTCAAAATTCAAAAGGCCACTTGGATGTCTGATGGATCTCACTGGCCAGGGACTTGGTCCTCTGGAGAAACCGATAACTCTCGAGGAGATCATGCTGGAATCATCCAGGTAACAACATTCTTCTGACAAGATTTTTGGCTAATCGCTGTTTAAATGGTTTCATGTTTTTATGAGGTTTGTGTTAAAAATTGTGTTCTAATATACTCTGTGGTTTGCTGCAGGCAATGTTGGCTCCTCCAAACGCAGAACCAGTTTATGGAGCTGAAACAGATTCTGAGAACCTGATTGATACAACAGAAGTTGACATCAGACTACCTATGCTAGTCTATGTGTCGAGAGAGAAGCGGCCGGGTTATGATCACAACAAGAAAGCAGGAGCCATGAATGCTTTGGTCAGAACCAGCGCAATCATGTCTAATGGCCCATTCATCCTCAATCTTGATTGTGACCATTACATCTACAACTCCATGGCTTTGAGAGAAGGAATGTGCTTCATGCTTGACAGAGGTGGTGATAGAATCTGCTATGTTCAGTTCCCTCAGAGGTTTGAAGGTATCGACCCAAATGATCGTTATGCAAACCACAACACTGTCTTCTTCGATGTTAGTATGAGAGCTTTGGATGGACTTCAAGGTCCAATGTATGTTGGAACTGGCTGCATCTTCCGGAGAACAGCTCTTTACGGTTTTAGCCCGCCGCGAGCAACCGAGCATCATGGCTGGCTTGGAAGAAGAAAGGTGAAGCTGTCTCTAAGGAAACCAAAAGCTACGATGAAGAAAGACGATGAGATCTCACTGCCTATAAATGGAGGAGAATACAACAACGGAGAAGAGAATGATGATGATGATGGAGATATCGAATCTCTGCTTCTCCCAAAGAGATTCGGTAACTCAAACTCTTTCGTTGCTTCGATCCCGGTTGCTGAATACCAAGGGAGACTCTTACAGGACCTGCAAGGAAAAGGCAAGAACAGTAGACCACCTGGATCACTTGCTGTGCCACGAGAACCGCTCGATGCAGCAACAGTAGCTGAAGCAATCAGTGTGATTTCTTGCTTCTACGAGGACAAAACCGAGTGGGGCAAAAGAGTTGGATGGATCTACGGATCAGTGACTGAAGATGTGGTTACAGGGTATCGAATGCATAACAGAGGATGGAGATCAATCTATTGCGTCACGAAACGTGATGCATTCCGGGGAACAGCTCCGATCAATCTCACGGATAGGCTTCACCAGGTTCTGAGATGGGCAACGGGATCCGTCGAGATCTTTTTCTCAAGGAACAACGCGGTTTTCGCAACCCGAAGGATGAAGTTCTTGCAGCGAGTAGCTTACTTCAACGTCGGAATGTATCCATTCACGTCGCTTTTCCTCATCGTCTACTGCATTCTTCCCGCGGTTTCGCTCTTCTCGGGACAGTTCATAGTCCAATCACTCGACATAACGTTTCTGATCTTCCTCCTCTCGATAACACTCACCCTCTGCATGTTATCACTCCTTGAGGTCAAATGGTCAGGGATCACTCTCCATGACTGGTGGAGAAACGAGCAGTTTTGGGTAATAGGTGGAACAAGCGCACATCCTGCAGCTGTTCTTCAGGGTCTACTCAAAGTAATTGCAGGAGTTGATATCTCATTTACTTTGACTTCCAAGTCAGCTACACCTGAGGATGGAGACGACGAGTTTGCGGATCTGTACGTTGTGAAATGGAGCTTTTTGATGGTTCCTCCGCTAACGATCATGATGGTGAACATGATTGCGATTGCTGTTGGGCTTGCGAGGACTCTGTACAGTCCGTTTCCGGAGTGGAGTAAGCTTGTCGGAGGAGTTTTCTTCAGCTTCTGGGTGCTGTGTCATCTCTATCCCTTTGCTAAAGGACTGATGGGAAGAAGAGGCAAAGTGCCAACGATTGTGTTTGTGTGGTCAGGTTTGTTGTCTATTATTGTCTCTTTGCTTTGGGTTTATATTAACCCTCCTGCTGGGAAACAAGACTTTTCTCAGTTTCAGTTCCCTTGATTTAGGGTTTTTTCTTTTGTTTGTGGTACAAGGCATGAAAGTTCTTCTTTCTCTGGCTTCATGTTTGTAATCAGATTTTATTAAATACAGTTTTATTTTAAGTAACTAGGCCCAGTTTCGTAATTGAAAAAACGATCGGTCTGGGCCAATGAAACTCCGCTACTGTTTCTTCGGTTTAGTTCTCGGTGATAGTCATTTTTTAAAAAAGTAAACAAAACCGGACTTAAGATGAGATTGTGATTTCTGGACTTAGAGTCTTTGAGAAAGTGAGTGGCAAGCTGATGATTCTTTAAAACAACAAAAACTGACCAAGACGTGTCGTATACAATGCAGAACTAGGAAAAGATTCGAGATCCTTTTAGAGTTACTCAGTAACACTCACTGAATCAGTGTGTTCATGGTGTTCCACAATGCATCAGGTCCAATAAGGTCTAAGAAATGTGCCCTACCACTGCCACTATTACAATTCTCCACCAACAATGCAGTATAAAGTATTAACTAATCAAGAAACCCAAAATTTAGTTCACATAACGATTTACCATTTATTTACCAAATTCGAATCATGAAGCTGCTATCTTTTGGGTGCCAAAGAAAAGGCCAGAAATTGGAAAAACTTCACATGGGCTATAGAGAGAAAACCCAACCCCACACAAACTCGAACAATGAAGAAAAAGATTCCTAATTTATATGGGTTGGGTTTGTTGGAATAAGTTTGAAAGAATCTTGAAGTGCAAGTTTCCTAATCCTAATCAAAGTGTGTTTCTAGAAAGTTAGGATTAGAAAAAGAAATTTAGAAGTTATCTAAAAGGAAATTTGTTTATCTATTGGAATTAGGAGTTAGTTAATCCATTCTCTATATAAAGAGTTGCAGAGTTGTTGCAAACACTTATGAGTTGAGAGAGAGAGATTAAGAGAGGCTTTAGTTTTTGAGTAATTTTTCTAAAGCTAATAAAATAAGTTGCTTTTATTAATTCTTGATCTAAGTTTCAATTCTATAATTGGTATCAGAGCTTCAGGTTGTTGCTCAAGATATGGGGGATATCGTTCCTAGTACTCGTACAAAAGCACTGAATACTTCCTCAATCCATTGCCCTATGTTAAACTCAACCAACTATACCGTATGGGCCATGCGGATGAGGGTTTTGCTCAGAGTACACAAGGTCTGGGAGACTGTTGAAACAGAGGCGGCCGATGGTGAGAAGAACGATGTTGCTATGGCCCTGATCTTTCAATCAGTACCCGAGACGCTCATTCTACAGGTAGGAAAGTTAGACACGGCGAAAAGGGTATGGGATGCAATCAAATCAAGACATGTAGGAGCAGAAAGGGTGCGAGAGGCAAGGTTGCAGACTCTTATGGCCGAGTTTGACAAACTCAAGATGAAGGACACAGAGACGATAGATGATTTTAGTGGAAAATTGTCTGAAATCTGCTCAAGGTCGGCTGCTTTAGGAACGACTATTGAGGAACCGAAGATTGTCAAGAAGTTTCTCAAAAGTCTTCCGAGAAAGAAATATATACACATGGTAGCTTCACTTGAGCAGGTGTTAAACTTGAACACCACAAGCTTCGAAGACATAGTCGGAAGACTAAAAGCCTACGAAGAACGTATTCGAGAAGAAGAAGAAGAAGAAACGCAAGATGATCAAAGCAAGCTCATGTACGTAAACATGGAACCTCAGGAAAATCGTGACTACAGTGGAGAGAATAGAGGCAGAGGTCGAGGAGGACGCTTCTATAGCAGAGGACGAGGTCGTGGACGATTCAATGGAGCCAGAGATCTGTCAGAGATAACATGTTATCGATGCGACAAAACAGGGCATTACGCTTCTAATTGTCCTGACAGACTTCTCAAACTTCAAGAGACTCAGGAAGACGACGACGTTGATGACACACATGAAGCTGAACGACTCATGATGCACGAGGTGGTGTATCTGAATGAAAAAAGGGTGAAGCCAAACGACTTTGAAAAAAGCTGTGAAGGAGACCATGTTTGGTATTTGGAAAGTTTCCTAATCCTAATCAAAGTGTGTTTCTAGAAAGTTAGGATTAGAAAAAGAAATTTAGAAGTTATCTAAAAAGAAATTTGTTTATCTATTGGAATTAGGAGTTAGTTAATCCATTCTCTATATAAAGAGTTGCAGAGTTGTTGCAAACACTTATGAGTTAAGAGGGAGAGATTAAGAAAGGCTTTAGTTTTTGAGTAATTTTTCTAAAGCTAATAAAAGAAGTTGCTTTTATTAATTCTTAATCTATGTTTCAATTCTATAAGGGTTCGAACGACACACAAAAATTCAAGCTTTTCTATCGAACAAAGTCTATGCAACTGAACAGAATTTTTTAACGGTGAACTCGAATCGGCGTCAATGGGAGTGTTTATACAAGTCATAAGGTTGCCACAGTGTGTCCAAAGGACATGGAAGCTTGGAATCGAGTCTTAACCATGGCTTACCACTACCTGACCAGTGAAGCAAACTCACCGGACCAGCATGCAAATCCCGGCAACTACCTCTAACATTATCTCCGCCGAGTCCGTGTTGGTTCCACCGATGCGAAATCGGAGCTACGTGACCGGCGAACACCAGAAGATAGGGAGGAAGAGAACCCAGTTCGTAAATCCTCTCCATTTTCTGAATCTCCATCCATTTCTCGATTGTCTTTGTGTACCCGAATCGTCTCCATTTCCTCAGATCAATCACCATCACTCCGGTATTGAAGTAGCAAGGGTTTCTTCCCTCGAAGGTCCCGTTATACCGCTTATCGGACCAGAAAGCTCCGGTGAAGTACCTCGTGAAATTCGCGTGGCAGTATTCCGGAGCTCCGATTGTTCTCGGACCCAGTACCGTTTTCCAGAGCTTGGCGATGTCGTCAATGACGGCGAGATCCGAGTCAAGGTAGATGACTCGATCGACGCATGGCTCGAGCAGATCGGCTAGGTAATTCCTGGCGTAATTTAGCGGCTGCTCTAGGGCTTGTCTCACGGAGGATGAGATGAGAGGCTGGACGGTCTCAGGGGCAAAATAGTAAATCTTGAGGTTGAGTTTGGGGAAAGTCGATCGAATCAGAGTCTCGAGGTTTGTATCGGAGACGAGGAAATGGAAGAAGACGCTCTCTGGACAGACTGAGTGTTGGATGATGGAATTGACGGCGGCGATCGAGCCGCGAAGGTATTCGACGTCGAGAGTGATAGCCACGTGGACGAGCGAAGGGTTGCAGACGCCGGAATCACCGCCGGAGAATCGGCATCCGTCGGCATTGCGGAATATCGGAGATTCTCTGAAGGAGAAATTGCGCAAGGAGTGATCGGACGGTAATGGTCTAAAGTAGGCGTCGAGATGCGACGATCGGATAGCCGCCGCCGGAGAAAATGATTGAAGCGAAGGAGAAAGGAGAATCATCGCTAAAGCAGCGGAGAAGAAGCAGGAAAATTCTGTAATCCAAAGCATACCTTCTCTGTCTGCAAACTGGAATCAAAATTAACAGAATTGAAAGACTGAAGAGAAGCGAGCAGAGCTTAGGCGAAAAAATGCAGAAGAAACGAAACCTTAAAATGTTTAATGAAACAGCAACCAGAAAAAATTTCCAAGTGGAGAAAGAGGAGAAAGGTGAAAGAATCCAACGAGAAATTGAAACGGGCGCAGAGGCACTGTGCACTCTTTTCTCTTATATCCTGCGCGTAGCTCGTGCTCTATATCTCCTTTAGTTGAAGGAAGAAGAAGAAGACGAGACGAGGAAGACAGTGAGAGTTTATTGTTTTTTTATATTAACATTTCATATTTTGATCATCAATAATTTAATTAATGATTTCATATTTTAAAATAAAAATCATGATACTGTGGTAAATAATAAAGATTCAATCTTTCAAAATAAAACATTAGTATATAATTTTTGCCCCAATTTTAGATTTATTTTTAATATGGTATTTCAGTTTTTTATATTAAAAAAGAAATCCTTACACAATAAATTCTAAGAGAGACAAAGGCACTAAGAGAAGTGAAATTCATATTTTAAATTATGATAACTGAATATAATCAGTTAAATTATTTATTATCAGTAATGATTTCACATTTTAAATGATTAGTGATTTTTATTAAATAAACACTAATTATGTCATGTTTTATATAAAATATAATATTACGTCAAATATTTAATATTTTAAAATAAAAATGGGATATTATACCGAAAATAATATTCTGGTTATCATATTTATTAGATTAAAATTTAATATATTAAATCGAATATAGATAGAGAGAAATAACATGCAATGTTTTAATTTATGATAGTTGAATAATGATTTGTTGACAAAAAAGGAAAATAATATTAAAGGTGGGTTATTTTTTGGATTTTTTAACAGGAAAAAACATAAGAGCTTGCCGACCAGTGACTACAAAGAGCTTAAAAGTTAAAAGGTGATTAACGTTACGAATTAAAAGTTGGTTTATTCGTAATGATCCGCCGAGAAAAAAGAAGAGGTAGAACTAAGAAGTGTACTATAATGACGATTCTGACCTTGGAAATGAGGTTCCGCTAAGGACGTAGTAAATTACTAAATTGTTAAATGTTTATAATACAGCGTCGTTAAGACTGACACAGTCACATAGCTGACCAAATCGAATCTTAATTTCTCGGCTTCAAGAATGTTAACACGTAATTACCCTAATGGATGATGAATGGATGATGAAGAGAAGCTTTAGCTTTTTCTTTCTTTTACTTTCGTTTACCCTATTATAAACGATGAAGAGTATGTAAATCTCCATTACAGCAGTAAATAACCTGTAATACTCATCTGTCACGTGTATATCGCAAATCCAGCGCAATTAATAAAAATATCATATAGGAGTAGTCCGTACTCTTTATATTTTAATGAAAAATAGGGTTGGAAACTTTTTTAACATATTAATCATTGGTCAAAATTAAAAAAAAAAAACATTGGCAAATATTGAGAGCAACCTTTCCTGACACTTTACAGCACATTGATATATGGCCTAGTTGGGATAATGTCCCAATAACCGATCCAAACCCATTGCTTAACCAATGCAACCCAAAACTAGACCGTTTTGATGTGAACGAATCAATTTTACATTTTTTTGTCGTCCGGTTTTAGATATCTTTTAAAAAGCTAATTAGTTCTATTTTTTGTTCTGATTAAAAAATCGTTAGATAAGTAACTCTTTTTTTGGCAAGCAAAATGTAATTTTATTTATCAATAGAAAAGTTGTGTATTACTATTTCCTACTCTCAAATAGGATGGAATCGGAACGAATTAAAGAAACTAAACCAAATTATTCAATCGGACCGAATTTGACGAGCATTCTTTTTGAACCATTGAGGAAACATGAACACAAAAATTGGACTATTTGTTTGCGTTTGTGTGTATTTTCTATATATCTATACATGTATATTTGTTTTGTTCAAATGAATTTTCTACGTAACGTTTTAACATATTAAGAAAAAATTATTTGTATTGGCTGTACGTAAACTAAACACAAACGCAAATTAATTAGAAAGAATTTAGAAAACAAATTTATTTTTAAATAAGAAATTCCGTTTAGCTCAAACCAAAATGAAAACTAAAATGTTTAGTTCTACCCTTTTCTTAAAGAGAAATCTTACATCAGAGTAAAATATTCATCTTTCCTAGATCCAGAATTTGAATTTTTAGGGAATATGCCCGCATCGTTGTGGTCCAGTGGTAGGAAAGGGTTGTGTGGGATGTTACACCATTTCACCAAAATTCGATCCTCCTTGGAAACAAAAACACAATTATGTGAGAAGTTTAAGTTTGGGCCAAAGGCCCAATCAGTTTACATGGTAGTCCAGTAATAGGCGATCTGGTTACCCCTGACATTAGTCGGAAGGCATTTCAAACTCGGGACAGGTAGTGGGGTGGCCCATTTGGATCTCATGGATCTCATGGCCCGTTGACTCGAGTTCGCTCGAAGCTCATGGTGTCCATTGAACCGTTGAACCAGGAAGAAATCCACACTATAGCACTTCGGTGCGTTCCTACCGGAGCGACCGAATCAGCCGATAGGATTTATAAAAAAAGAAAAAAAAAAAATTTAGGGAATATATGACGGTTTAGTGTTTTGATTTTTCCGGTAGTTGATGCAAAAAACGTAAGCGTAGGCCATTTAAAGTAATTTATTTTTTATTCTAGCTTATTATTTTTTTGTAAGCTTTTGATGTTTCAGTTGTAAAATGCGATCTTTGGAGATACCTTTTTGTGTGTGTTTGTTTAGTTAAGTTTGATATTATGAGTAAAGGGGAAAACCTTTTTCAGAAATAAGGGAAAAAATGATATATATTGAATTATTGATTAAATCCAGAGAGAGAGAGAGAGAGTATTTGTTGTTTTTTTTGTTAATAGAGAAACAGAATATTTGTGGAAATGCAGAAGGAATCTCAAATTTATAATTCTAAGTGGTCACCGTGAAGTTTATTAAATCCAATGGAAATGAGAGAGAGAGAGAGAGAGAGGAACCACTCCATTATTTCAATGGCTTCTCTTATGATTCTCACGAAGCAGATGATGTTCCTCATGAAGAAGTTACACACTTACTCTACCAACTGTCGATTTTCTATTTGCTAAGCAGATACCTTGATCCATTACTTGGGTTTTCGTGGATAGGCAAGTTTGTTTTTCATATTAATTTCAACAACCAATTATATACACTATATATATCGATACACTCTTATTGCATATATATTATATATATATATGATTTTTTTCGTTAACATTGCAGTAATCAGCTAATGGCTAAAAGTGATTCTGTGGTTGCTAAGAAACAAATCCACTATGTGGATGGTGAGGCAGTAGAATTGAGGAGCGACAACGAAATTAATGAAGAAGATGAAGAAGAAGAAATCGAGAATTCCACGTTGTGGCTGTGGAGACCTCGATCTCCGTTTTGTTACGATATTTTGTGTAATATTTAAAAATCACCAACAAAATGCCTTATAGTTTAGTGGTAAGAATTCCACGTTGTGGCTGTGTTGACCTGGGCTCGAATTCCACCAACTCATTTTTCCTTATTTCTTTTTCCAATTCAGAAAAGGGTGTTTACGTTTCTTTTTTTTTTCCAACGTCTACCTCTCTACCTATCGGCTAGTTTTCACTTCCACCTCTCTCATCAAACTCAAACCTAATACCTATATATAGTATACACAAATTTCATCATCATTCATCACTCACAATCAATCAGGTTCACTGGCCATCATCGTTTGACAATTACCAGTCTCTTTGCTCGTAGGATAAAGAGACATTCCCACCACTTCTGGTTTTGCTTTTGCCTTGTAGGATAAAGGTGAAAGTCCCCTCTAATCTTGTGTTATATATGCGTGGGTGTTTGATCAAAGTTCTTATGATTTTTTTTTAACATAATTTACATAATATATTCCTATATATTTTTATGTTGGGTCTTTGATACTATATATTTGGAAACTAGTTTGATAGATATAGTTTCTTTACTAATTCCACTCTTATTTTAAATTACAGTTGTAAAGAAAGATAAACGATACAGATAGTAGAGAAAAATGAAATACCTTTGAAATCTTGATATAATTTTAACAATAATGATTTTCTTTTGCTCTCAAAATTCGACTAAGAATCATTCCTCGGCGTATAAAAAAGCAAGATATAGTTCTTGTTTGTATCCCCAGAAAATAGCAATGAGGGTAACAAATCCATTAAAATTAGGGAATTTTCAAAGTAAGGAGCCGGTAAACTTGAACGCAACTAATTTATTTAACTTTAGTCCCCTTGAAATTCGCATTAAATTATCTGCAAATCAGTTATTATCAATGGGTCTGACATTTGTAGTTATAATAAGTAGAAACGTTAGACTTTTTCTATTTCTTTACTCTGTCCACACTAAATGTTTTGAGATATATAGTACCTGTTACCGTATTATAGTATAATATCTCGGTTTTATATTATAGTATTTGGTACCGTATAATATAAAACCACTGAATATTATATATAATAACAAAAAAAGCCATATTGATAAAACAAAAAAAAGAAAGAAAAAAAGAAAGAAAAAAAACAAAAACTAATTCAATCGAGGCGGTACACTACAAGTCGCATAAGCTAGCAGCTATAGTCCCGTACAGAATATTACGTACATAATATTACGTACAGAGTATGAATCAAAACGGATAGAAACCACCAAGAAAAAGGAATAGTAAAACAGAAAGCAAAAACAGGAGAAATAGAATAAAATAGGACGATAAGAAAAACAAAACCTATGATATGGCTTACGCGATCCATGGTGCCTCCTCTGAAGTGCAATTCTGGCTTGTTCTTCAAGAGGATGACCCATGAAATCGCACCCAGGATGGCTGTATAGCAGTAGAAACCTAAGATCTTGATCATATGAGTTTTATTTGCAGCAATGGGGATTTTGTGAAGTCTCACATACAGGAATGTTGCAACAATAAAGGCTATCAGAAGGATGTGCATCACAATGTCGTAGATTACGTATTTGCTCTTCCTGCATCAACCAGACGTTAATTACACAATTCTTTTTTCTAAAATAAAATAAAATGTTAATTACACAATTCACACGCATAATCAGTGTAAAACTAATTATCTGATAATCTAAAAAGCTTTTTGATAGACGACGACTCACCACCATGGCTGATGCCTTCTTTGAGATTCATCGGCAGTAGCAGGATTCATGCCTTCTTTTATTGGTATATTGTATTAGTTATATTGTGAATTCGTTATATAATTTTTTGTGTGGTAGAAAGGTGTTTACGCACACAGATATATATATATATATATATATATACAAGTTTCTAGTCTCTCACGATGTATCTTATCGATGTGGGACTCAGTTAAAGTGGATAATAATGAGTAAATACTTTACAAAACAAAACATTAAATAACTATACGAGTCCATCTAATGATACGAGTATATCCAAAGATACGAATATATCCGAATATACTCCATTGTTTTTTTTTTTTTTTTTAAAGGGCCTACTCCAATATTCTCAGCAACGCGCGACCTTGCTGAGTTCTTCTGGTCCTTTTTTACGTCTTCCTTCTTCTTCGTATAGCCTCATGAAGTTTTGACCTACAGAGAGAGCAAGCTTCAAATGTTTTCTCCCCCTTCACTTTCTGTCTTCTTCGCTTCACCTAACTCATCTGTTTCTTTCCTCTGCCTCACCTGCAAGAACGAATGTTGAAACTAAGATTGAAAAACATAAAAACATACAGTTATTCAACATTCTTCAACCATACAGAATTATTTCCTCTTCACCTAACTCCTCTGTTTCTTTCCTCTGCCTCTTCACTAAACTCCTCTGTTTCTTTCCTGTTTTGGGTTAATACATTGGATTCGTGGAATTCCACTTCACCGGTCACATGTACGAAGAAAAAGAACCAAAAATATATATATAAACAAAAAGAAGAAAATATATAAAGATATCTCAATAAAGCAGGAAAAATTATTAAAAAAAAGATCTCAGTAAAGATGGTTAGGAACTTTAGAAGGGTGACATCTCGTATTCTCGTATAAGCCACGTTACTTTCTTTACATGCAAGTGGGAAAGATATTGAAGAAAAAAGAAACCGCATTGCAAAACAGATTACCTAGCTTCGGATATAACCAACATTTTTCATTCGATGCGATGAAAGAAACAAAAAAAGGAAAAAAAAAAAACAATTGAAAAACGAAATTGTGTATTAGTTGCATAAAGATAGTTATTTAGAACGTATATAGTTGCACAAAAAAAAAAGGTAGTTATCTAAGCAAATTGTGTATTGATTAAGAAAATTGTGTATTGATTGTGTATTGATTAAGCAAATTGTGTATTGATTAAGAAAGTAGTTATTTAGCCGACCAAAAAAAAAGGTAGTTATTTAGTTGCACAAAAAAAAGAAAGTAGTTATTTAAAATCAAATCTATATACGAAAAAAGAATCAAATCTATCTAATATCTCTAAGGAATTGGGACCCACACTGTGACAATTGTCTTCCAACATTTTGTAACACTTACATATCCAAAATAGCAGGTTAGTTCAATCATCAAATCTCCTCAACTTGTCTTCTCCTCAAATTTAAATGTAAATGAAACTTTATATAAATATAATAATAGAACCAATAATCAATATCATAACTTCATTGCCTCTCTCTCTCTCTCTCTCTATATATATATATATATATATACTCACACAAACTTCATTCATCACATTTTCATTTTTCTCTCTAAACCCAAGAAAAGTCAGAAGAGGAGAAAATAAAAGAAATGATTCTCCACAAAACGGCGTTCATGGCCGCTATTCTCTTATTCTTCTTCATAAACAGCTTTCCGCGTCCACAGCCGCGAAACGTCTGCTTGCGATACAAAGGACGCAGCAACAGCGACGCTGAGATTCTGCCAGGTGTCAGTTCCGATACTGGAGAGAGTAATGGATTTGATCGTACGGCTGACGTTAGCAGAGAAAGTTGCCTTGTTAGGGAACACTGCGGCGGCGATTTCACGGCTAGAAATCAAAGGGTACGAGACTAGAGTGGTGGTCCGAGGGTTTACACGGCGTTTCAAATATGGGTCCTGGTACTAGGTTCGGTGGGGTCTACCCTGCAGCCACCAGTTTCCCTCAAGTCATCACGACCGTTGCTTCCTCCAGTGTTCGGTGGGAATCTATCGGACGGGTCAGATCTTTTCTCTCTCTCTCTCTTATCCATTGGTTCAAAACAACAACGATCGAAGCTATTAAACACTTTTCACCGTGAAAATTACGTAAATAATAATGGTATTGAACTATTGATTATAGTACATAACAGGCGACGTTAATTTAGACAGCTAGACTAGACCATAGCCTCTGTTTATGATAATTAAGGGGTTTGTTCGCTTTTTTTTTCGATCAAATTATCGAACTTGGGTGAGGTGGGGTTCGTTTTTTTATGTAGAAAGTAGAATACTTTCAGTGGGACCGAAATATTCTCTTTTTCTTAAAATGTTACCAATAATATTTGGTTACTTTACTTTTATTATAGTGATTATAAGAATTAAAATGCAGAGATAACACAAGCCGAACATCGCTCCAAGAATCAAAATTATTGAAGCAGAGAGGCGACGGCAAAGACTAGAACAATAACGAAGCTTATAGAAGCAGAAACCTCCGTTGACGCTGCTGCGGCTGTGATTATGATCGGCGGTTTCGGCCTATTCGGAACGCATTCATTGCAAACCGGCGGTAACGGCGGCGGAAGTGGGAGCGGGCAGTGAGTACATGGTGGTGGTGGTGAAGGAGGTGGAGGAGGAGGTGGTGGAGAAGGTGGTGGCGGACAGAAAATCTCTAGCGGCGGCGGAGGAGGTGGTGGAAGCGGTGGAGGACAGAGTAACTCTAGCGGCGGTGGTGGAGGAGGCGGTGAAGGCGATGGCGGTGGTGGCTGATCACATGGATTCTCACATTCTAAGCACATTGCACATTCAATCTGCGTTTTCTCTAATGCTGCTATCCCCAATGCAACAGATTGTGATATTAAAAACAGAGTGAAGAAACAGAGATACAACTCCATTGATAGAAGAAGGAAGAGAGAAAATACTCAATGGTGGAAGAAGGAAGAGAGAAATGTTTGTGGCTTTAAAAAGAACTTGACTTTCTTTAAGAACCTTCAAAAGGAAGAACTTTGGAATCTGATACCAATTACATTTTACAGCTTTGATAAAGAACACAAACCTTTTTGGACCATGTAATAACTGTAATCCACAAAGTTCGAACCAAATATTCTCTTGATTTAGTGTTTCTAGAGTTTTTCTTTTGTTCAGTTTTGGAAGAACAAGTGAAGCTAATTGAAAAAGTTTATTTAGACAGTATTAGCATTTATTATCGTCTTTAGATTAAAACCACTCGCCTCTCATTTCTCTTAAGATTCTAGAATGAGGAAACGTTTCAGGATCGCCGCGTTCTGCGTTACGTTTGAATATCATCGTAGCTCTCATTAAAGACTCCTCCGCCGTGTCTAGCTGCTCCGGCAACCATCCGATCACATCTTTACCTGCCGCATACGCCGTTCCATCGGTGGCTTGCGTGATAGGTTTCCGAGTATCGGCGAATTCTATCTCCGCCAACGGAGACGCTTTGTGGTGTGCGTAAAATTCCTTGTCGCTCTCTGTTTCATCTTCTCTCCGCCTTTGCTCCTCCGATTCTCCGTCGTCTCTTGGCCACGATGAGTCAGGCGACGGCGGGGAGGTGGTGGCGGTGCTTCTTCTCCGTTTCTGTTGGAAATTGGGCTCCGACGGATGACCAACGGGAGTGCTCTCTAGCTTATGTGCGGTGGTGCGTGGAGATTTCGGCGGATTAAGCGGTTTCTCTTCTAAACTCGGCCGTGGAGTTTCGTCGACTATTTCTTCCGCTGCCGTCTTAGGGTTCGCTACATCATCCATACCCTGAAACATAATCGACCACACAAAGCAGAGCGTTTTTACTTTTTTAGCTTTGTATTTTTTGTTTAACATTTCCAAATCCACAACTAAATATACGATTTTGAAGTATACCACATCTAAATTTTCTCTTTCCAAATTCTCACACATTAAGAAAAGAAAAAAAATGAAATATCTATAGCACATCAAAAATTTCTCTATCCAAATTTTTACATACGACAAAAAGTTGATTTAAACATCTACAATTTCTCTCTACTGGTTTACCTTCAAGTCTGTAAATGTATATTAAAATGGATTTCATTAGTTACTAACTTAATAATTACGTGACATCAGGTTTTAGCTTCAGTTAAAACCGTAAACCATATGAGACCATTACAAGTAAGAACACAAATATACTACTGATTTTTTAAACCGTAGAAGATAATCGAGAAACAGGGAATTGTTTACTTCAGGGTCTGTGGGAAAAATAGCTGGATCAGCTCCATCGTTACCGGCATGAAGCTCTGGATCAGCGGTTCGGCCAGACGTCGATGATCCAAACGCTAACCGCCTTTGTAAGGTAGGTCGGACGCGGGAACGAGCCGCTGAAGCAAACGCTAATAATCGTGATTGCATCATCATCTCTTCTATTTCACAATGTTTTTTTTAGCGTTGATTAAAAGGAAGTAGTAGTGATTTCTATAAATTAGAACTTGATTTTTATAATCTCTACTCTAATGTGAGAGAGAGTGAGAGTGGTCGTGACACTTGTCGATGCACTGCCTCGTTGGTAATGACGTGGCAAATTTAGAATGACTAGAAAAGCTTAGAAGCTGCTCGGTGTCCTCAGATTTGTCTTTCCTATATTACAACATTCAAAGTTCAAAAATAGCATTTTATTTCGTATCTAGACATTATCGAACAAGAAAACTAATGCTTTCGATTTAAATCATTGAAAAATATCTAGTTGTCTGAAAGTACCAAATTTTATCTTATTTTTTACAATTTTAACTATGAATCACTGTATTAGAAACTTCTCAATACAAAAATTAAGAACTTCATTAAATGACCCATTTTTTATCTAAAGCATTTGTTGTGTAAGCATCTTAACCCCAATTTCATAAGAAACATAAGCATCAACGGACAAGAACTTAATCACCTCTTCATCAAGAACATCATTAGCCAAATCTCTCGGACAAAACTCCCTTTTCGGTCTCCACGAACAGAAACCCAACAGCTCACAAGCCATTGCCTTCAAGCTAAGCCTTGATCTCTCACCATAACTAAAAGGATAATTAACCTTTGCCAAATCACGTACATCAACTTTCTTAGCAATTACTCTGATTAGCCCGTCAAGACTCGCGACCGTTTTCGCTATACCGATCCCTACAAAAACAAATCTCTCATCGTCAAATAGATCACTAAGGCAATCTTTGAGGTTGGTAATTTGACTCATGTGAAGGAGCTGGAGTATAAGGCATTTCGTCTTGATGCATAACTGAAGAGTTGCGGTTTTGGCATCATCTTGAGGATGGGACTTGGAGTTTAGAGAGATGATCACCGTTGGATCTTCTCTGTATGCTGATAGTGCGGTGAGGATCCAGCTCTTGACTATGGAGACTTCATTTGTCACCGTCGTTTCTATGAGTATTTCATGAAATGGAATCAAATTTGTAGTTGTTACCATCGCTCACTATGAAATGGAGTTTTGCACAAGAATTACTTAGTTGTCTATCTTTATATAGGCAGGCCTAATTGTTTCGTCTATGTTCATCGATTTTTGTCGTTGGAAAAATCAAATTCGTCAATTTTCGAAAAGAATTTAATACTCTATATATAAATGAATGGGTCAAATGTGCAGTTAATACAACTAATTTCCAACTGATAGTTGATAGAAATAATTAAACACACAAATCAAATAATGTATTGAATAAGAAACAAAATTGAATACCTCCCACATACACACACATACATATATACTTCATTTTCCCTATTTTTTTCATTAATTAGTTGAAACACACTCACAAATAACAAAACAAAAATGAAGAAAAAGTAATAAGTAATGCCAAAAAATAAATTCGATCAAGAAAACCTCAAGATCGATCGATCCTTCGTCTGACCAAATTAATCAATTCACGAGACATTTCCAAATTTCCATGATCCAATCTCCATGCATGTAACTGATCTTAATTAGATACTCGATTCATTATTATTCCTTTGGCCTTGCAACGTTCAGTATAAACCTGATTTTGCATTTTCATTTGCTCATAGAATCTCACGATGAATTCCTCAGCCTTGATATCGATCATATCATCTCCTCCTTCAACATCGCTATAACATTCAACATCATCATCATCTTCCTCATAATGGCAATCCAAATCACGTAAAGACATAGCAGATCCATATCCCGAGATTCCGGAGGATGATGAAGAAGAAGCCGCCGTGAAAACCTCAATAGCCTCCGATAAACGATCCCCGGAACCATCATTATCATCATCATCATCATGGCCACCGTCTTGGCCTATCTCCGTCGCCGCAGGAGGAGCCGGAGGGAGCACGATTGTGTTTATAAATTTGGGCGATGGCATTATCGTAATTTCGGAATGGACTTTACGAACGGACTCAACCACTCGCCGCCAGAACCCGGTGTTGAAAGACTTTCTCCTCCGGCGACGACGGAGCATGAACATGACGACGGAGAACACGTGCATCCCACGTGATAACTTTTTCTTCTTCATGGTCTTGTTTATTTGCTCTATCTCTATTAGTTTATCACCATTCTGATATTTTGTTTCCATATTACCAAAAAAAAAATGGAACAAAATATCAGAAAGATGACGAGAAATTAAGGAAAATCAAAATTTTCTCCCTGGGTGAACAGGGAGAGAGATTTTGTTTTATTGTGAAAAAGATTTCGGGGGAGGAACTTTTATTGTGTGTAACGATCTCTCTATATAAGTGTTCTGTATTTAGGGTGTAAATGATAGTTATTGAAATATTGGGGGTTAAGTAACAACAAACTAGAATGTTTAGGAATTAAAAAGAAAGAGGGATATATATATTTTTTTTTTTGTCAACGAAAGAGGGATATTTAACGTCGTAACTAGAAACAGCGCGTTTTTTCTGCCGTCGTTTATGGGACGAAAAGAATTAAGAAAAGAAAAAGACAGCCTAAAACCAAACCAATTTAGTAAATATTGTGGCAGCTAATTTAGTTAACAAAATAAATCAGTGGTTCTAATTAGTAAAAACTGTGGTTGTAATTATGCCAATTCTTAAGCATAATATTTCACCGTAATTTTTATTCAAATACTTCTCAATCTGTAAGTTTGGTGGGAAAAAATCGTATAAAATAATTGAGCTATAGCTTATTTTGTGAAAAAAGGATAAAAACGACTAACCATAGACAAAGTCCTACAAAGTAAAAATGATTGACCCTAAGTTACTTGCACGAATAATATGCCACAAATTAAAACATGGTTCTATGGAATTTGCACTAAGTTTCATTTTCTCAAGCATTGTACGTATAACTGTATAAGATGCAAATGTACATCGACTATATGAATGTGGTTTCACATATAATATATTTCATTCAACATTTTAGTCTATATATTTTTCATTAATCACAGTGATCAGCAAAAAAAAAATGTGGATGGATGGTTCATTAAGATTTTTTTTTTTTTATTTGTTGACTAACTAACGTGACACTTATTTATAAATCTTGTTCACCATATTATATATTGTTTTTTTTTTAAATTACTATATTACTGTCTTTTTGTAGATTTGAACATATGAACCCAATTGAACAAAATCAAACCGTATATGAAGTTATGAATTATTATTCAATCATGGTTTTTAATAGAATTTAAATCCAACCACAATCCATTATTATTCAACTAATGATTCTAAATAATGTTTTAAAATCAAGTGTTATTAGTTCTTTTGATTGTAAATCATATTTAAGAGGTTTTAAAGTTTGGTGTTATTCAATAAAGATTTCAAATCTTTCATTAAAATCCAGTGTTATTCAAAACTAAATAATTTTTAAAATCTTTGTATATTAAGTCATTTCAAATCAATTCTAATAGAGTTTTATGAGTAAATTATTAGAATCAAAATCCAGTGTATATTGCAGAGATTTTAGAATCTAAATAAATGAATCCATCAAACTGATATCAATTTTTAAATCTAGAAGATTATAAAACATAGAAAATTCATTTCAAATTCATGATTGAATAACACCCCCTAAAAGTTTGTTGAATATAACCTGAATTATATATATGTTATTGAACTTTTTTTAATGTAATGACTTCAACTAAGCAAAAAGAAAAGCACACAACAAAATCCATGGTAGAACACGGTTGCGTGGAAAGTAAATTAGAAAAGAATAATTGAGACAGCCTAAGACATTATTCAACGGCAGCCCAACTAAACCAATCACTCCTTCTCCCTTAAGTCTTCAGCTTATTATACAAGTCGCTCTCTGGTTATTTCTACAATTATTATAATTGTTTCATTACGACGAAGTTTCTATTGTAAGTACGTAAGTCTCTCTATTATACTTGTACAATTATTAAACGCTTATTCACATTTTTTTGCAACACCGAACTCACAATCAGAGTCTTCATGAAAAGTAAAAACTATTTTTTTAAAAAACGACCATGATTCTTTAGTTCATTTGTTGTCAGAGGCTCATTATTTTTAGATAAGGGATAATAGGTTTAGTTGGATAACAAAAGCTAGTTAATACGGACCGATTCAAGCTAGGTCTAGTAACATAGGAGGACTAGCCATATTAGACCATCACCTCCAATTGCTAATTCTCTCCAATTGCACTCAAAATGTTCAACATTCGAAAGATAAACTATTTTGGAAAAATGCGTTCCACTTAATTCGTATAATTTTCTTATACAATGAATAATTCATTCAATAAGAAGAAAAATGCTTAGATAGTCCTAGTTTTGAGAGTAGAACCAAACCAATCAATATACATTTTTCTTTGATAAAAAGTTTTCTTCCAATAAAGTGTATAAAGTATAAAAACAATGCCTAAACTTACGCTTACGAAACAAACAAAACGGCTAAACAGCTCAGATATTGCCCGCGTACAGCCCGAGGGGTCCCACTTGAACTCCAGATTATGAAAATAAGTGTTGCTATTCTTTTTGTCCTTATAACAAATTTAATATATGTATTGTGAATCGCTCTCTATCTCTCTCTCTCCGCGTCGACAACTGCAAAAAGCTGCTTGCTTTGTATAAATACACGCATAAGTGTCCACAACTTCTCCCACACAATCACCTGAAGAACCAAAGCAGCCACACACACAAACACACCAAAAAACAGGGGCTTACCGGATCCATCTCAGATCTCGAACCAATCCACCAAAAAAAAGAAGTAATAATTCAAATTCATGGGGGAATCAAAGAAGAAAAGCAGATCAATCGCAACACAAAGAGCATGGAGTCTTGTAAGAATGGCTCTTCTATGGGGAAGAAAAGGTGGCATCTTTAAGAGATGGCACATGTTCGAGCTACGTCACTTGTTCTCCAAGCATCTCAAAGCCCTAGCTCATCCTAATAACGGCGCTGACAAAGAGAGCTATCTCTCACGTTACGGCGAAAAACAGCTCTCTTTCGACGAGACGCCGATCTTCAACGTTAAGATGCATCGTCCTGCATCCATGCGGTTCCTCTTGCCTTGCATTGCTCCTCCCGTTGACTTTGACTATGATTTCGAATTGGACGGTCAAGATGATACCGACGGTGTTAGATACTACGATGATTCTTCTTGCCACGAAATATGTGATCGTGCGGCCAAGGACGATCGTGAGGAGGAAGAAGAAGAAGAAGAAGATAAAGGTGTTGATGTGAGAGCAGAGGAGTTTATTGCTAACTTCTATGAGCAGATGAAATTGCAGAGGCAAATCTCTTATTTGCAATACAAAGAACGCAATGAAGTCGTATGAAAGTGTTTCAAGTCAATTCTCGCTTCTTTCTTTTTTTTTTTTTTTGTCAATTCTGGTGAAATAGAGAATTACGAGTGGAAAAAGTTAACAAAATAAGCCAGAAAAGACGGAATTTCAAGAAATCGTTCATTCATTCATTTTTTGCGTGATCTCTATGTAATCCACAATTTTACAATCAATTTTTCATAAAATATTTTTGGCCTGTATACAAAAAAGTTATTATCACCATTTCATCCACATGAATATTGTTTTATTACTCATAACAAAAGAATCTTAGTGTTTTGTTCCACTTCCACTTCTTTTCTTGTCTTAATTTCAATGACTGCACTTTTGTTATACTGAGAGATCATCATCACTTACGGGTTTGATGTAAGAACACTTCATAGGTAACCAACTTTAGGATTCCACTCCGCGATAAGCTGTTTTTGCAGTCTTGAGTTTCAAAAGCTAACAACTAAAAAACTAACTTCAGAAAGGTCAACCCAAAAGAAGCTTACATGTAAGAAAGAAAGATTAATCAAGTGAAGCTAGCTTATCTTCGTCAACATCAAAAGCTTTGCGAGCTTGTTTCAGCTCTTCTTGCATTGCCAAGAGTTCTCTACACCGGTTAAGTTTTGGCAAATCCTGCATAAATCCAAATCAAAGAACAGTCACACATAGAATACAAAACCGTAGACAGCCTCAGTCTTTGATAGTGAAAGTTACCTTGCGGATAAGATATAAGAAGTCGTCAACGAGTAGCCTTCCTCGCTTTGAGCCAATCTCTTGAGCCTTATGTGTCTGACACATTAATTAAGCATCTCTTTTCGGGTTAGCAGCTAATAATATATATATATATATATATATATATATATAGTTTCTCTCTACTTGTAATGTAAAAAAGATGAGAAACTCAATACCAAATCAGTGATGTATTCCACAACAATGTCTTCTACAAGCGCCACAGTCTCTGGAAGCGGCTACAGACAAGAGGAGGAGATAATTTCTGCGTTAGTTTGAGGGTTCAAAAACAGTAATTACTCAAACAAGATTCAGCAAGAATCATACCGCAAGATTTCTAAACAAGTTGGTTAGATAGGCATTTAAAGCCAAGATTATCTACCTCACTTGTTACTTGTACGCATCTATGAGTGATTCAGGTATATGGAAGAACATTGAACATTTCTATATGGTTCATATGAGCATGTAGCAAGAATTGAATGAAGATAGCTTACGTTCTGCTCGTCGCCAAATCCATACATCATATGCTGCACTGAAAACCATTAAAAAAAAGACCAAACTTAGCGGAAACACAGAATGAAGAATTCAGTTTCTGGCAAGAGAATGTTAGAAATTCACTTTACATTCTTTTTGAAAGAGCGTTTTACGCTTTTCCTGCGGCTGAGAAGTTCCCGCAGCTTTCGATTTGGACGATGACGCAGCCGTTGCTGGTGTGTTACTCATCTTCCTTCTTCTTCTTCTTCTTCTTTTTCTTCTTATTCTTCTTCCGATTATAAGAAGAGAGAGAGAGATAATTAGCGGAAATTCGATTCAGTCGAATACTAGTAACCCTAGGGGAAATTTTCAGAAAACAGATTAAATTCAAGTAGAAAAAGAAAAACCATGAGCCAGATTTGTTGATTCCTTCCGAAACCAAAACAAGAGAGATACCGCAATGTTGTATTCAGGCACCGTGAAATAGCCATGGGAGAGAAATCGACGATGGTTCTTTATCACAGTCATCGCCGTAATGGGTACAGATCGAAAATTCAAAAGGGGAAAACTGAGAACAGAAAGCTCACCGTGGATAGAATTAGCTTCGGCGTGCAGAGGTGGTGGTCGTGCGAAGACGATGATGAAATCGGAGAAACGGGAGAGATTTCGGTGATCTCCACAATTACATATTTATATGGAAAATACATTTTTTTTTCTTTTTTTTTCCAATCCTTTTAAACCCGACCCAGACACCAAACCGGAAATTTTGGGTCGGACCACGAGTTCAATGGATTGGACTGCGGGTTACTTAATTTATTAATCTCTTATTTTCAAGTAAGCTTTCGTTTATTGAAGTGAAGATAAACACATCCCAAAGATGCTACGACCATCATTGGGAACATAAATATGAAATGTCGAGCAAACAAAGAAGAGGAAACTAAGAACTTTGGTACTACGTTGTTGTTTGAAAATTGTTGTTTAGAATTAGTCTATTTTCATTACCAAGTCAAGAAATAAGAATCAGGAATGGCCCTACTTAACTACTTATATTAGGCATAACCTGCCCTGTCACGGAGAGGGTTTGCCTCGTCTTATTTTTTTTTTTTTTTTTTCAAGGCTTTTATTTTGCTGCGAATGGCAACCAATCCAACATAAAACTTGAGGATGAACAAAGCCGGCAACATTATGAACATCAAAGGTGTGAGGGACAATGCAGTTTTTCAAAGCAGCCACGATGGGATTGGCACAGCATTCTCATCGTCCAAATAATCCATCTCTGCTATGTACTGCCTCAACTTCTCGAGATAATCCAAGCTAGGAAGGCACCTCATCGCAACAGTATACATACAGCCAAAAGCAGCCACTTTCAGGGACTTGCACTTGTCCAGTGAATCACAATCATCCTTTTTCAGTAGCTGCAAAAAACCCATGGCGATATCGCGAATCACTATTCTTGCACGTAGCAATTCACCTAAAGAGCGGAATTGTAGTCATTTGAATAATTCGTCTTTCTGCGAATGCAGGGAGAAAGTTGATACACGCGAGGAAACTCGTTCACGACCAAAGTCCCTCTCTGCGTACATAACCATTCGCTGGAAGACCTGACGGAGACGGCAGAAATTTCGTACCAGAGGACCTAAGATTGAGAGCGTAGAATCAATCTCTACTTCTCCTTGTGAGTAAAGCCATGAAGCCTAATGATAAACGTATTGGGCTTTTGGCGGCAACGCCATGGGTTGTACACAATGTAACGCGTCTGACTGTCTCCATTCGTTCTTGGTGACGATTTGTGGTTTTAGATCCAAGTACGAGCTTCATCAAGCACCCATATCTTTTTCTTATAACATTTGAAATCATATATATCAGCTTCCACAATTATATACTTTAGTAGTCAAACACGAGATTCTAAATAGCTCAAGATTCAGTATTCACCAGCTAAGCTATCAACGACATAATCAAGCTAATGGAATTTTCTTACAATTTCAAAAAATGTAAATTGGTTCAATCACAATTAACCATTATGATCGTTTTACCCCAAAAAAAAAACTGTGATCAATGTTTTTTTTTCTTTTGTTTAACATTGTGATCTATGTTCTTAATTAAATCTTAAAGGTATATTTTTTCTACATATATTATCTGAAATGTTTCATGATAATAATATTGTTGATCTGATGAGGAAAAAACGATAATAGTTTTTAGTTTCGTGCAAGTACTTAGGATTTCAGTTTGTATATTACCCTCACGGAGAAGCAACCAACAAGACATGCAAGAACACAACAGTAAAAGACAAGGCGCGTGAGCATTCTGATCACGCCACGTGTACCATTGGATAGAACCCAAAATCTTGGAACACGTCACATGGTTTTTGTCCACCTATATCCATTTACACACATTACTCAGACTCTGACGTGGCAATCTTCCACATCCTAACGGCGGTCCCAGGTGAATGTTCTAGGAAACTTCCATCTTTTTTTTAAATATATTTTCTGAAAAGTTTAAGATGTAAGGCTAGATATAAAATGCAAAACTGAATTAAATTTCTATTTACTAGTATGAAAACTAAATAACTTGAATTTTTCTGTCATTAGTCCTAGCTCCTAACGAAAGTTGAATACTACTAAATGAAATACTATAAGTATCTGCCTTTTTATAAATATATTAATTTTTGGATTTCGCTTCTCAAGTCGGCAAAATTTCTGAACCAATTCGACTACCCTTTTGCTTGATGGTCCCACGTGGGGTAAAACGTGTTGGACGGATAACTCACGCGTATTACACGTATGTATGTTTAAACTAAACGACGCCGCTCCATTATTCGCTGAGACTTCTCTTCTTCATTAAAAAAAAAAGAGAGAAATATCGCGTAAGAAAAAAAAACAGAGAAATATCGCAAAAGAGTAGTCAACATGTTGACAAAAAAAGTTAGTAAAAAAAAAAAAACAAATGTCGCAAATCTTTTTGGTCGAAAAAAAAACAAATAGTCTTCTTTTTTCCTGTTTTAAATAGTAAAACGAAAATATGGCATAGAAAGATCTTTCACACAAGCGTTTCTCCTCTTCGGCGATCTGTTCGGCTGATAAACAAACTTTTCTTGCCTTCTAAATTTTCTCAATTCTAAATCTTTCTGTGGAATAGAATTTACATTCCAAGAAATTCTAAAGATCGTTAATAATTTTAAGTTGGAAGAAGAATCCCAAGAGACGTTCCCAAAAGGAAGCACACAGCAAAAAAGCTTTATAATGATGGATAGTTTGTGTTTGAATACCGGCTTACACGGCGTTATTCCAGCGATCACTGCGGTTGGAAGCGGCGTAAGCGGTTACGGTGGAGTTGTTGAAGTCAGAGCAACCGCAACGGCGCCATCGCAAAAAAGGGGACCTTTTGGGTTCTCTTTCAAATACCCATTGACGCCGTTTTGGTCTCGCGGTGGAGGAGGAATTGCGTCGAAGAGACGAAGCGGGTTGGCTTTGGACGACGCCGTTTTGGTGGATTCTGGCGACTCGAGAAAGCCAATCGCGGAGGAGACCACGGCGGTGGAAATGGAGACGGAGAGGCGAAATGGGAGCTGGGTTTTAAAGATCTTGGATGTGAAATCTATGTGGAGAGATGGTGAGGTAGAAGAAGAAGAATATGATGATGAAGATGAAGACCAGGATGTATTAGACGACAAAATATTATCTGAAGATGATGGTGACTGCGATGTATGTTCGATTTTGGAAGATGATGGTGAAAAAAACAAAATTCAGCTCGATAGAGAATCGTTCTCGAAATTGCTGAGGAGGGTTTCGTTACCCGAATCAAAGCTCTATGCCCAAATGTCCTATTTGGGAAACTTGGCTTATTCAATTTCTAAAATCAAGGTTGGCTTTTTTAACGATTTCAATTTTGTTTTTTACTTCATCATGAATATGAGTTTATAATATGATACTGATATTTAGGTGTTAATTTTCAAAAAAAAAAGGAGCTTAGAAGTTAGAAGAGACAATGTGTAAATTTTGCAGGATATTCGAGTTTATCTCTTTCTTATGTCTGGCATTTACCTTGCAGCCTGCGAATCTCTCGAAGTATTACGGCCTTAGATTTGTTACTTCATCAGCTGAGAAAACAGAATCAGCTTTAAAAGCTGAAAATGGTGAAGTTTCAGGTGAGATGAAGACAAACGAAGAAGAAGAAGAAGTTGAAGGCAAAGACGACAAGAAGGAAGGACGCAAGATTAGTGCTTCTGCTGCATATGAGATAGTTGCATCAGCTGCTTCTTACCTTCAGTCTCGCACAACCAACATACTTCCTTTCAATTCTTCGTCCAAAACAGAGAATTCATTCAAAGGCGACGAGAATCTGGCAAATGTGGAGTCTGCTTCTTCTTTAACCAACATTGTTACTTCTGGTGTTGCTGCTGAGGAAGATGTGAAGCAAGCAGTTGCAGACGATTTGAAATCTACGATTTCGTCTCCTTGCGATTGGTTTATATGTGATGATGATCAGACTCACACCAGATTCTTTGTGATTCAGGTAATAAAAGGAAAAGCTTAAAGCCTGTTCATTTTTCCCCAAGGTTTCATAATCTCATGTGTTGATGAAAACTTTGAAATTGCTTGTAGGGATCTGAATCTCTAGCTTCTTGGCAGGCAAACCTACTCTTCGAGCCTATCGAATTTGAGGTGTTATTTTCGTTACAATCTCAACAATTTCGGGAAACAAAAAATGTTTTTTTTTTTTTGATTTAGAACTTACAAAGACCTGTTTTTGGATCTATTAGGGACTTGGTGCGATCGTTCACAGAGGAATTTACGAGGCTGCAAAAGGAATGTACGAACAAATGCTACCTGAAGTTAAAGCTCATATCGAAACTCACGGAAACCGAGCTAAGTTCCGGTTCACAGGGCATTCATTAGGCGGAAGCTTATCGCTATTACTAAACCTCATGTTACTGATTCGAGGCCAAGTACATGCTTCTTCTCTGCTCCCGGTTATAACATTTGGTGCGCCGTTTGTAATATGTGGAGGCGATCGTCTTCTTAAAAAACTCGGATTGCCTAAAAGCCATGTTCAAGCTATCACAATGCACCGTGACATTGTCCCCAGAGCCTTTTCTTGTAATTATCCGTACCATGTCGCAGAGCTTCTCAAAGCTGTTAACGGAAACTTCCGTAGCCATCCTTGTCTTAACAAGCAGGTATGGCCACAGTCCCTTATAAATTTATCCCAATAGAAAATTCTTGATCTGGTCAGACGAGTTAACGGCTGTTCTTCTTGCAGAGTATGTTGTATTCTCCGATGGGGAAGCTTCTGATTCTTCAACCGGATGAGACATTCTCTCCCGGACACGACCTTCTTCCTCCGGGAAATGGTTTATATCTTCTAACCGGGGATTATGAATCGCCGGTTAATGAAGGTTCGGAGGAGGAACAACGGTTAAGAGCTGCGCAGACAGTTTTCTTGAACACGCCGCATCCTCTAGACATTCTTAGCGACAGATCGGCTTACGGGTCGGGAGGAACAATCCAAAGGGACCACGACATGAACTCCTATCTGAAATCGGTTAGGAGTGTAATAAGAAAAGAAGTGAATCAGATAAGGAGAGCGAAGAGGGAGCATCGCCGGAGTCTCTGGTGGCCGATTCTGGTGGCTAGAGAAAGTGGGAGCGCAGGGATTGCGATGGGCAACAGACAAATCAACGGTCAGGGTTTCTCCGGGATGATGAAGACAGGAAGAAAGTCGTTGCAGAGATTCAGCCGCCTTGTGGCGTCTCAACATATGCCTTTGATTGTTGTCCTCTTGTTTCCGGTTAAGTTGTTGTGCCTCGGAGCTTTCAATGTCTTTAGTTTCCGTTGAAAGGTTCTTTTTGGCGGGTTTTGGCCTTTTGCGTATACCGGTTTAGACCGGATTTTGGTAATGACCGGTTAAGATCATTCTTTATTCATCATATGTTATTTTGTTTCTTTGGTTGTTTGTTGGGCCCATTGGAAGCTTTTTTCGGTTAGATACATTGGTTTCATGCATAAAGGTTGTGCAAAAGAAACAAAAGGGACCGGACATTGAAAGCAATGTAAAATCTAAACTTTTTAGAAAGAAGCATGTATATCAGTATATGTATGTAGTGGGGAAAACGAAATTGGTTACTCTCAATTGGTCAATAATCTTTTCTTTTTTTTTTTGTCGGCGGTCAATAATCTATTTTTATTACTCTTTTGAAACTGTGAAGATATTATTGCGCGGCAAACTGTCTATATAGTCGTAGACATGATTTAAAAAGATCATCGAATTTTAAATTTGCGCAGAAGAATTTTAGACTGATCGCATCCTATATTCTTATATATTTTCTTGTTAATTTGAATTATAAATTATTGTTTTACGAAAAGAGAAAACTAGTTGGGCAAGTTGTCGAGAAAATGGCCCAGTAGATTGTGATGTTGTTAAGCCAATCCAATCAAACAAGACACGTTGCCACCAATCACACGCATCCTAATTAATTATACGAGTGCGACCATAAAAATTCTAGCTGGAGCGTCTAATTAGCTTTTACCCCCACGCGCAACTTATAGCACGTGCAGTTCAGTCGCTTTGTTTCTTCGATGGTTACTAATTTAGCCATTATCTCCATTAAGTTTGGAAAAAGAAGAAAGTTGGATTGACATTTTTGCAAATAACGGAGACTTGTCTCGAAAGCCATCTTTATAACATATCATGCTTGATCCTCCGAGAAGATTAATGGCAATTTTGATTACAAGTAAATAGCATAAATATAGAACGAAGAATTGAATTTCAAAAAAGAAAGCTAAATCTAATTAGATCGTATACATCGTACAAATCGTTCACTACAAGTACGATAGGAGAGACAGACGATAACGTCTTCTGAATTTTTAATAGGTTCAGGACTAACCGGCCTTGTAGAATTTTGTGGACAAATGTAACCATATGATACTATGATTCATAGTAAAGAGAGATCAGTTTTTTTGGTGAAAAGAGAGAAGTTTTACACTGAAAATCCGAAATTCGAAGCCATACAACTCAATATCAAATATTTATTTGAATCATAAGAATCAGATTTCTTTTATCATTCCTTACATATTACCCTCATATCAATCGACGTGTTACAACAATCTAAGTTGTTTCTTTAGAAACATTTAGATTTCTTAAAAATCTATCTGGTGACAAAATAAAAAGAAAAAACAGAGTCAAGACTTGATAACTCCAAGCGTAGAAGCTTGAAGCGACACTGTATGAGTCTCATCTCCGATATGAATCCCATGATCGCCGATCGGTATCCTTCGGATCCCGGCCCGGTCCACTACACTCAAATACTTACACACGTGTATGTTCACCTGCACACGCTTCATCTCCCCTGCTGCCACGTGTACTCTCTCGAAAGCAACCAACTGTTTCTTCGGGGCCCATTCTCCACCTGGCGGAGCCGAGAACACAAGCATCGTGTGAGTCCCATCTCTCGATCCAACGTTCTTAATATCCACATGGACTCCGAGAGATAGACGGTTACACCTAGCGTGCGTAACACGTACTGATTTCCCTGAAACGGTACCGTTTCTACCACGCACAGCTATAGGAATCATTTTAGGCGCGTCGGCTATGCTGTGAGTAAAGCGCGTGTAGCTCAAACCATGCCCGAACGGGTAAACAACCGGACCATCGTAAAACCGGTAAGTCCGACCCGGAAATCCCTTCGACCGGATAGGTCGCATCGACATTTCCGTCATCGGTAAGTTCGTTAAATAATCCTGCGGATACCATGTCATCGGAAGCTTTCCTCCGGGATTAGCACCGCCAAATAAAATATCGGCGATTGCGGTTCCACCTTCCTGACCCGGATACCCGGCCCAAACAATTGCTTGAATCTTCGGATCCTTCTCTGCGAAAGATACATCTATAGGCCCACCAGACATCAAAACCAAGATAACTGGGCCTTTAGAGGCTCGAGCAACTCTAGAGATAAGCTCTTGTTGTTTCCCAGGCAAAAGCAAACTGTTTCTGTCCTTGAACTCAGCTTCAATAGACTGGTCCAAACCCATCACAAGAACCGTCGCGTCAGATCCTCGAGCCGCTTCAACCGCACCATCGAACAATCTATCGTCCATGCAATGTACGTCCGCGCAACCCTTATTGTGAACCGTTCGTGCATAACCGGCTATTCCTTGAACCGGACTGGTATAACCACAAGCAATCCCTGCGTAATTACCAATCATTGTGACTGTTGCGTCGGAATTCGGTCCGATGACGGCGACCTTACGGTGGTGTAGACGGGAGAGAGGTAGAGACGGGCCTTGATTCTTGAGGAGAACGATTCCTTGATGAGCTGCTTCGAGAGCTAGTCCCTTGTGAACCGGTGTACACACGTGTGCCGATCCAAGGTGTCCGTATGGCTGAGTCGCAATATCGCCGTCGAACATGCCGAGTCTCATCTGTACCGTTAGCGTGTTGACGACGGCGTTGTCGATGTCTGACTCACGCAAGAGGTTTTTCTTCACCGCATCGATTGTATGGGCTCCTAAAAACGGCCCACAATCCAAATCTAAGCCTACAAGATACACATGATTAGTTATGGTAATTTAAAATAAAATTCTCATATATAGACGATAATAGAATTAAACTGTAATTAATTAACAACTAAATACCAGCTTTGATGGATTTAGCAGCAGCTTCTTCAGGAGTACCAGTGTAATGTTGTGTGTCGTATAGAACACCAACAGAATCGCAATCGGAGACGATATATCTGTTTGGGAAAAGAAAAGAAAAAAGAGTCAACGGTCAACGATATTTTAAAATCCGTTAGACTTGGAAGTGTTGTTTAGCTGACGTGGCGTGATCTTACCCGTTGAGACCCCATTGGTTGCGTATGGTCTTCTTTAGGAGATTAGGATCGGCACAAGTCGGAACGCCGTTAACTTGATTGTACGAACACATAATGCTCGCGACATTCCCTTCCTTCACGCACATACGGAACGGAACGTCGTACGTATCCTCTATATCTTGCTTGCTCACCTTCAAACACGTGCGAAATTCTCACGTGAGACCCAAAAAAAAAAAACAAAAATGGTTGAAGCGATCGAGAAAGGGAAAAAGAAAAAAAAAAAACCTTAGCGTTGAAATGGAATCTATCGACGCCATTCCAGTTATCGAGATCGTACGCCGTGAAATGTTTGCAACAAGCGGCGACTTTTAACCGGCTACGATCGTTTCCCTGTAAACCTCTGACGTAGCTCGCGGCGTATCTACCGGCTACGACTGGGTCTTCACCGGGAGTTTCCTGTCCACGTCCCCATCGTGGGTCCCGTAATACGTTGACGTTTGGGCTCCAGTAAGTAAGCCCACCAACTCCACCGTTATACATGGCCCTGGCCTCATTTGACACAACCTGCGCATCCTCCACGAAAGCGTAATTTAGTCCAAGTAGTAATTTCATTGATAAAATGCGCTCGGCTAATGTTACACAACTTGCAAGTTGTTACCATGTCATGCAACTTGATGCCTCGTTTTTAGCAAAAAAGCGTACAATAGGTTCAGATTTCATTTCCTCGCTTTTTCAATGTTTATATATATAATAGGATAGTACTCTTATTTTGTTTTTATTATTATCCGAGTAATATATAACTTAATCCACCATTTTAAAATTATATTAGAATCTGATCTTTGTCATAAATTGGATGAGAAAAAACATATCCGAAAGAAGAATAGTTATTTAAAGCAAGTTACTTTAAACACATATTTTCTAAATAAAAAAATATTACTTTGAATAGTGTAGGCTAATAAGAGATTCGTTCCTACGTTTTTTGCATGAACTACCGGACAAATCAAAACACGAGAACTGTCAAGATATCACCTATTATAATAAAGTAAAGTGCAAAAATAACCTAATACTTGGTAACATTTCGAGAAAAGAGAATATTTAGGTACACTGAAAGTTTTCCAAATAAAAAATTGAACCCCGCCTCGCCCAAGTTCAATCTTTCCTTTTAATTTGATTAAGAAAAAAAAGTCGAACCAGATAAATAACATACACAGAGACTATAGACTAGCTGTCCAAATTAATGTGGCCTCTTATGCACTGTAATAACATTAATACTTACGTCATTTTTCACGTTGAAAAAAGATTGAAAAGTGTTTAATAGCTAGATCGGTATTTTTGATTTTAATGGATAAAAGAGGGAGAGAAAAGATCTGACCCGTCCGATTGATTCCCACAAGGAGGCATTGAAGGAAGCAACGGTCGTGATGACTTGAGGGAAACTGGTGGCTGCAGGGTAGACCCCATCGAACTTAGTACCGGGACCCACATTTGAAACGCCGTGTAGCGCCTCCGACCACCACTCGTACCCTTTGATTCCAAGCCGTGGAATCGCCGCCGCAGTGTTTCCTAACAAACCAACTTTCTCGACTAACGTTAGCCGTCCGATCAAATCCTTTACTCTCTCCGGTATCGGAACTGACAGCTGGCAGAATCTAAGCGTCGCTGTTGCAGCGTCTTTTGTATCGCAAGCAAACGTTTCGCGGCTGTGAACGCGGACGCTGCTTATGAAGAAGAAGAGAATAGCGGCCATGAACGCCATTTTGTGGAGAATCATTTCTTTTGGTGGTTTTTTTTCCTCTTCCGAATTTTTATTTGGGGTTTCTTTTTGGAAGAGAGAAAAATGAAAATGTCATGAATGATTGTAAGAGTGAAGCTTGTGTGTTTATTATATAGAGGTGCAATGATGTTATGATAATAGTAGCTCTCTTCATGGTTTTTATTAAGTTACTTTGGAAATATTTAAAATATAAATTGAAAAATCAAACATATCTGTATATGACTATATCTAAAGAATTGGTTTTTATTTATTATTATCATATATATATATATATATATTTTTTTTTTTTTATTAACATTTTTTAAAAAAATGGGGAGAAGACAAGTTGGAGAGATTTGATGAGTGAACTAACCTGCCATTTTGGATATGTAATGGTTAGAAAATATTGGAAGACAGTTGTCATAGTGTGGGTCCCGATTCCTTAGAAATTTATATGTCAAGTTACATAGATTTGATTCTAAATCTACTTTCTTAATCATATAAAAATTTACACTTAATTATGTTTTGATTGTTTTTTTTTTCAGCGCAACAAAGGAAAAATGTTGGTTTATGTCCGAAGCTATCTGTTTTGCAATGCGGTTTCTTTTTTCTCCAATATGTTTCCCACTTGCAGGTAAAGAATGTAACTTGGCTTATACGAGATGTCACCATTCTAAATTCCTAACGATCTTTATTTTCTTCTTTTTGTATATATATACATTTTTTTCTTTCTTTTTTCTTACATGTGGCCGGTGAAGTGGAATTCCACGAATCAATATTCTTATACATATAGATATGCGAATATTGTTATATACGAGTAACCCTTTGTACTATTACATCGTTTGTGTAGACTGGAACAAATTTTTCGGGTGATCAATAATAAGAATGTTAGAGAAACTATAGATCGAATCTTTATTTTCTCTAGTCGAGTGATCATGTTTTAGTCAATATTGTCTGTTTGATTACTCGAATAAGAGTTAATACACAAATTTGAATTCAGCTAATCTAGTTAGGAATCAGCTTAAGATGCATTAGTCCATTTTATTGATCATGCTATATACGTAGATCGTATAAAAAGTCAAAAAAATTCTAAATGTGTCGCAATATGCAAGATCATGGGAATATTCAATTTGAATGATAACATATTTAAAGATGACCAAATTTTTAAGAACGAAATTGTGAACATAGGCAGAAAAAAAAACCGTGAGAATAGGAAAGGATAAATTAAATTTGATTCGAGTGACTAAGAGGTCACGAAGAAGAAGGCAACGTAATAAGTCCTAATTCAAAAAAAAAAAAAAAAAAAAAAGAGTATGGGCTGTTTGTCGGAAACAGACAACAACTTGTGCTCTCGTTACTTCAGTGTCTCTAATCTCACACCCCATTGGTCCATATCTTCGGTGATCGTTAAGCAATAATTTTTTCTTTAACTAAACTATCTCATTGATTATTGCGAGCCTTGGGAAACACCTAATCAAGGAGCTTTAAAAACTAAATCTTTTTTTTTTCGTCAAAGAAAATCCTTTTTTTATGAAACTAACAACAAAGTTACACGATGTACTATAATTTAGCTCTATATTATTTGTTGGCTTAACCTTTAAATGGAAAAAAAAAATGAAAGTAGGCATTGGTCACAAGAAGAAATGAAAGTACAAGCCATTTTTTTTTTAATTTTGGGTTTATGCAGTAAGTGGAATATAAGGGTATCAAGAATTCGAGCCCCGACCGATGTAATGCACAAAGTAGTAACTTTAATTCTAACCCATCTGTTTTGTGTCCCACCAAAAACCATATAGTTACTTGTTTCTTTGTTACTAGTTTCTGATGATCAAAGAATCGTAATCCCGAATAATAATGTTAAGATGTGACTTGTGTTGGTCTTACCACCACCAAACATCACAACAATCTAATCAAATCGCCACCACCCATGCTTTATAATGAAACCAACATCATGAAAGTTTTCAAGTATACCTAAAACTAAAGTTGTGAATAGAGAGAATGGCGGATGAGAAAGTGAGTGTTGATGAAGTTGAGACAAGAGACGTTTATAGAGTTGCGTACGTGATCCATTTCTTGTTGGGTGCTGGTAGTTTAATACCATGGAACGCTTTGATCACAGCCGTTGATTACTTTGGCTACTTGTATCCCGACAAGCATGTAGAAAAAACTTTCACCGTGGCTTACATGAGTTGCTCGGTCCTGGTTCTGATTTTGATGATGACTTGGAACACAAGGTTGAGCTATAGACTGAGGATGAACTTGGGGTTTTCCATGTTCATCATTTCCATGATGGTTTCGCCCACCATAGATTGGGTTTGGAAAGGTGAAAAGAGTGAGAATGTTTCTTACCTCTTGATGGTTGGATCAGTCGTCCTATGTGGTTTAGCTGATGGATTAGTCGGAGGAAGCTTGATCGGTTCAGCCGGAAAACTTCCTAGACAGTACATGCAAGCAATTTTCGCAGGGACTGCCTCTTCAGGTGAACCAATTTCTTCTTTGAAGCATTTTTTTAAAGGTAGTTAATATATAGTCATGTATTAGTATATTGTTAAGGTCACCATTTTTTTTTTACTAATGAAATGTTGTTTGTAAAATGTTTAACCAATTTTAGTTTTTTTAAAAGCTAATATTTTGAGAAGTTTTAAGGATACATATAAAAAGTTAGAAAAGACCATCTCCTTTTTGGTTCACGCCATCATATTCATTACACCGGCCATGATTACTTCGTGCTCCTCATACATTAACACAGGTTCATGATCAAAACAAAAGCCATAAAACGTAAGTCTTATTCGGTGCTTAATTATGAGTTTCTCTCTGTTTTGCTAGGTATTATCATTTCCGTCCTTAGGATTACGACTAAAGCTTCGCTGCCACAGACACCGCAGGGGCTGCGAGCCAGTGCTCACTGCTATTTCATAGTCAGCTCCACTATCTTACTCTGCTGCTTCCTTTGCTGTAACGTGCTCTACAAGTTACCAGTAATGCAACAACATCTTAGGTTTCATCAACCTTTGTATTCGAATCTTACAATATGGATGGTTGGGAGGAAGATCAAGTGGCCAGCTTCGGGTATTCTAATAGTCTATACCGTTACCTTATCGATATTTCCAGGATTTATAGCTGAGAATCTGAAGTCCGAACTTCTCCAGAGTTGGTATCCTATTTTGCTCATCACAGTGTACAACATCTCCGATTTCGTAGGCAAGTCACTCACCGCAGTCTATCTATGGCAGAGTGTAAAATGCGCTACATGGGCTTGTATCGTTAGGCTTCTCTTTTATCCTCTCTTCTCTGCGTGTCTACGTGGACCGAATTGGCTCAGAACAGAAGTGCCAGTGGTTGTTCTGACGTTCATGCTAGGCCTCACCAACGGCTATCTTACTAGTGTCCTCATGATACTGGCTCCCAAAACGGTTCATGCATCAGAAGCAGAACTTGCTGCAGTCTTCATGGTTGTTTTTCTAGGAATAGGTCTTGTTTGCGGCTCGATCCTTGGTTGGGTCTGGCTCATCTGAACTTGTCATTGTATTGTATGCATCAAAAAGTTTATGATAGATAGTAATTAGTTATCCATTCTCTAAGACAATTAAAAAGTGAGAAAGGTGCCGGTTTGAAGAGATGGTCCACTAAAAAAATTGACATGTGAAGTAGTCAATATTAGTGTTCATTACTCGAATCAATAATTTCCCCAACAAACATTTACGGAGTACAATACATGGGTTGAATAACCAAGATGACGTTGTTCATTAATAACTTAAACAATAGTAATTATAAATAATATATGCGCCACTGTGGCACTGTTATAAACTTAATTACAAAATCAATAACATATTATAAGTTCCCTAATAAAGGGGTAACAGGGAATCCAAACCCACTTGCGGCTTATCGAATATCTACCCTCTTTCTACTGGTGGAAGTTTGTTATCAGAGTCTCCGTGTGAAATGTTTTCTACTTTCTTTTTATTTTGTTCAAAACTTTTTATATATAAATTTTTAAGTGTTAATATATTTAATCCATACTTTGTTATCTTATCTTCTTGGATTATAATGTTATAAAATTCACTATAGAATATAAAAAACAACTGGAGAATATATCTCCACCCTCGTAAATTTTTGAACTGAACTGATATTATTAGCATGTTATATCGATAGATGAAATCATAATCATCGACACAAAAAAACCAAAAAAACCTATATACACCAACTAAAACGTGAAATTGAAATTACTTGAATGAGATTATAATACTGAACCAAATGATTTGGATCGAAGAGTTTTGTTTTCTACATGAAACACTCTCGTGATCCTTTTGTACCTATCATGGACCATGATTATTGCAGAAGATTTCATTTACTTGTAATATTTCTTAAAAAAGACAATATTTTGTTTAGAATTCTCCGAGGTTTATACTTTATATGAGTGTGTACACCCATTTCTTTTGAGCAAGACATACCCTGCATATTTTAACATCTTCTGAAATAATAATGTACACTTTTGGCGAAAAAAGGATTGAATATATTATAAACTTAAATAGCAAGATTGATACGAAAAAAGCAACTTAAAATAGAAAGAAAAATATCATAAAATCCATTAATTGATTGATTGTGAATAAAGCAAAGTGTTAGAAAACAAAAGAGGGGCTACGATGTCTTTTTACGTAATAATAATGAAGTTTAGTTGGGTACTAAATGCAAAAAGGAGGCGGCAGTTCTAACGTTAAAACATTATCCACCGCCATCATATTCATATGATGTGACATTAATCAGATAAGATCTTATCACTTCAACGAAGAAAAAGTACTTAAATCACTTCAACGAAGAAAAAATTCAACAAATGTTGTGTCTTGTGAGTACGTGTAAATGGGAATGAACATGTCAAAAATTCGTAGTGAAAAAAACTGAGCCTACTTTTTTGGGAAGTAAGTAAAAAAACAAAAATCATCAAGAATTGACCAGACCAACAAAAAAAAAAACTTTCTGTTTCGTTTTTTGTTAAAGCAAAAGAAAAGATGACACATAATGGGCATTCTTTATCCATATTAAACTTGCATCATCGACTGAGGGATAAGGAATGAAAATGTCATTTGTTTTTGTTTCTTCTACATAAATTGATGTAGAGATTGTTCATGTCAGTGGACCAACGAGAAACAAAATAGATACCATATATAATAAATTAAAGATAATTTTTTTCCATTATATGTTCATATTTCTTTTTCTAAAATAATAAGAAAGCTTTTTAAATATTCAATTTTTCATTGATACCAAACATCAGCTATGGAACAACCAAAAAAGTGTATACACATTTCGTGTGAAACAAAAATACTTTTCATATATATCCTAGAATGATATGGGTTAAATTATAAACTATGTTTTTTATTTATTTACTAATATAGGAATAAAGGATGGAAAATAGATAACGATATACGAATTGAATGCTAGTGAAGAGGCAAAGCCATACAGTGTTGAAAACAAAGCAGAAGAAGCATTTGGTAAATGGTAAGATATCTTCACCGCCATTTGGTAAGATACACTTGTGAGAACATTCTCCCAAAACTCTTTAACTGAAGATTTGAATTAAAAGATTAGAGATTCAATTTTGTTTGCTTGTGAGTTTATCAGATCGGATTGAATCCCTCTAATAAGAAGTCTTTGGAGTCAGATTTTCATCAATTAATTAAAACCAAATGAGATAATTTTTCAGACTGATCCGGTCCGTCCTAAATCCCTAAAATATGATTGCGATTTGCGACTTGAATTGGCTTTTTGATGTCGTATGCAATAAGACTGTGGGCCTGTGGGCCATTAATTTGTGAAAATTAAGCTTTTCGTTTTGTTGATCAGACCGGATTTGAGTCCCTCTAATAAAGGTGGTTCGAGTCAGATTCAACTAAAAAATTAGTAGCAAAAGACCAAAGCAGATCATTTTTCAGATTGATCCAGTCTCTAACACATGATTTTGCGACTTGAATTAGCTTTTTCATATATGGCCCAATAATTCCCACTCTTTTATTTTTCCTGTGTTTTGAATTAAGTTTCCGCATATATATAACCTACAAAATTACACCAACGTAAACCCAGTTTTATGTATTTTAAAATATATATTAAACACACTAGATTGAAAACGACGTCTGTCTTAAAAGATCATACATGAAACTGAGCGAAGGCGAATCTAAATATACTAACAAGTACAAAGGTTTATAAGCAACAAGACAGTAAGGAAATTACGAGAAGCAAAATACTGAAAAACAGGCCAAGCGATTCTATAATCTTTTTTTAACGATAGGTGCCAATCTACTTGATGTATTGAGAGAGCCACTTGAAGCCTTCACCATAACCCATTTTCCTGACGATGCTGCACATGAACACCTCCAATGGTCTCACATTCGAATCAGTTAGATTCACTTTGCCTTTACCAGTTGTGAAATTTGAAAGGCCAAGGTGGAAACGAAGCTCGTCCTCAGATGCAGCGTAAGGTATGTCAATTTTGTTTCCTAGGATAAGGAATGGGACAGTGGCTAGAGACTCGTCCGAGAGGAGTGCGTCCAGCTCCTTCTTCGATTCTGCAAACCTCTCTTTGTCATAAGCATCCACTAGGTAGACCACAGCATCAACCTGTGAAAAAAACCCCTCAAGAAGAATCAAGAAGAAGCCTATGAAAGATTTTAACACACAATGCTGCATTTGAATTGATTTCAAAACAACCCCTTTTGAAGACAGACAATGCTTATCAGCTTAATTATAATGCAAGGATTTGCAGATCAAATGTCTCGTGTTATCCAAAAGAAGGATATTCAAGATGAATCGGTTCTATAAGGCACGATTACGTCAATGAGATAATCACCTTAGCATAGTAATCTTTCCAAACTCTTCGTGCAATCTGATGACCGCCCAAGTCAAATGCCTTGAATTTGATTTTTCCAATGCTAAGTTCTTCGGAAGTTGGATGCTGAGTTGGTTGATGCTGCACCAATCTCTGTATAACAGCTCGAAAAGGCGTATCAACTAAAATCTCAATACTAAGATATATTGACGAACACCAATCAAACAAATTTGATATCAAAGTAACATCCAGAGTTACTGTGATTGAGCCTGAATGCATACAAGTTAACTCTAATTTCCGATTGAGTGAATACAGAAACAAGTAACATAAAAAAAAAAAAAAATTCCAAAATCAAACACTTCTCGGATCTGATTTGACACTCTGATTTCAATTTATATACGGAATTGAACATCTAACAAGCTACGGAGATCGAACAGATCCAGACGAATCATAACGGGAACGAAAGGAGATCAAAAAACGAATTGGATCGATTCAATAGCTGAGAATAGAAGAGGATCGAAGACGGACGCAAAAGAGAGAATCGAACCTCGTCCTTCAACATGTGAAGCAAGGTGGTTTTACCGGCATTGTCGAGACCTAGAAACAAGATCTTGGCCTCCTTCTGCCATAGACCTAGCGAAGCGAGCACGCCGTAGAACCAATCCACCAAGAACATCGCTGCACGATCCACAAAAGTCAATCTGATCGCAACGCGATCGTTGTCACTTCTTCGAATTTAGCTTCCAGGACGAGTAGAGAAAATAAGAGAGAAGAAAGAAAAACCTGTGAGCCAAAAAGGATATTCTGTGGTGGAAGTACCAGAAAAACGGCATGCAGTGTATAGATTCTGAAGGGTATGTGTGTGAAACGGCAAAAAGTGTGGAGATTCCTGAAATAACGAAAACTAGTCAAGGACCACGAAACGGCGTCGTGTAAATCTACTACGCATTTAGAGAGGCTTTTGGATGAGTGGGGAGGGTCCATGGAGAGAAGATATTTGCTTAGCAAGTGGAATGGTCTCTTTCAAATACTATCTCTATTCTTTTGATTTTTCTCTTCAACTCACACGCCATTATACATTACCATCATTTTAATTTCGAATGAAAAAAGTTATGGAATTAGTAAAGAAACAATTTATCAAAATTAAATCCTCGATTTTTTATCTGTTTATATTTGTGATTAACAACCGAGTTGTGGTATCTAAGAGCGGTTGTATGTTAACTTGAAACCAACATTTTTTAATGCTATAGTCTATAAATTAAAATCAGCAATGGAAGAGAATGTCCCGATAGGTCGATACCGAAAATGAGATACTTTCTTGAAAATTTTATTCAAAAGTAGATAAAAAACTTCGCGTGAACTTTTTTTTTTGTAATTGATATATATTTATTGTAAACAACATACAATGTATTTTTTGTCACCAGGGTGATTAAAGGAGAGGATTTTGCCGACCATCAATATTGTTTTTTTTTTTTCTTTCGTGTCTGGTGCTAATGCCCCAACGTAGATAAGATCGAAACTCAAAAGGATAAGCCCAAATGTCTGCGTCCAAGTGTACTCAAAAAGCAGGGAAAAAGCTCAAAAAATCCAATATGTATTTTATATATTCTCTGGTTTACCAAAACATTTAGCCTTTAACATCATCGATGATGGTTAATTAGACGCGCCAAAATCAGATACTCCTATGGTAGTAAAGTTATTCTAGCCTCTCTTTTTTTGGGGTCAATACTATCAAAGTGATTCTAGCTTTGGCCTTAAGTGTGAAAAATAAAATAACATCTAAATGGACAAACAAAATAAATAACTTTAACGAAAGAGTTGTCAATTGAAGCCTTGCATTCTTTATCAATTTCACATAAATTAAAATACACAGCACTTCTTGTAATACTACATATTATCAGACATGTTTCTAAATCCGTTAATTAGGAAAAACATCATTAATTTTGAATTTTTTTTTATAAAAAAAATTGATTCACAAGAAAACAAGAAAAACAACTGAAAATTGAGTAACGTTTTAAAGAAAGAACCCCCAAGAAATACTGAAATAATCAAAATCTCTTAAATAACTAAATATGGGAGCCTATCATTATGAACTTATGAAGTGATCGTGAATCGATTATAATAATTTATTAAATACTCCCCTCGTGCATGTATAGGCTTGTCGCTGTCGTAGTTATGTTAATTAACATTGTGACTAATGACTATATTCTTTGGCATCTTTAAACACGCCAGACGAAAATATGAATAACATTAATTGTCTAAATAGTAAATACATAACAATTATATATATATATATACTCACATAACGTGATTAACAATAGAATATTAAACAAAAGATAGATGACAAAAAATACAGCCTATACTTTGACCTGTGTGATCTCGGAACTGTACAGCCTTTTGTATATCTATTGTTCCAGCTTTTGGAAAACCACATTGTAGTTTTCTTAACCACTTTTTAATTATTTTATAAATTACGTATACTAAGATAATCCGAGATCGAACTGTTCTGTTCCAACTCATCCATCCTTAAATATGAGCTCAATTGTATCTAATTAATTTTAATTCATATGACATGAAAATTCTTTAATTTACAACGTTTAAATTATTCAAAATATTAACTTCAAAAAATGCGTTAGAACTATAACTGAAATATAAAAAATGGTCCTTACCAAAAAAAAAATATATAAAAAATGGTTTATGTACAGTACTAATACATGTGTTATATGAATCCTATATATTACATTGTCAAAATTACATATTATGAGTTGGCGTAGCTTTTCTACTAATTTTTTTCGTAAACAAGTCTTTATAGTTGTCGGAAACCAAAAATAGCTTATACAAGTACTTAGGATTACTTTACAGTCAAAGCTCAAAGTTACAACTATAGTATTATCTGAACAGGCAAAACAAATTACAGCAAAAACCCTGCGGTCAAAGCTTACATTATTGGAAAATTGTTATTACAAATTACAAGATTAGTAAAATGATTATTACATTAGGACTGGAGGACCATCAACAAAGAATATTATTTTATCCAAATAAACAGGCAACTGAAAGGGTAAAACTGTAAATCCAACACGGCTCTTTACAAACACCTTTTAAGTTGGCAGCTCCCTCTCTCTCCTCTCTCTCTCTTTTATGTTCTTCAGAGAAAACCAAAAGAAAAAACAGAGTAAAACTCTTGAAAAGCAGAGCTTCTAGAGCGCTTTTTTTTTTTCCGCTAAATTCAAACGCAGAGACGAACGATCGGAGTGATGGGAGATGTAATATTATTAATCGAAGATACCGATTTGAAATCGAGTTTCTCTCGCTGCAGAATCTGTCATGAAGAAGAAGAAGAAGCCGAGAGCTACTTTGAAGCTCCTTGTTCTTGCTCAGGAACCGTCAAGGTATCGAAATCGTGATTTTAATCTTGGAATCAGCTTTGCTTCTATTGGATTTTTTTTTTATATATAAAACTCTTGTTAAATTTGAATTTCCGAATTTAATTAATTTGATTTCGTTGGATCAGTTCGCTCACAGAGATTGCATACAACGGTGGTGCGATGAGAAAGGAAACACGATATGTGAAATTTGTCTCCAGGTTTGTGTTTCTCGTCCAATTTTCGAATTAGACATTAAAATTCAAGTTTTGTTCAATATCACTGTGATGTTTAAAATATGATAAATTTTTGGTTATTCATCTCTTGCCAAAACTTTGAATTGCCGAATGCATTTGAACTTTACCTCATCGTTTGGTTCTTACTTTCTTCGAAGTTTTATCCTTATTTTCTTCAGAAAGAAAAAACGATACGTGTTTCGAAAACATTCTCCTTCGTGTCCCATAATCTTTGGCATAATTAGAAAAAAAAAGAAAAATATTCGATTCTCGTGAATAATCGTAATCAATGAGCCAATGCCATCCTGTTAATGATATCATAACATTCGAGTTTATTTATTTATTTTAAAATACTAATTCGATGAATTACAATCGGTTAGGAACGAAAATAACTGGATCCATCGTTTAATGGGACCCATCAAAACTTGGAGGACGTACTTTTCTATTTCTGGCTGGATAACTACAGATTTTTCAAATTAAAAAAAAAAAATTGTAATGAGAAAATGCATTCCGGCTTTCAGTTCGGTTTCAAATTTGTTCGTTTTCAGTGTTTTCGGCTCAGTAAATACTTCTGTTTAGTTCAGGTTTAAACAGATTCAAAGAAATTGAAGTTTAATTCAGTCATTCAGTGTTTTTAATTCGGTACATTACCGGTTTAACATATTGTGTACCTTACGATTCAATTAATGCAGTCAGAAATAACGTTATAAATCTATCACGTTGCAGGAGTACAAACCTGGATATACCACAACTTTAAAACCATCTCGATTGATTGAAGCAGCAGTCACAATCAGGTAACTATTTTTTTTTTTTTTTTAAAAAGAAGAGAGAAAAAAAAAAACAGAGTACGTTTAGGTTAATCTTCGTAGATTATTATTAGATATAGATTTGAGAAATGAAATTGTTTAAACATAGTCCCTTTATTGATTTTTTTCCCCCATTTATTTAAATCCTTCATAGCGTGACATGTTCTTTTATTATTCTGACTCAAAAATATAACAACCATGATGATCCAATACGATTCTTTTTCATAAAAAAAAATAAATGAGCAGAGATAATTTACGTACAGCGAGGAGAGAAAATGGAGGAAGAAGAAATAGTAGAAGATTAGTGGAAAGAGCTGAATCAGATTATCCAGACTGCAACTCTCGTGGTGATAGAAGCGCCTCTTGTTGTAGATACTTGGCTCTCATTGTAAGTAGTATTACTAAATCCCCTGTTTATTTTTGGTTTTCACGTAATTTAATTATTGTTTCGCATGAGCTTAGTAAGTAGTTAAATGATATATGAATATTGAAGAAATTAGTTAAAACTTAATGATGGAGAGGATACGAATATCCTTTGGTTTAGTGAGGTCCAAATCAGAAATGGGAACCACGACTAATTGACTAAACATGACATGTAAGGTTTGCATGATTGGTAACCACACAAAAATACCTACTTCGTTTATCAATCGTCTGTCTTTACGTAATTTTAAACAGAAGTAACATCAGACTGAATTTATTTTTCAATTAATGTAATGATGTCTTATTTTTCTTAAAATTCCATCAGTACACTGAGATTATTATTGAAATAAGAAAAAAGAATTAAAATTGAGGTTCTCACTCTCACCTAACAGAACAAAAGGTTTCTTCTTCTGGAACCCATAGAATGTCTGTTATGGTTCACAGTTGTTAGTGCTCACATTGTCCCATGATGTAATGTCGTTTCATAGCTTTAACCCTTATTTGTGATAGTCATATATACCCAAATCGAACCAAACCAATTTTATTTCATCTAAATATCGTATCATCACATATCCATATTCTTATGGTTTATCTTTTACGGCGTGGACCTTTTTTTAATAATATTATTATTTTCGCAGTTCTCGGTGGTTTTGTTGATAAAGCATGCCTTTGATGTGGTTTACGGAACCGACGAGTATCCCTTCACGATTTTCACGGTAAAATGCTATTATTATTTCTATAATTTTAACTACGATTCTAGAGATAAGAAATGATTTAGTCTTGTATGTTCTTAAAACTGAAATCGGTTGGGGAAAATAATGGCAGGTATTAACATTGAAGGCCATTGGTATACTATTGCCAATGCTTGTTATCATTCGGACCATCGCAGCTATTCAGAGCAGTATCCGACATCAATTTCTCGTAAGCCCCCAAAACATTTTCCACTTCTTATTAGTAGTATCCTAAAATATTTGGGTTGTAAAATATGAATTTTAATAAACAATGTTTGTTACCTATATTACTACTTGTAAAAATATTTTTTTCTTAAAACCACACACTTCAAAGTATTTTTTATCTTTTACATGAAAGGTTTATGAAATAATTTTTCGAAAAATTATTTCACGGTTTTTATTCTATTTTTTACGTTAAATAATTCATATACATACATACCTATATATATATATGTATAAATTAAAATATATGAAATATGATATGACGTTGTTTTGAGTGGCAGTTCAATGTCGATATGTATGTTGACTTTTTACCCTATGATATGTATGTTGACTTTTATTGCTGGTAATTCGGAATTTTGGATAGGAATCTGAAGAAGATACGTGGAGCTCTGGAGAAGAAGATGATGGCTCGGAGGAGGAAGAGCAACAGCAACATTTGGCTTGATTTTTGTTTTTCTTTCTTCAAAACTTGTTGACTTATTGTACATATTACAAACTACATATAACTGTAACTAATCGGAGGGATGTATTTCGTCATGCAAATATTATTTTGTTTTTTGGTCTGATAAATAAAAGGGACAGATTGATAATTGTTGGTTTAATAGCACAAAATAGCATAATAACCTTAAAAGCTAGCGACATCGCTTTTCATCAGATTCTGATGGACCGATGTTCTTAGAGAACTTTTTAGAGCCACCACTCTTTTTACGTTTATCACTCTTTCTAGGTTCAGCACTACGAGCCCAATCCGAATGTCCTGGTCCATAGCCATAGTCGAAGAAAAGCTCCTCACCTTCTTCGATAGCTTTAGCCGCAAATAGTCCAATCCTATGATCTCCTCTCACGATCATCAACTACACACAAAATTAGCCATAAATTTCACTTGATCACTAATTAGTTTGAGTTTATTGGAATTTTTTGAGGACATATATGATTGTGTATTAATAGAACCAATCAGCCAGTAAATTGATACATGGTTTTATTTACTCAGTTAATCACATATTGACATCAGTAATTTTTGCTTAGAATCAATGTTTTAAGGTCAATATATGGCTGAGATAAAAAGTACAAATACTTGGTACGTACCTTGGCGTAGCAATTAGGTGTTGCTGAGTGATTGAGAAATCTAAACTTGTTTCCTTTACGGCGAGCATCAATGACGAACTGTAAAATATTACTTTAGTGAGAACAAATTCGTAGCTCACGAATGATAATGAACATGTACGTACGTATATATGTACCTGATCATTCAGGGTAAAGAGGTAGGAATAACCAAGCTTAAAATCTCCTTTTCCACGTTCATTTGCTTCATCATGAGAGATCAATTCCCCAGTATATTCTCCCAGAAACTCATTTTTTTTAAGAGAGTGCTGATGGATATTTAAACTAGATTACATCATTATAATGATCAAAAGAGAAAAGAGTTTATGCATGCATCCCTCCTATTTAAACAAAAGAAGAAGAAGAAGATATCTTCACATATATTTGATTGCTTACCGGTGTAAATGCACCCCATCCATGAACATCAGACTCTGCCAGAAGAATCTAGTGAATAAGAACAAAAAAAATGAAAAAGTTTTCATACAAGATCCCGCGGTTTTTTAAAAAAAATCCTTGATGATTTGACGTCGATAGTTACCTTCTTATTTTCTTTAATGAGGAATTTCATGTTCTTGCATTGGCTCGTCTGTAATTTCTCACCAAGAGAGCCATCTCCACAGCTATATATATATATATATAAAAAATGTCCTTATAATTTTTTTTTTCAATGAATTTTAATCATCGATTTTTTTTTTAATTGAAATGAAAATGTTACCTAAGACAACAACTCCGACAAATATCTGGATCGCATTCACGAGAAACCGCAAAGCAAGGACATTGTCGGTTTATGCATTGACCCTTTGCACAGTTACATCCTCCAAAACGATTGTTGCAAATCTTTGGACACCTGAATAAAAAAAAAAACTTATGATTTATAAAGACCCTAGCCTAATCATTTGTGATACTGTGATCGCTACGTCTCTATTATCACTATTTTTTTTTCCAGCAAATTAATCGTGACATGAATCAACTGGTTCAAAAATAGTCCAAATTATTAATGACATACCCGCAATATTTCTCGCAGCAATTACCAATAGTTAAACAAGGGCATTGATCTCCACATAATGGCTCGCAAGTGCAGGGTGTGTACTGCTTATACGTCTCATTTGTTAATCCCTTTTTAAAAGCAGGCGGATTACAAGCATACTTTTGGAGTCTTGCCTTTCTCCGGACCAACCTTGCTTTTTTCCGAGATACTTCTTTATTAAACTGTAATGAAAATCATCAATATATACGATTCTCAAATAATTTCATTTTAACTGAAATGTCACGAGGATCGCATATTTTAATTACCCGATTGTCTGTTTCGTTACGTTCTAGTAACATAGTACATGGATCTTGCTCACGCATGTAATTGTAAACCTCTAAACACGTCTTAAACTCATCAAGTAGGTTTTTCCTAATAAGACAACTGCGGCAAAAGCATGGACAGTGAACACATTCAAGCTTTGCAAGTATTTTATTAGTTTTTTTTATACAGCAAGTTGTAAGTATTAAAAAATATCATTTGTAGAAAAAATATATTGGAAGTTAGTTAACACAAGATAGGAACATCATTTGTGTAGGAAAATTATTGCAACTACCATCACGGTTCTTTTTATATATCAAATCTACCATATCATTTAATTTAGAGTGAATTCTCATTTTTTTTACCTTTTTAGATTTTTTATATAATACCATGAATCCATTTTTAATTTTACCTGTTTCTCCCAAAGATTTCAACTCCTTTTAAGTATAGATCCTTCTCCACAGGCGTCCACTCATGATATGCAATGGACATCTCTGAAATGTCTTTGATTAGTTCATTAGTATCAGTCAATACACACTTTTCAGTTTCTGTGTTTGTATCTGAGACCACATCCTTTCCTTTCATGTTTGATATAGAGTTATCATTATCCGCCACATGATCATCCTCTGTGTCACTCCTTGGCTATTAAATCAGTAATAGACATAATTAAGAAATCAACAAATATTAACTTAGAGAGAGAGAGAGAGAGAGAGAGAGAGAGAGAGATGGAGAGAGAGAGAGAGAGAGACCTTGAGGTAACAATGCTCACTGCATTGTTTTGTAACATCTTCAATATTCTCGATCAAATTATATTTTTCTCTCTGACAAGCCAAGTCATCTAATTAGGTTAATCACTTAAGCTTACAAGGCTTCTTCCACAAAAATATATATTAAATAAATAATTTAACGCTTACAGTTTTCATCACAGGCTGATATTCTTCATGCAAATGACAGTCATATATCTGCAAGAAACAAATAAAATGATAATAAAAATCATGTATGATATATTATGTGACAAAAAAAGAGAAATGCAAAAAGTTACCAAGCAACGACGGCAAAAAAGCCTATTAGTAGTCTCCGTAAAACAAGTAACTATGCTCTTATCAAAAACTTCCACAATATTTTCTTCCTTCTTAAGCTTGTTCAGTTCATTGTATCTCTCCTACATTAGATTTGACATTATAAAATTAATTTCTCACGAGGAAGAATTAAAAAAAAAAAGAGGAAGATTATTGATGGATCGATCCATATATTTAGATTCGATTCCATTATTACCAAAATATCTGAAACATCTAATTCGAGGAACTTGGAGAGAGCACTCTGCACCACCAGATCATCCAAACTATGTTCCTGCCCAATCTTCCTACAAAATTCTTGACCATGTTAGTAATAACGTTTAATTATGAACCTATTGTAAGAAAAAAAAAAGTTAAGGTCCCAATTCATAAATCAAAAGTTGTATACGAATGGACTACTTGTATGGATATATAAATGGTCACTTAATCATCAAGAACATGTATAACGGGAGGAAAAAAAAGCTAACCATATAAGCCGATCTACATCTTCTGAAAATTCGAGTTTTTCGTTCTCGGTTTCTTCTTCATCTTCTTCATTTGTTTCGTTGTCGCTCTTCAATTCTACTGCCTCACCATCCACATAGTGGATTTGTTTCTTACCAATCACAGAATCACTTTCAGCCATTAGCTGATTACTGCAACGTTAACGAAAAACAACATATATAAGAGTGATGTATATTGTATATGATTGATTGTTGAGATTATGAAATAAAAACAAACTTGCCTATCCACGAAAGCCCAGGTAATGGATCGAGGTAGCTGCCTAACAAATGGAAAATTGACACTTGGTAATTCAACAGGAACATCTGCTTCGTGAGAATCATAAGAGAAGCCATCGAAATGATGGAGTGGTGTTTTTATTCTCGAAGAAAGCATATTGTTGTCTCTTCCATTATTACCCTCTCTATTGCACCGAGTCAAGGCAAGCAATTGATGCTGTAAAGCATGAGTAGCCACACTCGGTTTGCATATGAAATCGAATTTTTCCTGTTAATCAAAATCAGGTACGTAAATTATTTTGAAATTTTTTTTCGCCAAATTGGATATGAAACGTTCATTTGGTTTTATCAGTTATCCAACTTATATATACATCCATGCACTCCAAAATAACAATAATCTTTTTGTACATGTAAATTTATATTTCTTAAACAATTGGGTATATTTTCTTACAAAAGATTTCAAGCTCCGTATATATGGGTTAATGCTTCATAATATTTCAAAACAACTGGACATTTTTTTTTGTTTATAGTCTCACAAAACAACATTGGTTGAGCCATGGTAATGTTGTCTTATCAATTTTGGCCAGACCTTACAAATATATATATATATTACTATATACTATATTGTATAAGAAATTTGCTTATATTTGTTTGTAAAGGTTAATTTCAAAAATTTAAGTACTTTTTATTTTTAAATTTAATTTTACTAATTTTACTTTTTTACTTTTTTTAGATATCCAAAACTAAACTTGGATCCGAATATATTTAGGATTCAACAAAGACACGGTTATAGATTCACGCTTTTTTTTCTTTCTAAATATTTATTTTCTATTAAAGGTTTAAAATATTTTTATTTTATTTTAAAGACTCTGAGAAGATAGAAATATTATTTGTCAGATTATCTAATCATCTATTAACAAATACGTAGAGTTACCATACTCTTAACTAGCTAGTATTTGATTAAAAGTATAGTAGCAAACAAAAAAAAAACATACAAATACAAATAACCTAAAGATTCTTACATTAATATGCAGAAATCTTTCTCTTTCGATTTGCTCTTTGACCTGATTCAATTCGGGGGGCAAAGCCTCACCATCTTCAGGATATTCCTGAATAAAATCAACAAAAAGAAGGAAATAACTTGAAGTTATGCAAAGAAAAGAGAAGCAGAATAATTTATAGACCACAGCCCACAGAAAATTGACAAAAGCTCTATTGGTTCTCGTTTCTGAACAGTTTTATAGATAATGGGACGAATAACATAAATCTCTCAGAATAAAAATCCAACATATTTAGCTGGACCTATCATCATAATAAGCAATCAAAATATATATATTCTTTTAAGAACTAGTATATAATGATAACGCAGGTAAAAGGAGTGTAACAAGCATGTAACTAGTGAAGGTACCTTCTCCATTATCCCCCTCGCTTCTTATTTTCAAGTGCTTGTGATGTTCTTGGAAGCGAATGCATGTGGTTTAAATAAGAGGTAAAGTGAAATCTTTTGATGCAAGGTTTTCAACAAGGAAAATTATGATCTGGAAGACACCTATATGGAACTGGATGGTTTAAAAGGAAAATAATATGGAAATAAAAGGAATTTTTTATTTGATATATAATACTTAATATGTATGTGCATGGTTGTTGGGTTGGCAAAAGAGAAGATAATAATAAAAGTGAAGCATGATATCGCGAAGGATATCTTGATTTTTTTTAGATGGTTTCAGAGTTATTTGATCAGCTTTTGGATTCGCTTGACTTTTGAAGATGATACTAGTTTTTCTGTCATTGAAAACGAACGAACTAAAAACTCGCGATGCTATGCTATCGAAGTGAAGCTTTTGAAAACACTTTCCATAAAGAAGAAATTATTATTATATTAATTTTAACGTTTAAAACGTAAATTAAAAACGTAACTGTGATAAATAATTTTGAGCCAAAGTCTATATATCCCCTCAACTCAAGGAGTTTTAATAATGTACATGTCTCAACTGGATTCGATTATATTGATCTATAGAACTACTCCAGATTACTTATTTCAGTATTGATGTCTCATAAAAAAAAACAATTATTTTTCGTAACACTAATCGAATATTCACGTGTTGAAAAAAGTGATTATGTGATATATAATGGACGCGTTGTAAATTTAACAAGAACAAAAACGTTTCAGCTGAATGATATTCCACTCTTTTCTAACATAGTAGTTAAGTCCACCACAAATATATATATTATATTAAAAAAAAAAAAACTGAATGAATTTTTCTTAAAATTTCAAATCTTTTACACATGATCATCATCAACAACTACAACACAATGTTCAGATCCTTTTCTTGACTTCATAGTGGTCAAAATGAACATATTCACAAAATACGTAAACCCTTTGATGATCTTCACAATACCAATCACAACACAGGTGTAATACATACACCAATTCACAAAATCAAAACTTTCTAAACGGATCAGAAGGTTACGCTTAACCTCTGCAATAACCACCAAACTTTCTACCTCATCTCTTAGCCTCCACCACCACATTAGACCAAAAGTCACTGCGACGACGGCTCTCTCCGACCACCTCTCCTCTACATAAACCCCGAAAACAGTGTCGTCTACCACCGGCTTAACGACGACTCTAAACCACATAAGCATCACTTCGTGCAGGCCCAAAAAGAACATAACCCTAACCAAGACCCACCTTTCTTGTGACGCAAGAGAAAAGCCTTTGTCTGGATTTGTAGACATGGTCGTGCTCATGCTTCCTTCGATTCCAAATGCGACACAAGCTTGGACGATGAAGAGAACGATCCAGCAGATGTGAAGATGTGAATGAAAGACAGAGCATTCTGGTTTTCCGGAGAGATGGTGGATCAAAGTGGAGACGATGATGAGAGACAATATTGTGTATAAGACTCCGACATCGGCTTGGTGAAAAAAGGAGAATAAGCCGGAGACGGTGACCGGAGCTGAGGAGGAGGAAAGAGAGAGGCGTGAAAGGAAGAGGAAAGAGAGAGGGACGAGGAGGCTAAGAAGACTAATGGAGATCATTTGAAATGGTCGAACCAGTGACCAGCTGCTTCTTGCGTTCTTCTGTGCTTCTTCATCCTCCATCTTAATCGCAAAGATTGAAACACTGAGAAGAAAATGAGAAGACACTGTCGCTTGGATGAGAAGAAACAGAGGATGTAAGATAGATATATAAAAATCTTTTACAAAGTGTGTTTGGCAACCACGTTTATGGTCGTTTAGTTACAAAAGGTTCCTTTTCTATTTACTATTTTAAATCTATTATTTAAAAATGTCCAGGTTTTTTCTTACGAAGAAAACCCACAAATTTTCATATATGTTCATGGATGAACTCAGCCGGCCGATGGATACTCTTCGTGTTTCGTTTTAATTTTTTTTTACAAATAATAATAATAATGAAAATAATTTTAATACTTAGAAAATGCGTATTAAAACGCAGCGATTACTACAAGTTGGTAACATTTATATTGAAAATAATGTGCCAATGGACTTTGACCAATATGCATCCGACGGAGCCAACATATCTTAGTGTTCGTCCATTACATGGATAAAGGTCCTTTATATCTCTGATTGTTTTTAATTAGATCGTAAATACGTGTGTATACAATATTATATATAGATTAAAAGTTTCCTGACTTTTTTTTTGTTAAAGAGAAGATACATTCAAGGTCTTTGAGTTACAGGTAAAAACTCAATAGAAAAGTTAGTTATAAATCCTCGTCTTAAAAATTGACAAACTCAGGATTAAGACTAGTGGAGTTGTTACTTTCAGTTTCGAAACAAAAGTCAGGTAGAATCTTCTATCCATTACCATCTAAAAATATATATATATATATATATATCAAACACGGTGAGAAAACACACACAAAATAGGCTATGAAACCACAATGTTGTTTTCACAATTTAAACAACCACCAATTGAAGCCCAACAAATTATAAAGTATGAAACCAATGTTGAAACAAAGAAATTAAAATGGGCTAAGAATTCAATTTTCAAGATGTATCAAAACATTGCTTAAAGGTCAATGTTATTAATCAAACAGCAGAGCTAGAAACTTTACTTTGTTCTTCATGTATATGTATCAGCTACTGATTTTGATCCCAAACAAATCTGATTTTCCTTCTACAATAAAAGTACATTTCATGGAAAATTTCAGATCATAAAAGGCCCAAGAAAGGGTGCTAAGCTGAACCATTACCTTCAGGCGATTAAGCTGCTGCAAGTGGCTGGAGGGCTTTAAGAGGGTTCATGATGACACCGTCGATGAGTCCATAATCTTTCGCTTCTTTGGCACTCATGAAGAAATCACGGTCTGTGTCCTGGTTTATCTTTTCTAGGCTTTGACCAGTGTGGTACGCGAGGTAACCGTTTAGGTTTGCCTTGTGATGCAGCATTTCATTTGCCTGGTTTCAGACCATGAACTTACCCGGTTAGTTTCAATAATGTTTTGATATTCAACACAATCTAGTCTCTTCAAAAAATTAAGACAAAAGGCTGGAATGAATTCGAAACAAGAAGGCGTGAATGAATAACCTGAATGTCTATGTCGGTCTGGCCACCTTGAGCTCCACCAAGCGGCTGATGGATCATTATCCTTGAGTTTGGTAGACTGTATCTTTTTCCTACAGTTGTATAATTAAAGCTAAGCTCTCATCGGGAAATGTAAATGGAATAGACTTAACTAAAGACTTTACTTATGAATGATGATATTAAGAGGCTACCTTTGGTTCCAGCACTAAGCAGAAAAGCTCCCATACTGTTCATACAAAAAAACAACACAGAAGAAAGCAGGGTATTACAATCCATACAAACCCACATTACTCACACATTAAAAAAAAAACGATGAGAGCTAAAGAATGGTGAAAATTTCACCTAGCAGCTAGACCGACACAAACAGTGGACACATCAGGTCGGATGTGCCTCATAGTATCGAAGATAGCCATGCCTATGGAAAGTGAGAGATACAAGAGTAATTAACAATGAAAACCGAAAACAAAGATGACAGATAGGAGAAAATTTAACTGATCATAGGGAAACAAGTAAGCTAACAAAGTGTAATTACCAGCTGTAACTGATCCACCAGGAGAATTCACATACATGACAATATCCTGTTCAACATAAGCACTATCAGAATCCTAATCAAAACATCTGAATCAAGAAGCAAGACATGGATTCCACAATATCTGACCTTAGTAGGATCAACAGCATCGAGGTAAAGAAGCTGAGCTACAATTATGTTTGCCATATCATCATCCACAGCACCACCACAGCGAATAATCCTCTAATGAGCAAAATAAAACGAAACCAATCCATGAACAACAAAGACTGAGGTGGAAAATTAGATAATCATTCAATAAAGAGATTTCGTCGATTTTACATATTGGAAGAGCTGGCTTATGATACTCTGGAAACGCTCTTGCACCATAGGAGGCGGTCCTTGTCCTTGAGCATACGCAGGAAAATACGGCGACGAAGGAACTTGCAAATCATCTCTGCACAGTAGCATACATACTTGTTAGATTAAACCATCAAAAAGAGTTGAGAATCACAGTTCAAGAAAATCGTCAAATTCAAGTTTCACCTTATGGACCAAACTCCCTGAGGAGAGGGAATCTCCGGCGTCCAGAGATTTCCGGAATATACAGCCTTCGGAGATGAGTTCTTCCAATTCTTTCTGTCGCTAACTAACTTCTTCGTCTTCCTGCAAACCAGTCTCTTAAATCCCTAAATTAACCTAAGAATTCCGTGATTTCGAGGGAAAACGCAGTGACGAACAATTGAAAATGCATCTACCTTGAACGGAGGGGCTCGAAAGGGAGAGAAAGCTTCGGAGAATCGAAAGAGGAGCCATTGGGACTCGCGGAGACGAATCCAGCTGTAAACCTGAGAGAAGAAGCCGATGTGGAGACGCACGCATGAGCCATTTCTTGTTCAATTTGGGACGAATGAAATCCCTAGTTCCGTCACCGGCGAGGAACTTCCGGCTCTTATCCTTCCGAAATTTGGGGATTTTTTCTTTCTTTCTGGGAAGTGTAAAATGGTGGTGACTAAACTCAACTACAGGCTCTAATCGATATCTGTTTTGGTACGGGTCGGGTTTTAACCCGTTAATTTATAATGGGCCGGGTCAATTTTCAGGTCCGATAGTATTACACGCAAACGCATATTGTTTCTTTTAAGCTTCGGTACTTACAAACGCGGTTGTCACGTTCACGAGGAAACTCTAGAAACTAGCCGTAAAATTAAAATTAAATGCACTAATAGCTGCCCACATGTGAACTATACCATTTCTCAGTAAAATCAATTTCAGTGAAATTTTTGTTATCTAATTTCAGAAGAGCTTCACTGCTTCAGTTAACTATTGGTATGAGTAGTTAAAATAAAACTCGGGAAAAAGTCAAATTAATCATAGTAGCAACGCTGCCATTATGTGCTTGTCTTCCATGATTGTATAAAGCTTATTTTTAATCTAGTTTAGCACAAAAAAAGCTTATTTTTAATCTAGTTTAGCAAAAAAAAAAGCTTATTTTTAATCTCTTGCTAATGGATCTTCACACTTGTATATTGATATTCGTTGCTTTCTCTGAACTTGAAGTCCAGAAGTGTTTAGAACTAGATGGGCCTAATTTGCGTTAAGACACAAACCCATTTATGCAGCCTAATATGAAACATAATCTTCTGAGACGTTTCAGGCCTTTAAAGTAATGCAAATATACACAGAGAAATTGTACCCAATTTTCTCTCGTTTCCTCTGTTTATTACATGCATGTAGTTTGTTGTATTATCCGTACGTAGTCTTATTAAAAAAAAAAAATTTCATTGCTGCACTGAGCCACTGATCTTGATATCAGAGAGTTTCTGCACACTTAAATAACTTTCTTAATTTTTTTTATTATTCACTATACTAAACCTTTTTATAAAAAAAAAATGTAGATAATCAGTTGATTTATGTTTTGTAATGATCGTAAAAGTTTCTCCTTTTTTTTGGTAAAAAAGTTTCTACTTTTTTTACTAGAATTTGTAAATGTTGCGTACTATGATTGCAAACATTTTTTGAAAAAGGTAAAAACATTAAACATAACATTAAACATAACATTAAACAATTTTTTTGCTACAGTTTCTGCTTTTTTAAACTAAGCTAAACAAATAATCATTAACTGACTAGATCTAAATAATCATCAAAGTAGGTTTGGTTCATACGGTGGTTGAAGCGGTGGTGGTGGTGGTGGTCATCGAGCGCTTCTTGACTAGGTCTATAATTGCAATGGTAGCAGGATCTTCTGAATTAATAGCCATCAAGATTAATGCACGTGCTGGATAGTTATCATTACCGTTCTTGAGTGCTTCAATAACAGCCTCCAAATCTGGGTTTTTTTTTGTTCATTCACGGGGCCATAACATCGAGTTATAATAGCATCCAATAACGCAATAAAAACACCAAAACAAGCGACCCCCATGAACACCATACTTATCTGCTTAAACATGGAGTAGAACAAAGCATACAGAGCTGTGTGCAAACACACCAAGGAAACTTCATCAAAAATCCTTACTCCTTTGTGTTTGGGCCTTACTGCAGCATCAATGCAAGAGAAAGTGGTGAAAATGATGCCGGCCCACCCAACACATCTTCGAGCCACCAAATGGTCGTGGGAAGAGATGTAATCCTTGGGATCTAAGTTGAAGTACAACATTAACACGGCGAGGAGACGGAAAACCAAGTCTTTTAACAATGTGGACGTCATTGCGTACTGAGATGTCGTGTATGATCCAAGCAAAATGGTTAAACCAAAGTTAGCCATCTTTTTTTTGAAAGTGAAAAACAAAAAACAAATACTCAAGAGTTCTGTATTTTGAGAAAGAGCTAAACGCAAAAGATACGTTGTTTTACAATGTCGAGTAGAGTGAACCTTATTTATACAATCTCCAAAACCCTATTGGTGCTTTCACAGATGACAGATGTCACAATCAGACGCTAGCAATATATCATCAAGGGTCGAGAATATGAGACAGCTTGATCTTGTCAGCTGCGACCGTACTCATCTTTAAACCTCCATAGTTGTGTTGTTTGTTGAGACGTTGTTTTTGTCGTCGAGTGACTTTGCCTTTAGAGCCGAATTGCACAGGTTGGCTTCGCCTACAGAATTTGTTTGGGCTTTTCCACGCTGGCCCAAAGGTGATATCCCTTTTGTCAGTCCACTGTCGTTTTGTTTAGTTCCTTTGATCACGACAGACAAAACCTCTGTTTCAACTGGTATCTTCAAATCTGTGTTTTGTGGCTCACTAAAAGCGAAGGGTACTGTGAGAAAGGGAGTGAAGCAATATTCTTTTATGTAGGACTGGTTTGGCCAGCTGGGTATAACAGCGTTGTTTTTCTCTCTCCTTTTTTTTACTGACCTTCACAGGAAAAGGAGTGGCGCCTGTTTTATTGGGCTTTGTTCAAATAAAATATTTTGAAACTATTTGTTGGCACTTTTTAATTTTCTCGCCTCCCATTGTTTTCACTATTTGATGAAACGGAGAAAACATGTCAAGCCAGCATTTCTTTTCTTTCTCGTTATTTGTTTTTTTTTGTTCTTTGTCTTCTAATTCTGAAGCTACATTTGTTGTTTCAGAAAATAAAGGTAAATCAATGAAGTTTTCTTTATTTGATTTCTCACTTACTAATTGCAATGGACTCACTTAGTATTTATACTTTTATTTTGATAAATAGTATTTATACATAAATAGCGTAAATCCTGAAGGAGATAATGCTGACACATGTCAGTCTTGGGTCACTCACACAATTGTGTAAGCGCATCAAATTTGCGATACATTTTGATTTGTCCATTGTACGATGATCACAGCTCATCCTTTTTTTTTTATCACAGCTCATCTTCTTTTGTCTCGTTCTGCAGATCCTCTGCTTTTGGCACAGAGTGAATGTGACCGTTGTTGGTTTCTAGAGCAACATTTGTTGTTTTGGTTGTACAAGCAAACTCATTTTCTCTCGCTTTTATTCAACTTATGTTTTAACCGATTGAAAATGAAAACTTTCAAATTGTGTCAGGCCTACCAATACTACTTTGAATTGATAAACATATTTATGGAAACGAAATCAGGATACCTTTTTTTCTTTTGCTGTCACATTGTCTTTATAATGTATGTTTAGCATCTTTAAAATAAAATATACATTAGTACCATTTAATAAGAATTGCGAACATTTTTGTTCAGTTGGATTCGAACTAGTTTCAACATTTTTATTGAACAACGGTATGAAAATTACGTTACTTGTTTTGGACCATGTGTTTGTGTTAGGTTTAGCGGCTGTATTATAAGCCCATCTAATCATGAACAATTCCGAATTCATATTGTGGCATATTTTCAATTGTGTATTAAAGGTTATATATTTTGTTTTTCATTTCAAAGTAAAATTATTATGCGAACTATATCCGGTATTCCGGTATGAGTTTTATTGTTATTGCAAAAATATTTTGAATATAAAAAAGACAAAAAAATGTATATTCAAAGGTAGCATGCTTAGAATTCTGTTTAAATCTCAGGGAGCAAAAACTAAACTAATAAATATACAAAACTTGTTATTTCTAGTTAATGATGAATAGAGTAAAGCAAATATTTTAAAAACCATAAGAAAGAGGGTATACCGAATAAAATAGCAGCGATGGGGGAAATAGAAAGGAGGAAGAGAATGAGTATAACAACGCCAATGATATGAGCAACACCCATAACGCCGCCTTCGAAGGAACGTTCGGGGACTTTTTTGAACATGTAGACCCATGTAGCCACACCAATAATGCTCGTTAGGCAGTACAACGCCACAAAATACTCGATCATATGATATCGATTTGAAATTATGAGAATCTTGTAATGTTTTATATACAAGAAGGCTGCAACATTCAAGCCTATCAAGAGCACGTTCATGATAATGTCGTATATTAAGTATTCGTTTTGCCTGCATATCACATCTCGAATGTTATATGAATATTATTTAATTTCTCATTTACAAAAAAAAAAAAAAAATCAGAGTGAAGAAAACTCGTTGATGGTACTCACCACCATGGACGCCGCCGGTTCGGAGATTCATCGACGGTAGCTGGATTCATGGCTTCGTTTCTTGGTAATATTAATTAACCCTAACTAGGATTTTAAAATTTTGCTTTCGATGTTGAACAATGAAAATAATTTCCTCTTTATATTATATTTCACGGCGGTACCTAAGTATTTGATAAGATCGTATATTAACAAAATATATCCTCTTTCTCATGGATTTTTATCTTATTCAGTCATCCCTTTATATTATTTTAAAAGTTTTTGTTTATCATTCTATTCTATTTATTAAAAAGTTATACAACAGAGACCTTATCCACGATTCAAATTTCATTTGACAAAGTATTATACATATATTTTCCACTTAATTAATTAAATTATGCATTATGACATATTGCTTCATCGGTTATTATTAGTGCTAGGAGATGAATAAATTTGTGTAAATATTATTTGTTATATAAGATTTGTTATCAGGTGAAAGATGCGGATATCTCAAAATGTATCACCTACTTAATATGCAACCCAAACAACCGTCACAGTATCAATCACCAACTGAAACTGATAGATCCTCAGCCTAGAAGCTTTCCTATTTATCAGAAAAAACAAAAAAAAACTAGTAGCTCTGCTCATACACAATGAACAGAGTAAAAATTTTAAAAACTATAAATACTCTTCAGTTTGATACCTGTATGAAAACGCTATATACCTGTGTATGAATGTTGGTGGATTGCAATATTAGCAAGTAGCAACTATTGTGACGAGCTCTCGTTCGTAAACGGGGACAAAACGTTGACGTATGGTTATTATGTCAAATAGGCAATAAATAGTCAAAAGTTTATAAAACTTATGGTTATTATGTAAAATAGGCAACAAATAGTCAATAGTTTATAAAACGTATGAATTTTGTAAAATACCGAAAATATATCAATATTTTGTAAAAAAAGGCAACAAATATTTGGAGATATAAAATAAAAAAAATTTGAATACGTCGTGTAACATTTGCATTTTGCAGTCTTGCAGAACATGTCTTATCATTAAAAATTAAAATGATATTTAATACATAGCCTAGTTTTGACTCAAACGAGATTTTAACTCTCAAAAACCAAAAAGTATAAATATATCAATTAGAAGCAGTCATGTGAAGCTGAACAAGTGAAGCATAAACGCCGCCGTCGATTTTGATTAACGTCTCGTGAGTTCCTTTCTCAGCGATCACACCGTTCTTAACTACGGCGATGACATCAGCGTTTTTGATAGTCGATAACCTGTGAGCCACCACGACGGTGGTTCGGTTCACCATCACTCGGTCAAGCGCGTCTTGAACCACTCGCTCTGATTCCGCATCAAGAGCGCTCGTTGCTTCGTCCAGAAGCAATATCTTCGGCTCTTTCACGATGGCACGTGCTATAGCCACGCGCTGTTTCTGTCCTCCTGATAACTGAATCCCTCTTTCTCCAACCACCGTGTCATAACCCTAAAATTGCGTGTTGCTTGTGTAGTAAGTAAACATAAAAACAGAGTATATATATATTTCAATTTTTCTTTTTCCTTTTTCCCCCTCCCTTACCTGTTGTATGCTAGAGATGAATTTGTGTGCATTGGCGAGTTCCGAGGCAGCTATGATTTCAGACTCGGTTGCGCCTTCTTCGCTTCCTTTGCCATAAGCAATGTTGGCTCGGATCGTGTCATTGAACAAGACAGGCTCTTGTCCCACGAGTCCCATTTTTTGTCTCAACCACTTCAATTGCAGCTTCTTCAGCTCAACTCCGTCAAGAGTTATATGACCGGAATCCGGATCGTAAAATCTTTGTAACAGTGAGATCACCGTCGATTTCCCTGACCCGCTCTCTCCAACCAAAGCAACGGTCTGAGAACAAAAAGAGACATAAACTGATCAGACAAGTTAAAAGTGATATTAAATTCTTACGAGAATTGTTTTGGTTTATAAGTCCAACGATTGTTTTACCTTTCCTGCACGAATGGTTAAGCAAAGATCACGAAAGATCTGAATGTCTGGTCGTGCTGGATAAGTAAAGCTCAAGTGACGAAGCTCAATATCTCCCTTAACGTTCTCCAACACCGTCCCTGACTCATCGCTCGAATCTATCTTCGATTTTCTATCGATGATTCCAAAGATCGAAGCAGCTGCAACCTTAGCTTTGCTAGAATCAGGAGCGAAAGTACTCGACTGAGAAATCCCTATCGCTGCCATTGTTAACGCAAAGAACACCTGGCAAGTTTTTGATCAAGATCCATCCTTCTTCATTACTACTAGGTCACAGGAGGGATTTTCAAACATGATATAAGAAATGATTTGGACAACTGCTATATATACCTGGAAAACATCATTGAAAGTAGTCTTTCCGTCCTCAACTAACCTAGCCCCCGCGTAGAAGCTTGTCGCGTAGACACAGAACAGAATGAAGAAGGAGAATCCAAACCCTAACCCACTGATGAAACCTTGCTTTATTCCGTCTTTTATCGGACCTTCACATTGCTTCTTATACATCTGCATCACTTTCTCCTCTGCACAGAAAGACGCGACTGTTCTTATACTCCCTACGGCATCGTTAGCCACCTGACTCGCATCCTCGTACTTTGTCTGCATAGACATCCAAAACCGATGTCAGTTTCTTGATCCACAAGAAAAACAAAAGAAACAGAGTATGGAAAACTGATCTTATAAGCGTAATTGAACCTTTGCGTCGGCGCTGAATCCTTTCAAGAACTTGACTTGAATATAACCATTGATACC